ACTATGTAACGTCTGAAACGGATTTCTTGTCGTAGAAATATAATTTTTGATAAACAATTAATAATAAAAGTGATACTTTGGGCACGTCTGACCAATGCATAATAGAAAAGTTTAAACTAGTTAGTCGATAATAATTGAATTTTAAGGTTTTTAAAACACAAATGTTTTTTTTACAGAAAAGGGGTGCAATTTATAAAAAAATCTTGTTGCCATAAATAAGTCATAGAACTAGCTCTACCCTTGCACAAACCACAAATTCCATTTTAGAAATAATACCATTTTAACCTGCCATTTTAAGGCCCTTATTTTTCAGGGTATTGCGTCATTTCAACGACATCCTATACAATAATAACAATTAATGTTTTTAGTATAAAATTGCCACAATGAAATTATTAAAAATTGAAAGTGGAACAAGGCTACTCGACCGGGGTCTTTCATATTAAGGGAAAACAAAAATTCATTGCATAATTGAGTATTTTAGAGTAGTAGAGTAGAAAAAATGGTTGGCTTGCAGGAACTTACACAGAACACACGTACATTTAAATTGGTTGGTGTTCGAATCCCTCCTGCATAATTAATTTTGATTTTCGTGGATTGCGGGAATAGGCCGCAGGAAAAAAAAGATTTTAGTTCAACCTTCACAATTATTTGTCACACCTCTCTCTCTTCTTGGAAAATCTTCATTCAGCGTCTTCTTCCACTCCCAGTAAACATACCATTATTCATACGGCTTTCATTTCTGAAAAATTCGTTGTCGTCGCATGTCTCCACCATTATCAGGATTCTTTTTCTATCCATTGTTCGATGCGTGATTTTGCAATAGATTTAGCCACTCCAAAAAACGATTCTGATCATCATATGCGTCGACCAACCTGACTTAGATGTCGGTATAGACACCAATTGTCTTATTACTAATTGTTTTCGCCTTTATTTCTCTTGGACGGTGTTTAAAGTACTGTAATCTCCACCTCTAGATTCACATGTTTCAACTGCTACTCCTTAAGAGTTTTTGAGGAAGCCTGTGGGACAGATTGAATTTTATAACTCCTATAGGATAAGTAATTCTGGTCTTGATTTTGTGCTATCTTCTCAAGAAAACATTAGCAGTATCATAAGACAGATTAAATCAAATGCTGCCGGATGTGTCAATGTTGCTTTACTTATAGTTAGACTGTGTCTCCCGGTTATACTGAATCACATTACTCATATCATAAATATTTGTTTAGAGACTGGGTAGTTTGCATCCTTATGAAAAACAGTCCAATTCCGAAAGTGGCTTCTCCATCCGGCGTCAATGATCTTAGACAAACCAGACTATTACCTGTGCTTAGCAAGGTGTTGGACAAGGTTGTTCATCAGCAAGTACTTTCGTACACAACTAGTCGTTACATAATTCCATCAAGCCTGTCAAGTTTGCTTGCAAAACAAAGCACGCTCACTGCTTTACTGCATATCAATGATTTAATAATAAAAAATTTAGATACGAATATTTCAACGATACTGGCCTTACTTGACTTTTCAAAGGCATTCGATGGTGCGGATAATGAGTTATTGTATGCTAAACTAAAGCACTTTGGTTTCACTGATCGATCTGTATCTTTTTTCCAGTCGTATTTAAATAATAGGCAGCAGTTCGTTAGAACTAATATCGGTATATCAGATTTGAGTTCAATTCTTGGAACTCTGTTATATTTCTTGTACATATTTGCTATGTCTAAGAAAGAAAGTCAAATTTTCTCAAATACATTCATATGTTGATGATACCCAGCTGTTACCCACATTTAACTCAGCTAAGTATGATAACGTCGAAGTTAATCTTAGTTTGGATCTTGAAAGTCGTTCTCAGTATAGTAAAAACAAACTAAATTCTACTAAAAAACACAAATTATTAATTGGAAAATAAAGATCTTAAATTTACAAATGAAACAGAAAAACTTAGGAGTGATAACGGATGGTGAATTGAGATATAGTTGCCACATTTCTAATTTATGTAAAAAGACATACATCCCTCAAAATGCTATATGCAAATAAACATATATTGAATTTAAAGAAAAGAAAAATACTCTCTGAGGCAGGTATCTTTTCTAAAGTTATATATTGCCTTCCATTATAATATCAATTCTTATCCGTTGCGGATAAATCTAGATTACAAAAAAATTCCAGAACAGCTGTGCCCGATTCGTTTATGGTTTGAGAAAGTTACCATACCAATAAGTAGTGTTTCGGTATGAAATTCATAATGTTCCTCAAGGACGAAAAACATTCTGGATATGGCCCAGCCCTATTCTTGTAAAAAAAATATAATAAATATTTTGAATCCTGCTCAGTATTTAGGAAAAAAATTAATTTCCATTTATTGGAATACAAAATTCTCTGCCTAAACAAATTATTATTTTTCCAATATTGAATTTTTAGACTCGTATTATTATAGCTTGTTTAATTATTATTGAAATATTCGGTTAATATTGAGTAGCTCAGATTAAGATCTTAAGCTACACTTCGACGTTTGAGATGTGTAACTATATTAGTTTGAACTAATTAATTTTGTCTAAACCTTGTGCAATAATTAAAAGTATCTCAATAAAGACTATTATTATTATTACTATTATTATTATTACTATTATTATTATGGACTCCTGTATTTTTACTTGCCTCAGCCACCGAACCTTAATAATTTTGTATTCCACAGTAGGGTACTTTAATATTTTAAATGATCCAATAGGTTTCATAATCAGCGTACATTCATAACGAACGCGGCACATGAAGAAGAAGAATATTTTTTGGAAGGCTTTATTTTCATAAGTAACAAGTTTGAAGATACAGCGAATAATAACAATTAATAATATTTGCTTTCATAATTAAGAGGAGAAGATTTAATTAATAAAATAATTATTACTGAATTTTGTTTTGCATTGCGGTTGGTTACTACATAAATATATAAAGTTCACATAAGGTCACACAAGATACAGTTTTTCGTCGTTCAGTTGCGAGGATGCTATTTGTTGAATAATAATTTTACTTTTTCATTATCAAAAAATCTCGCAATTTTCGTTGGCGGTCATTAGAAACGCCCGGACCTTAATATACCTCCTCGTTTCGGAGAAAAAGTCGCCCAGTAAAGGACGTTAAGACATTTAGAGGGCAATATTACACCGCAGCAGTAAATAAGGGAGCAATTTAAGGCTGCTTGAATCATGGTTTTCGTTCGCTCAGCTTCGCCCGGAACAGAGGAAGACGCGAAAGATCATTAAGCTTAGCGTCACCGAGTCGGTAAATAGGAAGGTGAAAAAAGGTAAACAAAAGTTAATTAAAATCTATGTATAAATGAAGAGGGAACACTTCATTCCAATTTCAAGTTCTCCATTTTGTTCTTTGTTGATTTTCGGTTTTTATTTTTTCTTAGTTCTTGCAAACAGCGATTAATTGTTTTTCAGAATTTTTTCATATTAATGTCAGAAATAATGTTACTTTTCCAGATAATGAACTGAACCTCAAATCACTTCTTGTGGTTTTTAGCTAATACTAATATAAGTAATGAAAATTACTAGTTTCCTATTAATAAGTGCTTCATACAGGAACAGTAATCCGCAGTAAGCACTAAAGTTTTCAAATAAAATAAAATTCTATTGAGGTTCTACCACCTGCCACAGTGATCTATCGTGCCAATCAGGCAAGAAATGCTAGATAGCAGTGGAAACAGTCATACTAGCGGTCATTACCAGGGTTGACCTATTCAAAGGCAGTATAGAAGCATGAAGCATTGAAGCCCTTAACACCATATGCACAAGATTGGTCGCATATGGTGCCCGACTAACCAAAACTGGTGGGGGCCGAAATCCTCAGACTTGATCTGAACAAAATATCCCCTCACTATAGCGGACTTTCTATAAGGGCTGAATCTGATGAGGTGGCAGCTAAAGCCGAAAAGCGGGACATCGGCCTCACACAATAAATCCATCAATCCATAAACCTTTGGCAAATTTAGTCGCGAACACTCGCAAATGTTTTGTTGATCAACATTACCGAAAGTCTTTTATTAATTAAAATAGAATCGGTCATCGATACGAGATTCAAAGTCGGACTTACAACTAGTGAGATATTCAGTTAGTTTAAATATCCAACAAATTACGGAACAAATGTGTAATATTAACCGTAAAATTCCACGCATTTTTGGGTACTTTATGTGCGTATTAAGTAAATGCTGCATCTAATACAATTTATTATTGCATGGTTATGAAAGATTTATGTGCCAAATATTATTAATAAAAATGCTTTTCGATCTCCACAATATTTAAAAATGACACGAACAGAACCATCTAGTTAACAATAGTTGAACTTTCACTTCATGACGAGTAAAATCGATTACCATGGTTCAAAGAAAGTAAGCTACACACATTTCGTTTCCGATGCATTATTATATAGATGGCTGTAACAAAAATGTGGAGAGAGTAGTATTTCTAAAAGGATTTTCTGCGAATATATAAATATTGCAATATTAACCCAAAGCCTCTGCGATGTCTTCAGTTCATATTGATTATCTATGTAAATGTCAATACCAAAAATTATAGTTCAAAATGCCAGGCATTTTTAACTTATTAATATACAAATTTCCTTTGAAATATTAGAGCAAAAGTGGCGGTTTTAATAAGAACGATACTATTTTTTAACTTATGACCCTCAGTTGAATTTACTGAAAATCTGTTTTCGTCAAATTTCATTTATTTTAGTTTGTGCATTCATTTATTTTTAGTATAAAATTATAGTTGGACGGATGTATCTAACAAATCTACGAAAAATGTAAATGAATAAATAAAAAAATATTGAATCGACAGGACTTTTTAAAAATTAATTCATTAAATTAATAATTGAACAAACAGTATATTAACTCATTTTGCCTTGTGATTAAAAATCCTCGAAATAAAATTGTATGCAACGGCATAGCACCTATTATCGCGTGATATAAACCTATTTTCCATCACTTCTCCTGTAATCGTATGCGATATGCGTATGGTTAATGACAGACCCTTTCTGTCAAACCGAGTGACTTGTAATTTCCAAAAAATATAAAAATCCAACAATTTTAAATCGTTTTTACTAAAACCAAACTTCGACATGAATGTCTTGAAATTGTTATTATCTACAGATCCGCTAGCAGTAGGTAAGTTAATAAACACATCAGCATCTTTTAAAGTTTTCATTCACTACCAAGAGAGTATTTATTTTTTTCTTCAATGGTTCTACATTTATCTTTTATATTTTATTTTTCAAATACTGTGTTTTTTTTTCTTTCATGATATCTTATTTTTTAACTATTTTCTATACACTGTTTATCAATCTTTGGCATCCATAAGAAAGCGGTATATGACAACATACTTGGTTGAGTTACTTATTTCTTTCTAATCTTTCAAACCGTCACAGGCTACTGCATTATTTGTTCTTATTTCTGTTTCTTCTCCATAAGAAAGCTATAAAAATTTTCAAAAAAATTTCTATAGCTTCCGCTTCTTACCACCTATACTTAAATTATTTTGAGAGATACTCAAAAACTGTATAAATACAAATAATAAATAATTTAAATATTTCCTTTGACTTACTTTATTTTCTGAGAACCAAAATGAAATTTACGTTGTCGGATGCATGAGTTTAAAAAATCTGATCGTATAACACATAGCAATAATGAACTTCAATGGCCCTCTTCAAAACCTACTTATTTAATAAGCAGGGAGAGTCTTGAATTATTGGATAGATGTTATTATTTTATAAAGTACATATGTAAATTAATTCTTTTTATTTTTTATTTTATTAATTAGTATAATTTAAATTAAATGTTAATTTATTTTATTTATTATAGTGTGTTATATTATATCTACATGAAATAAGTTATAGTATGGTAGGATGCAATTTAGTTTTACCACGGTTAAATGTGAATAACCTAAGACTAGACTTTATCCTGTATATTTCCTTGTACATTTATATCTTGTTTGTTAAGAATCAAGTCAATTATTATCATTATTAATAGTCAGAAGTAATATATAAGTAGAATCAAAGCTTTTTAATTATTCCAGACGATCCACTGTGGTTCATTGAGCGTCTGTGGTCACTAGCAGTGAACAACACCGTTTGGCTAGTCATCGGAACTTTGACACTCGTGTGCTCAATAAGCGAAGTTTGTGGAGTTCTCGGCTACATGGCCTACAAACCGAATTTCCAAACTGCCATCAACTTTGCACCCATGTTCTTTACTTCGTATCACGTAAGATATATGAGCGTTCCGATTCACTTTTATTCTGGTTGTTATATTATTGCGAATTTTAGACCACACTCTGTTTAACACCAATCCTGCTCCAGCGCAACGCTTTTCAAACTGCTCGAAAATACGCGAACGAAAAATTTTGGAAAATCTCGACGGCGTCTTCTGAGGCCCTTCGCGAAATTTCAGTCGACATCATAATCGCGAAAGTCGCGTGGGTTACCAATTTTATTCTCAATTCTTGTTCACCCTTCTTCTACATTCCGTACAACGGGGTAGATTTCGATAACACTTTGCACCCAATGATTGCCATTTTACCGCAGCTGAGGCTGCCGTTGACCGTTAATTATATGATTGTTTTTTTTAATCATATACTTGTATTTTGGAAGGTGTATTATATAGTCCTGTACATGCTTAATTTGACGTACCTGGTTGTACAATATAAGCTACAAGTTACGATACTCAAGTGGAAAATTGTCAATATTACTGAAGGATTAGGTAAAAATGTTGAATTGGGTTCTATGCGAGATGACGCAAACTGTCAGCGAGAGATTCACGAGAGACTGAAGGTCTACGTACAACATTATTGGTATCTGAAAGTGTACGCCTATATTATCATTCCTTTGTAAAAATAATTGACCTTGAGATACTTCACAGGTACGGCCAAATGGTGACAGAGAGTCTCAAAATATCACTACTCTTCCATGTATTCAGTGGAATTGCGCTTATGACCAGTTTGTTATACCTTTCCTTGTTGGTAAGCATATACGAGCCCCAACAACTAAATGTTCGGACGATATAAAAAATGATAAAAAATGATAAAATAATTCATTACGATAGCACAGAAAGTGCTATCGTAACGAATTATTTTTTATTTCGCATGAATTACATAGCAAAATAACGGGAACATACCAAATTTACTGACAAATAAATATTCGGACGCGAATGTTTATTGACCAAGAAATCAATGCTACCCATACATTGATGATAAAATGTAGTGTGCTTAGATAAATGAGATGTCAGTTCCGGTTGTATCTTTCAAGTTTGTATAATAGTTGATAAGAAAATGACGGGTGGTGTTGCAACAAACAAAAAAATGCGAGAAATTATCATATCTCAGTACTGCAGAGGTAAATCAATGTAAAAAATTTCAAATGACTTGAGTATTGCAAAAACAACAGTCAGGGATATTATAAAAAAGTATGGAAAGACAGCTAGTGTTAGCGTTCGTGGTAAAAGTTCAGGCCGACCCCGTAAAATCACTGAAAGAGATCGTCGTATTCTGGTCAAGATTTGAAAAACAAGCAGACGAAGCGTCTTACAACAAATTCAAGCCCAATGGGATCACGAGGCAAACTTAAATGTCTCCAGGGAATGTTGTAAACAATGGATGCATAAGTCTGGTTTGAGTTTTTATAAGGTAAGTTTACAATTTTTCCTGTTTCATTATAAAAATTACTAATATTCTATGATCTACTTTTGTTAAAGGCCAAGGAAAAAAAACATTATTAACGTCTATTCAGAAGAAAAACGGTTTGGATTATGCAAAATCTAAAATATCCTAGACAACGGAAACGTGGAGTAACGTTATCTTCAGCGACGAATCAAAATCTGATGTGTGTGTAGGCGATTTTCGAAAAAGGGTGATTCGTACAAAATCAGAAGCCTTTCACAAAGATTGTCTAAAGCGCACGGTAAAATTTCCCCAGGGCGTTATGATATGAGGGTGTATGAGTGGTAAAGGGGTTGACAACTACGAGTTCATTGATGGTACTGCAGAAAAATACGAACAAATTTTATCATTTATCAATCCATCAATAGAACGAACTTTTGGAAATGAAAATTTTATATTTCAATAAGACGGTGCGTCCTGCCGTACTGCGAAAACAACAAAAAAAATGGTTTGGAGACCATAATATGAAAGTTTTATCGTGGCCATCAAGTAGCCCCGACTTGAATATTATTGAAACTTTTTGTTATGTAATTTATGTGTATAAAAATAAGTGCGTGATTTCATTTTTCAATCGAAAAGGCAAATTTAAAATAAATACAAATATGTTTTCTTATTATTTCGTACATCGTCCGAACAATTAGTTGTTAGGGCTCGTACTACTTTTTCGGTCGCAAAACCTTTCGGTTTTGGGAACAATTTTGCGAAACGCGACTTCCATTTTTAAAAACTCTCAGAGCGAGAGTTAATTCACAAATTGTGATGAATTTTCAGCGCGACGAAAGTGCCGACACTGCAGCTTTTATACTGGAGCTGGTCTCAGCCCTGTACATCGCCTTTTTTTACGTCTTTTGGGCCGAAGCATTTTGCGACCAGGTATAGACTAAGTGCGAAATGGCTTTAAATCCGATCAAATTAGATATAAAAATTTTTTGTATACCTCAGTATTGTAAGTCCCTATCGATCCCATGAGGGCTAAAAAAATGGGTCAAAAGTCTAAATTTACTGGATTTTTATCGTATGAGGTAAGTTTTAAAATAAGAGGAACATAAGGACTTATTTTATTTTGAGTTTATATTCTCAGACTTATATAGCTCATACGTATAAGAGCCAAATAGGCATTGTTACTTAAATTAAGTGCCTGGCTAAGAATATAAGTGGAATAATGTGTGCATGTAATATGAAATAACTTCAAGTGCTTCAACTTTTTAAATCGCGATATCTTATGAATGGTTATTCGGTTTTCGAAAGAAACAAAAATAATCCGTACTTTATCTGTTTTAGCACACATGAGAACGATGGGAACTTTTGGCACTTTATTTTCGCTGTTGTATACTGCTCTGTAGAAAAATCCTGCTCTGTCGAAATTTTTGCAATTTGAAATGTCTTTTTAATCAGGAATAACTATCGAAATTTAGTAACCTTTTTACGTTTTATGTTTAACACTGTTTAGAAAATATTCAATTAAATTGGAGTCAGAAAAATGTTTTTTTGTACGGCTTTGCTAAAAACGAATTTATTGTCGGCTAGAGAATATTTTAATTTTTCCGCAAATTTTATAAACCAATGATTTAAAGTGACACACTAAGCAAATAACGAACCTACATTTGTACAAGAACTGTTATGATCTGCAATTCCAAATTTACTGGCTTTCATGTCTTCATTATTTATAAGATTCATGTTTACTAAAACTTTACTATGCACGAAAGACGAACAAATCAAAATAATGTCCATAATACTAATAGGAACCGATAACATGTATTTGATGACAAAATTTTAATACAAATTGTAGATAAACATAATTAATTTCAACTAAATTGTATAAGTTATTTATTTAGCCGTAATAAGTTTTACCTCGTGTATATGAATTTGATTAACTTCTCTATATTGGCAATTATAAGTTTCTTAAGAATATTGTCAATAAAATTCATTTATTTTCGTTCTTTCCTCATTAATTCTCTCTCGTTATCTGCTATTCCATACAAATCAACGCAATATTATACCGTACATCTCAATTAAACATATTTAGCGGAAGCATGAAAGTTTACCATTCAGTTAACAAAAGAAGTTATAATCTGGAATAAAGACGTAACAATTCGAAATCGTACTTTTAGTTAATATTTCAAATAATGAGCTACTTTTATAAAACTATATGTTTTGAGAGTAATTAATTATTATAATACTTTCCTTATGTGTTCTGCTTAGTTTAATTGATGGATTAAATAGGCTAAATGCTACGCACATACCAAAAATCTAATTTTGCTTGTCAAATGCAATACGAATTCGACAGGCAGTAAAAAGTACAAATTTTATGTGGGTGAGAATAATTCTGACAGCGGATATTACTACAGACACCTTTCACCTTTACAACCCAAACTAAATTAAAAAAATGACCCCAATTGTAAGTAACGTCTAGCCCGATGCACTAGGCTCCCAAGTAAAATCGAAATCTGTCTTTAGCATGCACATCAAAACGAAAAGTTACCAAAACCATCACTAAAAAAAATGTACTATAAAAAACAAACTTAATATGCGTTTTTAATTTAAAACAACTTTTAAAATAGATTATTATTATCATTAAATGTGCTATACTAATTCCCAATTATTGTTTTTCAGACCAACGTGCTATACGACGCTATCAGCCTGTCACACTGGAATTGTTTTGACAGGAGTAATTCGGTCACAATTCTGATACTCTACGATAACCTCAAACGGAAATTATTTCTCACAGGTGGCGGCATATTTATAATGAGCTTCAGACTTCTTGTTTGGGTAAATTTACACTAGCCTCCAGAAACGCAATTTGTATTAGATATACGCAGGTCACAAAGGCTGTACTAACTCCAGAACCGTTTACGGGATCGCAAATTTTAATTTATTCGTCTTGTTTCAGATCGTAGAGAAGGTTGTTAACTTATTAAGCGTACTCAAGTTGCTGGAGTCATGAGCAGGGCACCGAAATTTATTGTAACAAAAATACCTCTTTCTTATTCGTGTAGAAAATGTTGCACCAAGCTTTACACAAAACAAGATGCGATACTAAGATAGGAGAACATTATTGAGTTAATGGAATTGAATAATATCTTGAATACAACAGTTTCATTCTTAATTTTTTTTTATTTGTTCCACGGCATTATTTTCATAATGTTTGGTATATATTTTGAATTACCTCCCAAGAGGAAAGCTTACTCTTTCACAGCATCGGTCCCTGCTGCCTGATTCGCTTTGGAAACTGTTTTGTCTGTCATTTCTCTAAACAAAGGAGGAAGAAGAGGTAATTTGAGAGCTTTGACGGAGTTGCCGAAGAGGAGTTACAAAAGCAAGCACATAACTTTAGTTTTTGAGAATTGATTTTAAGGAAATTTTCATATAAGCATACATGGCCAGAGAAGTCAACATTTTCTGTAATTTTCACAATAACCCAAATTTTAATCAACTATTTGCTTTGGCTAAGACTTACAGATATTTCTTATTATATACATCTAAACATTTGAAAAATTAATCAAATAAAGTGTGACTGCGAATCTACTCTATGAATATGTATTTAGTTATTACCTTGTAATTCATTAATACCCGGAAAACTGGATTACAGCGACCTTTATTAGGTTTAACAGTGCATTGAACTTTGCGTTGAGATTTACATCGATCAATTTTCAATGTTGCACTTAACCTCGTGGACACTAAACTGTCGGTATGTCAGTCATGAAAAGAAAACTATAAATATTTCGTTTTGCAGGGTTTGCTAGATTTAGAACGATGCGTCTGTACAATGTACTGCATCAAGAGTTACTTTTTTATGTAAATAGTCAATATACCGCAATATCTAATATAGTATTATACAAAATGTTTAAGAAGACCGTAGCCAACTATCAGACACTAAAATAAATCGAATTGATAGAAAAATCTATAAAAATAGTGTAAAAATACGAAAACAAGGGCTGATTTAATGCAATTTTATAAAATTTAAGACGTCTATAAAATCCTTTGTTTTTACTAATAAATTTTGTTATATATTTCATTTGTTAAAATGTCGTTTGTCTATTTAAATGGTAGTTTTCTCATAGACGTTCCCATTTTCGATTTAAGTTTTCTAATTTAAAGACTGTAAGTATACTGCGAGTAGACCATTACAAATTCAGAGATAGGCAAATTACATTATTGGTCATTATTTCGCCTCGAAGAAATAATGCATACGCAAAATTATACAATTCAAGACACACTCGGCATTAAGGATATTTATAATTTATTACTAATAAGTGGGTATATACGGAGACGTAACTTACAGTGAGTTCTAAAACGATGCATTACCTTCGAAGATTCAGGAACGAAGATCCAAAACATGAAGGTAAATTTACATCGGCCGACATTAATATAGCACAGTTTATATCGCATTTCTCTTACACCTTTAGCAAGTGCCTTAAAATAGTTTTTTTTTAAGTTAAACCGCTTTGGTTTATTGAATGCTTGGTATCTAACGTGGTCGAGAACAGAATCTACCAGTTCATCGCCATATTAACCATGCTGGGTGGTTCCTTGGAATTCGGTTTATAGCGATTTCGATATGTTTGCCAACTTTGCAACAATGTTTTTTACAGCTTTCCATGTAAGTTGAAATTTCAAAAGTGAATTTTTCCTAAGGTAGTGAACTCCATCTAAACTGGTAACGTCACAAGTGAGGCAAAGTTTACAATCAAATAAGACGGCTAGAACTGTCAATTCTTGTCAATTTTTCAATGAAACTTCCACAGGCTACTGTAAAACTAATTACAAAACTTCTGCATCCCTCCTACATCGGTTATTGTTTAATCGAACTTGCTGACGTTTCGCCAATCATCCTGTTGATTTCTTCAGAGCCTAACTGAAACTCCTTGTCCCTCTCTTACTCGGTATTGAAACGGTGAAATATCTCGATAATTACACAAATGATCAAAAAACTAAAAAATACACCCACGCATGGTACGGACGGAGCAACTTTGTAATCTTAAATAAAAATCCCATTTTTTTCGATTCTCGGTAGATGGCCCTGTAATATATAGGGTGTCCCAAATAAGGTGTCCTTGAAATTTTTGAAACACCCTATATGTTATGGCGTTTTCTTTTTATTCAGAGATAAAAGCAAAGGTAAAATTTATCAGACCGACCCATTTTATTTCCGTTGGTTTAGGACGTATTTAAGGTTATGTGCCTTTGCTATTGAAAAATCAGCTTACTAAGAAAAGCTCGCAATATTGATATTAGGCTAACTAGTAATATTTACAAGAGTAATGTATGCCCACAAGGCTTAGGTTTAGAATTTTCGTGATTTTCGAGTGTCTTTTTTACTGTATGAGTTTCGAAATTTGTAGATGCCAAGATCACTTCTTTTTTTTTTTAATTGGAGATCCTGTACGTTACGTCTCTAATTTCAATGCGCATAAAATATTTGCTATACCTATTGTAGATCATTTGACTTTTTCTTCTTTTTTGAAAAAAACTAAGCTAAAAATATTTATCTAAGACAAGAAAGATTTAAAGGCCGAATAATATTTAAAAGATTGGCATTTTATAATTTATTTTTTATATATTTATCCCATATTTTTGTTTTAGTTCTGCTGTTGTATGTATGTTTCTGTTTTTGTATACCCTATTTTTTAAAGTTCCCAAAAATGTTCATTGGTGTCGGATCAGGACTTTCTTCATTACAGTTGTCAGTTTTCTGATCAACTCACACACTACACTTCACACTACACCTTTCACACTTTGACGTTACGATAATTTTGCTTTTTAATTCTTCTTATTAGATTATTGTTAGTCCGAGACCAGTGACACTGGGTATAATTCTACACCACAAAAATTAACGCAAATTCATTAAACCTAAGTTTTGTGTTAAGTTACTTTTTCAAATATTACTAGTGTCTATTTTCAGGACTTAATATGCTGTTTTTTATATACCAAGCCACATAATCTTAAATATTTCTCAAGGTGTTTGAAAATCAAAGAAATCGGTCTGGAAAAAGTTACCTTTGTTTTTATCACTAAATCTGCAATAAAATGTAGGATGTTCAATTTAAAATTCCAAAATTGATATAAGTTAAATACAAAGAACTTTTGTATTTAAAATTTCTTGGTAACTTGGTAACTATTACCAGTTTGGAAAGTGGATCCAGAAATTGAACTTTCAAATGAGAGTCTCACACCGAAATCATTTTAGCTTCAATGCCGACGTTTCGGCGCTTTCTTTCAAATAATTTATTAGTTATATACAAAGTTTTCAATAGAGACAATTGCCTGCTATATTATTGCAGAGATTCAAATTTAATGTCCCAATGAAGGCCCCAACTCCACCAACAGTGGTTCGGTGGCATGTTTTATTGTCATTGAATAATTTCTTTATTATATGCAATTAGTAGTGTCTTGTTAAATTGTGTAATTTGCGTGACATTCGACTGTTTCCACACTTCTTCAACACCTTTTATAAATCAAATGGAGTGATTTCGTTGTTTAATTACATTGACCGACCGATATATTTGATACTGAACATCAAACAACATTTCCTTTAAATGTATGATAAAAAAATAATTTTTAGAACAACAATTACTACACAGCAAACTTTATAACTATTACACTTACACTATGATATATGAGTCACATTGTTATGGCTAATCTGGCACCTAGGTAAAGTAATACCTGTATGTGCCTAATTGTCCAGATTTTTGTCATTACAGAAGATTAGATATTAGTATAAATAACAATAAAGGGATATAAATACTATAATAATAATAATAATAAAAAGTTTGGAAACCCTATCCGAAAAAAAAAAAAGAAAAAAGGATACCATACCAACAGTATAACAAAAAAAAAAGAAAAGATAAGTGAGGCAAGCCAATTACTAATATCGAGAGCTATACTTCAAATGTGTTATTAGTTCACTGAATAGAATTTAACTTAGCCGTAGTTCCGAAGTTAAAACAGACACACAAAGAGTTGTTTATTCAATCCGAAATAATTTTGAAATAACTTTAGAAATCGTTGTTTTCCTTTAATGTTACCTTAATTAACTGTTTCCGCAATGTGTAGTATTAAATAAATTATTTAAATTTGCTCTCGTGTGGTAATTGTGACAAATGAAATTGTTAAATTTTTCATTTGTATGGACAAAACTACATGCAGCTATTATATACAAATTCCTAATTTCAAGTATATCCCCACAATACAAGAGATTTGTTGGATATAGTTTTGGTTTTCTCAGTAAAGTGTGTAATATCTGGTTCTATGTCACTTTTAGATAGTCTAGACGACAGTTCTATGCTCCTTCCCATACTAGTATACCATAATTTAATAGGGACTACACTAGTGCTTTACAGATTATAACAGGATTTTTCCTTAACATAATATTTCGCAATAGATAAAATTTATTTATTCTTGCACAGGTAAAGAATATGTTGATCCCATTTTAAAAGGTCATCTATCACTAACCTAACCATTTGATACCGGCGCACTCTATAATTATATATTTTATATATCTGTGTATAATGTTTTTGCAATATTTAAACTTAGCTTTAGCGAATCGTTTCTGCAGAGAAAACTATGACGGTATTAGCGGCATATGAAATAAGTTTGCCGTCTAGAACAGAACTGCATAAGCTATCCAAGTAAATATTAATTAGTAATATTAAAAAGTATAGGTCCTATTACCGTACCTTGTGGTATGCCGCATTTAACTGTGCCAAACAAACTGATAAGTTATTGCCTCGGTTATTGGCCAGAAAAAATATTTGTAATGTATGTAAATTTAATTAATTAAATTTAATATTTTGTATTTTGCGCAAAAGGAAAAAAAATGTTAAATTTTTGTGAAAACGAAATCAATAGTCGGTGTATTCTACGTAGACAACAGGACAACATATAGTCACGACCACTTAGTTCAAAGAAGGTAAACTGGCCTTTACCAAAAAAATCCACACAGAAAGTAGAACAAAAATAGAAAATAATATTAAACAGTCTATTATTAGATTCATCTGCTGTTATTATCAACATAGACAAAGAAGGGAAGCCCCATTACTTCTCGTTTCCTTGCATTAACTGAACGATTCCAGTTTATATCTAGTTCACTGTTCGGGACACATTTCACCACCGAAAAGGCAGTAAAAGGCGCTTATTTCTTCATTTTAGACAAATCTCGCACTTGTCCCATTTCTTTTACAACGCAAGACTTTCGCTGAGGTTCGACGCCATGCTCAACTTTATTTTTGGAAAATTCAGGAGATAGAACCGGAAGCGGTCAAAGAATTGAAGAGAGGCATAAGGACTGGAAAGATGGTTCTCATCGTTTCGCTGATGCTCTGTTGCCCAACTCCAATATTACTTTTGCCATACAGGGGCGTCGATTACAACAGCACCGAACATACGGTCATTATGGTCCTACCGTATTTAAAATTGCCAATAATTCTACAGCATGTCCTCGCAGCGTTCTATCATATGTTGCTCTTTGGCTATGGATATTTTATTTTTTTGTACTTGCTAAATTGGACGTACATGATTCTAACGTATAAACTGGAGGTTATTATACTTAAGTGGAAAATCATAAATATAACGAAGGAGTTGGAGAGAAAACTGACCTTTTTTGATATTATTGGAAACACAGAATGCCAAATCGTCATCAAGCAACGGTTAAAAACTTGGGTGAAGGATCACATACAACTGCGAGTGTAAATACGAATTCAGTTTTTGTGCAATTTTGTTAAATAATTTTTTTCTTATAATTATGAGAAAACGTGAAAGATGAGGGAATTGCAAACACGTGTCAGGCCATGGATATCTTTTGTGTAAACTTGTTTATAAACTACACATTAAAAGATTTTGGCAAAAGAAGATAATGGTAATCATGTGTAAAAATACAACAAATGTTTTTCTTGAAAAATCCTACCAAATGTAAATGTTTTGTACATTTTGAAGCATGCAGTAGATATTTGCTTACATTTTTCCGGTTTCAATCCTAAAATGGCAGAATATTTGAATCGTGAAATGAAAATATGTAAGGAATGCAAGCAAAAGTCAATTATTGAAAAATATATCGCTTAATTTCCTTGAAAAAGGTGACGAAACAAAATAATTTTTTGATTCTTGTCATTATTCATGATGCTCAATATAGCGACTGGCATTTTTGAAAAATACATCTGGGAATGTGTGGCTAATAAAGAGTTGAATTAAAAGACAAACCGCCGCCACACCGCAGACATAACTATACTAAAATAGAAGAGGACACGCTCAAATTCAAATTCTTTAATAGTTTCGAGCTCTAGTATAAAGGGGATAGGCTGATATGAGTAGTCGAGAACCTAATCATAAAAATAGAATAATAAGTGTGTAGGGTGTTAGGCATCATCTGATATTCGTGGTTGCTCGACGCTGTACAAGTGGCATAATCGCAGAATCTAGAATTTAAAATTTAATCGCAAATGAAAACCAACCTCTTTCAACAACTTCACTCGAAAATATCTCAAGGTTTTTTTTTCCAGATTCGCCAAGATGGTAATTAATTCTGTTAAAGTCTCTCTATTTTTTCACGTTTTTAGCGGAATAATACTGATAACTACTCTATCTTACATTCTTCTGTTGGTAAGTACTTGATATAACATTAATTAAGGCTTTTGCACACTATCGCATTAGTATGTATATTCAGCGTCGAACTTAGCGTTTGCATTTTTCACCGCGAAAGTAAAAATTTCTATTACTACACTAACCGCTAGGACATTCGAAAATAGGTAGGTGCATTTTTTTCATCAAAATTATGATTTAAAATATCTCTCACTAGTCAGAAGGCGTACAACTGACGCTTACCAGTTGTTTTATCATTCGGAACATATTGTTGTAATACTCTTTTTGATCATTTTATAGTAATAATATTCTTCTTCTTCTTAGAGTGACATGCAGAGTATTGCGTCGGCGACTGTCATATGTTTCTGTTAATTTCAGCATTTTGGAGATCTTTCTTCCTTCCTTCCTTTCTTCCTATTCCTCGTTTTCGTCCTCCAATTTGACCTTGAAGGATAAGGCGCTCGTTCTTATTTGCTTGGCTTATTTCGCTTTACTACTTCGTAAAACTCGCCATCTTCTAATTGTGTTCCTCGAAGAACTTTTTTATCTCTTATGCGATCGACCCACGATATTCTTAGCATTCTTCGCTGACACATCTCGAATGCTTCTAATTTATTTTTAGAATCTCCCCACTATGTCCAGACCTCTACACCATACAAAAGAACCAAACATAACATTTACGGGCTCAGTATCTTTATAGTATCGTTTAAAGTTCAGATTTTTATTTGTAAGTAATTTTTCAAAGAAACTTATATGGGCTACTGTAATACTATTTACAAAACTTCTGGATTCCTCCCGTTGGTTGTTGTTGAATCGAACTTGCTAACGTTTTATCCTGTTGGCTTCTTCAGTTTCAGTTGAGGTCTGCAGAAGCCAACAGGATGACTGCCGGAACGATAGCAAGTTCGATTCAACAACAATGGGCGCAGGAGTAATCCAGAAGTTTTGTAAATAATATTTGTTATGTTTTTTTTAGTTTACGGAAGATTGCTCTTAAGTGCTTTATTCTACACCTAATCTCTTGTTTTGGGTCCTAATTTTGATTTAACATACATCCCATCACTAAATTACTTGTATTCTTATACGTGAAAAATCATGACAAACCTTAATAGTTTTGTGAACTCTTCTATTAAATGTTGTTAGTAAACTCGGTGTTTACTCTAAAAAATATGGCACTCCGGACTAAACTTGGTGCTTTATCTTTACTTGGTTTCGTAGAACTATTTAAATGCTTCTTTTTTTTTCCAAAGAGAGTGCGACATACGTACACCTTATAACTATTCAATTCCAGCACAACGGTGGTACAAACCCAGGCGCCATGTTGCTGGAACTAATAGGTGCATTATATTTAGCAACTTTTTACGCAATTTGGGCCGAAATTTTCAGTTATCAGGTTAGTTGGTTAATTAAGTAAAAGTACTAGATAAATAGATGCATTGGTTAGGCTAAAAATAATTGCATTCTCTAAGCCGATATCGAAAAACTCGCTTTCAATCTGTAAGACCTTGCCGCGTTTAAAAAATTATTTCATGTTGCTTGTATGCACTGCCGTTTATTAAATAATAAACATTTTCAGAATGAACTGTTACATGAAGCAATCAGTGCTGCTCCATGGAATTGTTTCGACAAGGGAAACTCAATGACAACTTTAATAATGTACTGCAATTTGGGAAAAAGGCTTTACCTTTCCGCTGGAGACATATTCGTGGGAAACTTTCAGCTATATGTCTGGGTAATAATGAAATGATAATGATATATCATGTGATATCTTTATGATTGAGGTGTGTAACTTTACCTATGCCAAACTAAAAATTTAATATATTAAAGCTATTTAAAGCGATAAGAATTATAATTATGTATTTTCATCTGTTTAGTTGCGCAGGCGCAGAGAGTTGCGTAGGAAATAGTATATTATGCGCGGTAAACGGCATTTGACTCACGAGTTTATTTGACACGAGCGGAGCGAGTTTTTAATGAACCAGTGAGTTAAAAAGTTTACCGAACGTGTTGCATACTATACTTTTTCTACGACCGTTAGTTTTTGGGTACATTTTCACAAAACAACATGAATATATTAACTGACATAACCGTCAGAATTGACAAACGTCAAAATTCAAAGCGTGGGAAACATCTCCGAAAACATCCGATTGCTCCTAAATCCGTGCGGTAAAATCCCGGAAATGTCCAAAGTGACTCGGAATCGTGAGAAACGAAACTGACGTGGTAAAGTGACGCTTCCGAACGCTAGATCGATGAGTAATTAGGTATTTTACAGACAGGAGTAGAAAAAATATTTTTTGCACTGGTACTAATGATGCTAATGTGTGCTAATACAAAAACGTTCCTGGTATACACTTGAAAAATAAAAAATATACATATTTTTAAAAACAGGGGACTAGCATTTGTCGAACATAATTTCCCAAAGGTAAAACATTGTACATAACTGGGAAATATTTAGCACATTACGACAATAAAACGGCTAACTCTCGAAACGAAACTTAAACAACTAGTGCGGTAAATAATATCACAATAATGAATTTAATTGGCCGTATTATAAAAGTAAACAAAGATTTTTTATAAGGAAACAAAAATGTATTTAGTATAGCAATCAAATACTCTTCTTACCAAAATTCAACTTATCTTAACAAAACATAAATTATAATCAGCTCAAAGCAAGTGTTTCACTTGCATGGGCTTTTCTAAACGCTGCAGTTGACTATATATATTACTTTTGGTGCGCTTTGGTTCACTTTAAAATTTGCAATTTTTCGTAAGCATATTACTTAGTTAAAAGTTAAAAGTGGCGGCATATAATATTATTTAAAGCAAGTGTGTTTACATATCAAAATTTTTGCTCCAATTACACTAGGTACCTCAGTGGTACAAAATCTAATTATTGTTAAAAAAATGAATAAATGATACCAATTTGTTTATATAGATTAGGTTTTATTTCGATTTCTAATTGCGTGACTGCTCTCTCTTATTATTTATTTATATACCTATATGTTATTAGAAATTAATGATAATATTATGAGACTTTTTTAGGTATTGGAAAAAGTGGTAAATTTACTGAGCGCTTTGAAGTTGATGGATCAACGCTAAACTGAAACATATTCATAGTTCTTCTTTATTTGTATATGTTAGCATATTCAATTATACTTCTGCTTTATTTGTATATCTTAGACATTTGATGTTATTTTGGCCTGTAATGCAATAAATTTCGGTTAAAAGGCAAACATGTCTATCATGGATCAATGTAACTAATACTGGAGGATCTTTGGTTTGAGGAACATTGTACGTCAGACGGCCTCGCAAATGCAGCGTTAATGGCAAGTAACTATTCTCTGCAAAAAATATTTTTGTATCTGTCAAAAATATCATTGATAAAACGAATATAAGGAAAAATACCTGTTGTATGACTACTTTGTTTTCTTTGGTTCGTCACCAAATTATGAAGAATGGCGCCAGATATAGATATAAATCAAGAATACGGAAAAATGTTTCCGGTAATAATAAACTTTATTATGAGTGTAACGGTATATTTCATAACAGTTAGATTAATTCCTAGTTTAAAAGAGAAATTTATAAAAGCAAACTTATTCGGAATAGACATGAGCAAAACCACAAGTGATAAAGTGTAAGGTTATATTTTGGTTTTTATTAGTTTCCAAATATTCCATTGCAGGCCCGAATCTTTAGGGGTTGTGGTAGGATGTACTTTCCTAATCACTATGTTTTTGTTTATACCAGTGCCATTTGGTCACAATTTGTTAAGGAGTAAAACTTTTCCACATGATGAGGTACCTAATGCTTTTACCTGCCAGATAGATTGAATTTTCTTTATTGAATTTTGGTTTCAGTTTGTGAAATTCATATCCGCTCTTCTTTCAATCTGCTGCATGTTGCTTCTAGGATTTGCGGATGATGTTTTAGACGTTCCATGGAGACACAAATTGTTATTGCCAACAATTGCATCCCTGCCTTTGCTCATGGTTTACTATGTAAATTTTAATGTAACAACGATCATCGTTCCAAAACCGTTACGTGAATGGTTAGGACTTTCAATTGACATTGGATTAGTATATTATATCTATATGGGATCTTTAGCTGTCTTTTGCACAAATGCCATTAATATTCTCGGTAAGAATTAAATTTGGTTTTTACAATGAGATTTAAAATTGTAAGGCCTTGAAAACTGAACTTACTATTTGTATTTGCAATCACAATTCTTAAAAATGTTATAGCTGGTGTCAATGGTTTGGAAGTTGGGCAGAGTATTGTGATAGCCGTTTCTATTGCTATTTTTAACATAATTGAACTGTATGGAAATTTATGGAAAGCTCACCAATTCAGCTTATATTTTATGTTGCCATATATCGGAGTTTCCTTTGCACTATTAAAACATAATTGGTAAGTCTGATTCCATATTATTGCTAAACTGAAATCTACTCTCCACATTTTACTTAGTTGCTCCACACTTTATCAAAGTAGAAATAAAGAAATAACATGTTTTTCACTAATTTTTATTTACATAAATGAAAACATATTTAATTGATACACTGTAGTTTATCACAGACCTCTTGGTAATTGTCAATACAAACTTAACAAAGTATTTTTGATTTGTTTTGTCGATTAATAAAGTTCAGTCAATATCAAAAATCAGATCTGTCAAATAAAAACTTATTTAGCTTTAGGCATAATAATCATCTTGAGAATACAAATTTATTAATAAGAAGTCAAACTTCCAATCATTCTCTAATGCAAAATTTGGTGCAAAATTATTATCAGAGTACCTGTGACTCCTTTCAAGCTGCATTTTGCCATCTATATATAAACCACCTTCAATCAAGTTCTCCAAGTATTTTATATCAATCTTTTGAACATTCATTTTGTCCCAGTGTACAAAATGTGAATTATTAGCTAAATATTCCACTAATTGATCTGTGGTGCCACACAGTTCACAATACCACCCTCCAGTATGATTTAAATCACCCAAAATTATCCCTTTCTGTGAAAAGTTGGGTGAAGAACTATTACTTGCAAGCAGTTCCAAGTTGTCACTTAAAATATTTCTCAAATACGATACAGTACAAGCACCTCCACTTATTATGGTTTTTGAAGGGTGTCGCCAGAAAAAACCATAGACTGACCTCCTTAAGCGAAAACTGATTGGTTCAGGAAAGTCATCATAGAACTTCAAAAAAATTAATGCATCTTTGTGGGGTATTTCATTGCTATGACTAGTGAAAATTATATCATCCGCCCTTAAGTTGCTTATATAAGGTTCTACTAAATTCCATAAATTATCAGCTTCACCTTCAACATACAATATCTTCTGTTGATACTCCTGACAAAATTTGATTTTCATTTTTTGCTTTAGTCGACTGCCTCTTGGTTCATGAATGACAAACAAATCGACAATATCGCCTAGTTCATGTATTCTAATGTCCGTCAGGTGTTCACTAAAAGTGTCAAATTTAAACAAATATATGAGTCTTCTCTGAAATATTCGCGGGCCCTTTAGTTTTATTGGTTTTTTATTTGCCAGTAGGGCCCGTAGCAACACTTCTGAATAACCACAATCGTTGCCGTGCCAGCCTGGGAGGCAACTACATTGCCAGTTAAGTTCCCTAGAAATCCTCATTGAGAGTATATCAGTGCCTCCCGTAAAGCACAAACTTGAATTGAAATTAATAAAATATTCTCGGGTTGTGAATCGCTTCAAGTTTATTTTGCCTTCCGTTAGTGTATGATATGTGAATTTTTCGGGTTTCTCTTGTTCGCTATTGGTAAGGAAGGAGATTCCCTGCAGCTTCAGTTTATTTTCCGTGTTTTGCAAATAAAAATATGATAAAACTAATAGAATTTGGGTGAGCAAAAGCATCCAAAGGGATACCTTCTTTAAATTAGGCCTGAATAAATTCATCGATTTTTATTTTCACAGACCGGTAACTGAATTCTCAACCCATATTTGTCACATTCAACCTTTCAAAATGAGACCTCCGCCCAGTCTTATTTTTATTAGGCTCATGGCATAGTATAGACGGTCCTTCAGAAGGCAGGATCCATAACAGAATTTTTGGTTAGCCTCATCAAGATATGATACGGAACTCAATTAGTACACAGTTTATTAATTTCGTTCTCTACACTTCAAGCGCTATAAATCGCGACAACTTTAAGTTAGTAGTTGTTGGGAAATAATCAAGATTTATAGAATCATACTTTTTGTTATTTGTCGTTTTATTTATTTTTAGGTATCCATCCTCGGTATTCGTGGGCGACACATTTTGCTATTTCTCAGGAATGACATTTGCAGTGGTCGGGATTTTGGGTCACTTCAGCAAAACTACGCTATTATTTTTCATTCCTCAGGTTTTCAATTTTCTTTATTCATCTCCTCAGCTATTTAAATTAATACCTTGCCCCAGACATAGGTTGCCAAAATTTAATTCAAAGACTGACCGAATGGAAGTTAGCATCACAGTGTTTAAATATTGTGATCTAAATATTTTAGGAAAATTGATCCTTGTGGTATTTAAAATATTAAGACTAATACAGTGGAAGGAAAATGATGGGATTGTAGTGACAAATAACTTTACACTAATTAATTTAGTGCTGCTATACTTTGGACCCTTGCATGAAGCCAAATTAACAACAGTTTTAATTTTAATGCAGGTTCTGTGCAGCATACTTGCTTTTGTAATTAGGTACCCATTTGCTTGGGTATTTTATGACATTTAATAAAAGAAGAAAAGTATGTTGTTTTAGGGTACTTTAAATTTAAATGCTATTATTGTTACCAAGAAATATGTTCAATAAAATGTTGAGTTTTTTTGACAGTTTTATTCAGCACTATTATAAAAGAGTGCGCCGATACTAGAACAAGGTACAGATGACTTCTATATACTTCTTAAACTAAACAAATACACTTTAAACATCATAACCTACAATGTGCCGTTTTCCAATGCACTCGCCTACATAAAACCAGCAAAGGACCTAAAACGAAAGATTTGCTCAAAATAAATCCATAAAAACGAATTTGGAGCGTACAGCATTTGCTTACCTCAACAGTAATTAAAGTATTCAACCAAGCTTCCCTGACAGTAACATTTTTCCAGTTTCCAGCTCGTGCACCACTGATAAGTTTACTAATGCCAGCGCGAATTTGAGGAATATCAGCCGGAGTTGGAGGTGACAATTCCACTTTTGCATATTTTACAAAAGTATTCAATCTGGGTCGAGCCTCGGCAGCCAGTCCTATAAAAAAAAACGATTTTTAAAGGTTATATTACGTAATTATATTCGTAAATTTACTAATGATTATTATTTCCGTTACTTACTGTTTGCCAAACTTGGAATTTGGGCGACCAACTTCGACATTTTCTTAAATAATTGTTCTACCCCGAAAACTTATAAAAAAAATTACTCCGATCACCCTCCAACCACAGACGAGCACAAACACAGACCATTACATGCCATAGACTAACATTAATACTTTTTTGTTGAAAGTTGAGATTCTGTGAAATATTAATAAACCGAAAAGACTTGCACAAACATAATGTGAATAAAATTAATCTGAACTGAGAAAGTTAAAATTTAAAAGTGGGCAAGAGTTTTAACTTTCTTCTTCCAATTAGATCCAGAGAATAAAATTTACCATGCAACTGACCAATGACCAGTAACCAATCTTTGATGTTTTTTGAAAAATTATTCTGAATTCATCGCCCTGGTAAAATACAAAAATGCCAATTGAATCCTTAAGTAGTGAAAAGCTGATAGTAGTGTTAGATATAGGAACTGCTTATACAAAGTAAGCACACATTTTCTCGTTTTCACAAATTAAGTGTCAACATGTTGGTTTTAGGTTTGGGTTTGCAAGTGAATTCGCCCCCAGATATATTATACGCTCAGAAGTACGTTGCAAAACAACGGATCGGTTACGTAAACTGTGTGACTATGAATCTCCAGAAGATTTATTTAACATGCTTACGGATTTTATTCATATGATATATTTTAAGTTTGCACTAGTAAGTCCCAAAGACAGGCCAGTGGTAATTGTTGAATCATTACTATGTCCTACCTTGTTCCGCGAGACACTCGCAAGGGTATGAGAAGTGAGGCTGTAAGCATATCATTTTGTAAAAATGTTTGTTTTAGGTGCTTTTTTGTCAATATGAAGTATCAATGATTTTAGTGTTGCCTTCGCACTTAGTAAGCTTAGCAAGTTTAGCAGTACATACTGCACTTGTACTTGATGTGGGTTATAAAGAAGCAGTAGCTATACCTATTTGTCACGGTCTGCCTATTATACAAGGCTGGCAAGCACTGCCTCTTGGAGCAGAAGCAATACATAGGCAAGTGACTAATTATTTATACTTGCCCTGCAATGTTGCTTAATATTTTAGTAATTTGAAAGGACTTCTAAGTAGCTCGAATAGTGGAGTACAGAATCTCCCAGAATCTGTTATAGAGGATGTAAAAGTAAGATGTTGCTTTGTCACTAAGAAATCTCGAGCAGAGCAGCTTTCTTTAGTAAAATCTGAAACAATTCCTCCACCTGAAGTGAAGTACCCAGTAGGAGGAAATACCATTCTAAATGTCTGTGGGAAAACTAGGGAAAAAGCATATGAAATATTGTATGAGGAGGTAATACCTAAAATGTTTGTTATATTTGAATTAACATAATATTGATCTAATTGACTTGTGTAACCATTTTTTAAGGATAATGATCACTACTGTCTGTCTACAATGATATTAGATTCAATTTTGAAAGTGGATCTTGATTTGAGGCAAAAATTGGCCGAAAATCTGCTTCTTATTGGAGGGACCACAATGGCGCCTGGTTTTAAGGCTCGTTTAAAGGAAGAATTAGCTAAACAGTTAAAAAGTGAACGTTACAAGGTTTTGAATATTAAGGAGTTTTATTTTCATACCCCACCTTGCAAGGAAAATTGCACGGCATGGCTCGGAGGTATTTTGAATTATTTGTTTTCTGCTGGACTTAAAAATGGAAATCAACGTAAATGTTCCTATTTTTAGGTGCTCTATATGGAGCTACAGAATTCCTTTCCTTGAAGGCTTTTACCAAGGAGGCTTATTTAAAAGAAAAACACCTTCCAGACTGGGTTAACTTAAGAGATGTGACTAGCATTAGGGCCTTGTAATCATTTTTGGTTCACGATAATTATTCTGCTAATGTAAAAAGTGCATGTGTCCTGTTTTTATTTATGAATATGCTATTTAACCTTTAATAAAAATTTTGCACTTTCCACTTCAAACACGTTTTATTGGAATGTGTGCAAAAATTGCTTGAAAATATTGATTTTGTTTTTTTGCCAACTTGTTTTTAAATAACTACTAGATAATCAGAGGTCTGCTCTAACTATCGTGACAAAACATTCTTTTGGAACCAACATTCAAAATGTGCATGTGCGAGTCATTTCAAACATCACGCCAGCATTATCTAAAAGCAACTATACTCTTTTGTCAAATAAGTGTAGGTTCAAAAGTTTAATTCAAGAATATATATATAACAACAACCTAAAGCTCAAACATCAAAAGAGAACAAACTAATACATAGATATCTAAAAAAATAGTGGAATTACATTTCATACACTCATAATAATGTTTCAAATAATTTATACATCCCAGTGCCCTTTAAATGTACTAAACAGAGTAAGGCAAGACTAGATACTCTGAAAATGATATTATTTTTTGAACACCTCTTACTTCATTGTCTAAGAGTGGCAGCTTAACCACGTGGAAGTCTTCGTAAAGATCTTGTATCTGGTCTAGATACTTTTGCTGAATTTTCATACGGGCAGTGCACATTTTGCAGCTGTCATCACCGGATTTTTTGAATAACAACTGATTTACTATAATATTGTGAGTGTCTATTCTACATTTCGTCAATTCTTGTACCAACCTCTCTGTTTCGTACAATGATAAAAATTCAGCTATACAGACACATATAAAGGTGGTCTGATCAGGATTTTTAAATTGCTTGTTGACTTGTTTTATAACTGATAAAAGTTCTTCCATTTTCAATGAAAAACTATCAGAATTGATATCCGACATGCCAATCAGCCCACCAATTTGATTGATGAGAGGTGAAATTTTCATTTTAATTTTCATTAATTTCCCTAAACCCTTTTCAACCACTTGTGGAAAAGAAAGCAAACGAAGTGTGTGACCTGTAGGAGCAGTGTCAAACACTACAACAGAAAAGTTCATGCTTTTTATTAGCTTCATAACTTCAGCATAACTCATTGTTTCATCAGTACCCGGAAATGCGTTAATAAGTTCCTGAAGTATACCTACAAAGGACTAGTATTGGTATTGGTATTAAAGGGGAAGGACTAGTAGAGTGAAACACAAATTCTCAGAGAGATTCAGAGTTACAAATTACCTTTGCTCATTTTCATCGCATCTTGATCACCATCAAAATATTCCTCTGGTAACTCATTAACACCGATATTTGGATCAATTTCCATGGCATACAAATTATTAAAACCTCTCACCAATGTTGGAACCTTGGTGAACTTTTGATCAAAGGCATCAGATATATTATGAGCTGGATCTGTGGATATAATTAAAACAGATTCACGCACTTTTGACAATTGAACAGCTAAGCTGCAGCTGAAATCAAGTATGGGGAATAAATTCAGTGTTACTATATTTCTGGGATAAAGTTACCTGCAAGTTGTTTTTCCAACTCCCCCCTTACCACCAACAAAAATCCATTTTAAACTAGTTTGCTGAATGACCTTATTTAAAGATGGTTCCAACGTAGAAATTTCTGACATTTTATGCAAACTGATTAATTTCGTGAATTGTAGAAAATTGTGCTTACAAAAAATTGGTTACTGTGAACTCATTATAAACATCAAAACACAGAGCACAGAAATTAAATTTGTTTCACGTTGTCGAGGTCGAACTGTAGTCATGGAAAAGAGAGGGAATTAGTATATTATGCAACAAGTGTGGTAAACGTCATTTGACGAGTTTATTTGACACGAGCGGAGCGAGTTTTTAATAAACGAGTGAGTTAAAAAGTTTACCGAACTTGTTGCATACTAAACTTTTTCTACGACCGTTAGTTTTTGGTTACATTTTCGCAAAACAACACGAATATATTCACTCACATGACCGTCAGAATTGACAAACGTCAATGTTCAAAGCGTGGGAAATATCTAAAATCCCGGAAATGTCCGAAGTAGCTCGGATTCATAGGAAACGAAACTGACGTGTGACGCTTCCCGCACTCTAGATCGGTGGGTAATTAGGTATTTTACAGACGGGAGTAGAAAAAAAAAATACTATTTGCACTCAGCTAGGCATATCCATTACGATCATGCGCTCTGTATCCTGTATGCATAGAAAAGCTGCCATTGTTGTTATAATTAATCTCCGATGTAACTACCTTCTTTGGTTCACGATATCAATGCACTCGAGCTTATTTTTAATGCTAAACTATTTTTCCCTGGATTTTGGTAAGTGAACAGCCAGATTGACTGGGACGAGCTGCCCCCCGACTCTGGTTAGATAAGTGGAGTCACTTTCGAATCATCGCCACACTGATTAACCTGATTGCGTTTTTTAAATTTGGCATGACTCGAATAGGATAGTATGAAGGCTGTTCTAGGAAGACCAATAGCGATGATCCGGGCAATGGTTAAAAGTTTTATTTTCGTCAAGTGACGCACAGCAGAAAGTTAACAAACAGCTTATGTAATATGTATTATCGATTAATTCCTTCTACTGGAAAGACAAAAAAGCATAAAAATTTGGAAATTGTGTGTGGGTATAAAATAACGGAAAGGAACTACAACACATTTAAGTGCAAAGTTGGCGAATTACCAAATCAATGACCTCAATTCAATTCAATAATGCGTTTCACTAAAACAGTTGGGCAAGACTGCTATGATTATTCGCCCATTACCGACTTCCGTCGAGGATATAATCAATGACCGCAATTCAATTTCGATCAGGCGTTTCACATTAAAGTTGGGCAACACTGCTATGATCATTCGCCCATTGCCGACTTCAGTAAAGGATTTTCGCTTTTGATCATAGACCACTACGTAAAAATAAGAAATATAACCAATATTTGCTCAGTTAGCAAAAAAGGATTTTGACATATACCAAAAAAACCGGCATCCCCCCGCTCCCCAACGGACGAACCGGGCCCATCCGGCCTCCATATCGGCGTGAACGGTCAAAACAGCGACACTGCTTAAACACATAAAAACGATCAGCAAACACTTCCGAAAGAGAATCACACGAAAAAATACCAATATCAGGGTTTTTGGGACGAATACAACGGATTCTGTAGGGAGCGAGCAGAGATTAAACCGCCGTGTGCAATGCTCCAACACAGAATCAAAAGAATGACTTAAGAAGTCCTCGAAGTCTTCTTGATTTTGATAGTCGTAACTGCTCACTCTTAGATTGCGATCTGTGCATATGTCAAAATTAAACAAAATCATTGTTTAACCTCAATATTCTGTGCTAGGAATTTGGTGTATCATTCTGTTAAACGCTAGTATTTTGTTAGTTTATTTTAAAATAAGAATTTCAGAAACTCAAAATGTCGCGTGGAAGTAGTGCAGGTTTTGACCGTCACATAACCATTTTCTCACCCGAAGGTCGATTGTACCAAGTAGAATATGCTTTCAAAGCCATTAATCAAGCCGGCCTTACATCTATTGCCCTAAAAGGGATTGATACGGCAGTGTGTGTTACGCAGAGAAAAATACCTGATAAGTTAATCGACGCAAATACTATTACCCATTTATTTCAGCTAACTGATAATATTGGCTGTGTAATGACTGGTATGATTGCCGATAGCAAGTCACAAGTGCAAAGAGCTCGTTATGAAGCAGCTCAGTTCAAGTACAAGAATGGATATGAGATGCCAATAGACGCACTATGTAGACGCGTCGCAGATGTTTCACAAGTTTACACACAAAATGCTGAAATGCGCCCATTAGGGTGTTCAATGGTGCTTATAGGATATGATGCTGAATACGGCCCATGTGTGTATAAAGCAGATCCTGCCGGTTATTACTGTGGTTACAGAGCTGTAGCAGTTGGAGCAAAGCAAACTGAGGCGAACAGCTATTTGGAAAAGAAGCTAAAGAAAAAACATGAGCTTCAGCATGATGATGTTATTCAGCTGGCCATTGGTTGCTTATCCAGTGTGCTTTCTGTGGATTTTAAGCCAAGCGAGATTGAGGTTGGAGTTGTATCTAAGGAGAATCCAAAATTTAGAAAACTAACAGAGCAAGAAATTGATAGACATCTCACTGTGATAGCAGAGAAGGATTAAGTTAGTTGTTTTGTATTTCACGTTTTTTTCCAATTTGTGGATAAAAATACATATTTCAAATCTATACTCCACTTGTTTCCCTTTGTATTTTGTTTAGCAGTTATTGCAATTGTCACAAAATGAAAAATGCTAACAAAATTTATTGTGAACACCCAGAAATTTGTATTATTTGCACTTTTTGTCCATTAAAAATATTACTGTAAATTGTAAAAAGGTTGAAAGTTGAAGAAAGAGGGTGGGTCTTTCAGACAATAGTCATTTTGAAATTAAATTATCTATTTTTACCTAGGATTAAATACTATCTCGAATTCTGTTATGGCAAAAATAACAGCATTAAAAGGGTATAATAAATGTTGGAGAAATATGTTTGCATTAAACTATGTAAAATAAATAGGCGATATAGCATTAGATTAACAATGGTTAGTTAATCTAAGAATATAACTCAATTACGCTTTTACCATTATAAAATAGTATGATCTAAGGATATATGCTCAGAATACTGCTAAATATAACTGTCCAATGTTGCCAGTTTAAAACATTGAAAATCACCAGGCACTTAAGTTGTGCAGATTTTTTCAAAATTAAATGTATTATTTAAAATACATTTTTTTAATACTTCTGTTACTTCAGTAATGACTAATTTTCTGCTAACAGAGTAATTTTTGGAAATAGTTTGCATTACAGACCGAAATTCTAAACTAGAAATAGGTTAGTGTCGTGTCTAATAACTCACCAGAAGATTAGGCTGTTCCAAAAATGTTTACCATATCTAAGTTTTTTCGTTCCTTGTGTGCTGCCAGCACATCTTACCAAAAATTTGGAGCCCAATGTTTGTAGACATGGCACCACTGTCGCGCCGATGTTAGGGGTTTTAATTACCACCAACAATATAGGTTTGGGAAGGCGCTAATTGCCTTTGGAACATACTTTGTCTATGTTAATTTTATACTGTGAAGGTTTTCAAAAATATATTGTTTTGACAATAATGTGTTTTCTTTTATTGGATGGAACTAATAAATTTATTATTCAAGTTGTTATTGAAATACATAGTTATGGAAAAAGAACTAAAGCAACTGACCAGTATTCATTCACAATGTTAGATAGTCTGTATTAATATTATTCATACCCTGACAAATAATGTGATAAGATTGTAGTGTTTAGTAGTAATAGTTTCAGGTTCTTTAACTTAAGATTTTAAGATACTGGTGTTTCCTGTAGAATATGTTCCCTATTAGAGATCATGGTAACTAAGACTTATTTAAGGTGTATGCTGCAATTTTTTACCTATTATTTTCTTGGCAGAATATCAGGAAATAGGTGATAATAATGTTCAAGAAATTTTAAACGAAGAACAAGATGAGGTTATTTGTAGAATTTCTGGTCTCAAAGCATCTGTGGAAAAAACGCTCCTTTATCATTTTATAGGAGTATTGTTGCTTGGTATCCCATATGTATTTTTTGAATCTTATCCAAAAATGAAGGCCAGAGTTAAATATAAACAATGTCCAAACAAAGTAGCAGCTTTCCTTTTAGGTAAGGAATAACTGTAGTATAAGAACAGTAAAGAAAAAAAATCCTTTCTAATATTTTTGTTTGAAAGTACTTTATCGACACAAAATTTCAGCCAATCAAATTCTGGTTTTTTGTTTGATTAACATCAACTTCACAAAAACATATTCAGAATTGTTGATGTTAACAAGTGGGAATTTTCCCAAAAAAGTTTTAAATTTCCATTAACTACTAATGTTAATTAAATAACAAAAATGTACCTAATTAACCAAATGACTAACTAATTAAATAAATGATTAATAAGAATTGGATGGGGAATAAGAATTTTTAAACTTTCTTATCAAATGCCTATCTACTGCAATATTCGCATTAATTATAATTTAAGCTCATGAACATATTTGAAGTAGAAGGATCAACTCTACCTGTTTTATGATTTTTAGTAAGCGATAACCATCATAATGATTATATTCAAACAGTCAGCATGAAGGGCATTTGCCTACCAAATAGAGGCCATTTGAATTTGAGATATTTTCATCATCAACATACTTTATTTGTTTGGATAACAGAGAGAGAGGAATTTGGTACATTGAGTTTATTAATTCCTCCATTGACAGTCGATGAATATTTAAATAATACTAGTGGTTTGTGTGATCACAATTATTTGGAATTGTATGTATGAAATATTTTGTGGTTTAGTACTCAATATTTGTTATTGATTACATTTTTAGATTGAAACTATATGGTTTCAATAAAATTGAAGTTGAAATTAAAAGCTATTGGAAGTTATTTACTGAAGAAATTTTCAACCCGTTTTACATGTTTCAAGCTTTTTCTGTAATCCTTTGGTGTATTGACGAATACTTTATTTATGCTGGTTGTGTTGTTTTTCTCACTTTATTTTCAAGTATTACTGCTATGATCCAGACTCGCAAGGTAGTATTTTTTAATCCATAAAATTGATGGGATTAAAATTCAATTGTTGTACTTTAGCAAAGTGAGAAGTTACATGATAGTGTAGAAAGTTCAAAATGCCATAGAGTTGATGTATTAAGGTCAGACTGTCATGGGAAGCTTAGCAACTTAACCATTGATCCCGAGAAATTAGTACCTGGGGATTTAATAGTTCTTCCCGTGGGAGATTACGTTATGCCCTGTGATGCAGTCCTTATTACTGGAGAATGTATTGTGAATGAAAGTGTTCTTACTGGTGAGTTGAAGATCTTGTTGCTTGGTGAAAGTTAAATTCGAAAGACATTTCTAGGTGAAAGTACGCCAGTTACTAAAACTGCTCTTCATTCGGACAATAAGCAATATAGTACTAATGCGCACAAACGTCATACCCTTTTTTCGGGTACCTATGTACTCCAAACTAGGTACTATGGGGGAGAAAGTGTACTAGCTAGGGTAGTGAGAACTGGTTTTGAAACGTGCAAGGGCCAATTGGTCAAAAGTATTTTGTTTCCGACTCCAATAAATTTACAGTTTTACAAAGACGCATTCAAATTTGTATTTGTCTTATTTACCATTGCTGTGAGCGGCATGGCTTATTGTTTATACCTGTACTTTGAAAGAGGTGTAAGTGCAAAAAGTTCCTTTGTATCTCTACCTACACAATCTAAAATTTGAATTCAAATTTTTAATCTATATGGTCCAAATTGTAGGCTGCCTTAAAGCAAATTCTAGTTAGGACTTTTGACATTATTACTATTGTTGTACCTCCAGCACTGCCGGCAGCAATGGCCGTAGGGTCAGTCTACAGCCAAAGCAGATTGAAGAAGTTGAAAATTTTTTGCATCAGTCCACAAAGGATAAATGTTTGTGGCAAAATAAAGTTGGCTTGTTTTGATAAGGTATATTACCAACCACCTAGAAGATCAATTGATCTCCAGATTTCTTTTAGACTGGCACACTAACCCATGAAGGTTTAGATATGAACTCTGTGATACCATGTTACAACAGCAAGTTTTTCCGCCCCGTTACCGATGTTAATGATTTAGATTCCAACAAAAAATTTGTACAATGCATGGCAGTTTGTCATTCTTTGACACGAATTGGAGGAAAGTTAAATGGCGATCCTCTGGATTTAAACATGTTTGAGTTTACGAAGTGGGTGAGTTTGTTGAATTTATTGAGTGGTTTATTTGAGGTCATGTTTTGTTTTGTGTGTATATCGAATTAAATTCCTCGCAGAGCTTAGAAGAGCCGGGCCAAGATGAAAATTCAAGGTTTGACATGCTCGCTCCAACCATAGTTTCACCAAGTGCGAAGGAAAATTCGTTCCTTTCAAGAGATGCCGGCGCAATAGGACAGGTAACTGATATTCCAGCAATCTTTGAATGCTGTATTGTATAAACCATATCATTCTGGTTGCAGTGGTCAACAAATTTTATATAGATACGCTAACAGGAGTTTCTTGTAAATTGACAATTTTGATGGGTTGGATGCATCATTCTGACATTAAATACTGGTCAAACAAATTGAGAAAGTTCTCCATAAATGTATCCACGAAAAAGGACTTGTTCTTATTTTCTTCAAAATTTTTTGAAAACTTGAACTTTGTCCTTGAATTTGTCATATTACGCTATAAATTTTTGGTGGGAATTATGTAGCTAGCTAGAAAAATATGATGCTGATTGTATGGAATGTTAACAAACCCAAAGGTCTGACACTTTTAAATGAAACACGCACTTTGTTTAATGAATATTTCTCCTTTTTTCGTTGTGCTCTATTTAATATAGGATTTTGTAGAGTTGGTATAACACTGTTTTATTTTCAGCAAAACTATCAAATCGGAAAACTTAAAGAATTTCCATTTTCATCTGCAAATCAATCTATGTCTGTGATATGTCGCGATCTGCGACAACCAAATATGACGGCTTTTGCTAAAGGTGCCCCAGAAAAAATATGTGGCTTATGCCTTCGCGAATCAGTCCCTCAAGACTTCAACTCCAAACTGTCATATTACACTGCCGGGGGCTATAGAGTGATCGCGCTAGCGTATAAGGACCTCCCAATGAAATTTAAGTGGAAAGACGCACAGAAAGCTAAAAGGGATATGGTATAGAGTTTTGGTTTTGTTCTCAGAATGATTTAAATATTTTTTTGTAGATCGAGCGCGACATGATTTTCCTCGGTCTGCTTATCATGCAGAATCCGTTAAAAGATGAAACTAGACCTGTTCTGCAACAGTTACAAAGAGCCAATATTCGGACAGTCATGATAACAGGTTAGTTGGTAAATATTTTGTGAATTAAATTTTTGAGGCTGCTTATAGTCCCTATCAAAATAGACATTTCAAATAACAAAAATTTCGACAGAGCTTGTTTCTTGATGTACAGTTCAAAAAGTTCCAATTGATTCTATGTATGGTAAAAAATTTATTCAAGGTCGAGATAAAAAAAAAATTATCATTATCTTTTTATCTTTATCAATTTGTTAACTATAAAAATCGATCTTATACTGTTTTCCTAGGAATCGCCATGCCCAAGATATCGCAGTTCTAACAGTTGGGTTACATTGTGCATCAGGCACACATGCTACTTATACGTCTACTTCACAAAAGTATTCCTTATATCAATTATACTGCCTCTTACATGCTCTCTTATTAACTGAACCGAAATGAACTGAAGATAAATTCAGGAAGGAACGGAAAATATGCCCCTAAAATCCTGTTTTTACTATGGTGATCTGTTGTGAATTAGTTTTGCTACTTCGACATTTTAGGAAAATTTAGTAGAATAATTCACATTATTTCTGCGATATTGATGGCGTTTACGCAAATAGTTGGATTCCAGTATATATACAGGGTGTTATATATATAATAATATAATAATAAATCGATATACAATAACGATTATGACCGCAACAATTTATTTTTTAAAGCGATATTTGTTTCTGTGACTAGTTTTCTAAAGAGCGAATTTAATTAAACCAGATACATCCGCGAAACACCATCAGATCAAAAAACACTTCCTTGGTATCTATTGTTGACAAGCATATTTGGAGCGGTTTTTCTGGAATACCATGCTGGAACCATTATGACGAGTATTTTTGCCGTTTGTCCATCGACCATGAGATTTATTCATTAAATTATACGATGTCATTTCAATAACACCCTGTATATAGTCAGGCACTTTAATAATAACAATAACAATAATAATAGTAATGATAATAATAATGATAATAAAAATTTTTATTCAAAATATATATAGTTAAATATACATACATACAGGATACGAGTGCAACTAAAATATATAAATAGTTCAGTTGATTTTACATGTATCCCGGGAAAGAATAAATAAATAAACAAAAAAATAAATTATCTACATACCCAAACTCTAGAAACATTTTTTTAATAATATAATATGATGCTGCAATAATGTTTGGAAAGTTGAGATTGAAGGCCGTTGTAGGATTTCGCCAAATCATAAGTAAAAGACCTCTCAAACATAGCACTATGATGGCGAGGGATAATAACATTACCATATAAAAAAAAGCCTATTTGTGTCTTTTATATGTATGAACTTATATAATACTGAGAATATACTGTCAAAAAAACCGTTAGTTAGTCCTTTGCACACCCATGGACTTGAATAGAGATACTCTAGTGTCCAGCGCTCATATACCTGTCTTTTTTGAGTGACTTAAATGTGGCATTATTTGTAATAAATTTTTAACTGAAGGTGGAATTGCGCCAATTAGTAAAATGAAAAAGTTGTACTGCTAAAAGTGACTGTGTGTGGAGTGTTTATCAGCGTACATTAATTATTAAGGCCAGTCTTCATCAAATATTCAATTTAATTCAACAGAAACAAGTTGATTTACTTGAATGTTAAAGTCGACTTTAAAGAGTATGAAATCAATATCAATAATCATAATGAATCAAAAACAGTATTTTTCTAGCGGATCATGGAGTAAGTCCATATAGCTATTAAAGATATAGAGGCCTGCGGCGCTTTAATTTTTATGGATATAATGGATGCATATAATGAAAAATGATATTTTTGACTTTTGAACTTTAATAACATTTTCGGTACACATGGGATAAATTGGGACTTTTGACCGTTTAATTATAGCCCAAGTCTCCACCAAAATCCAGCTTTGTCGGAATTTTTGGTATTTGGTTAGTATTTCAATGTATAATTTGAATTGATTATTATCATTCTTAGGGGATAATATTATGACCGCGATCGCAGTTGCCAAAGATTGTGGGATGGTGCCGCCAAACTCTGATGTTTACATTCTCGATGCTGACGAATCGAATGAATCGCAAGGTTTTACAATAAAAAAGGCCGGTTCCAGCGATAGAGAAGACCAGATTCGTTATTATAGGAATACGGACTGTCATTTTGCGATAGACGGAAGAACCTGGAACTTGTTTAAAAATAATTTTCCAGATATAGTTCCGGGTCTGCTGGTCAGGGCTACGATATTTGCCCGATTCCAGCCCGACCAAAAGACGCAGCTCGTTACTTATTTCCAGAATTTGGATTATATCGTTTCCATGGTCGGCGACGGTGCTAATGATTGCGGGGTTTGTTGAATTTTTTAATAATCGAATATCAGTCCCTACTTCAGTTTTCTTTCTTAATTATTTTCTCAGTGATATTTTGATAAACCTACATAAAATTATAATCCCACTAGGCAATTTAAAAAAAAATGTATGTGGGAAAACTAAAATTTGGAAGATTTGGGCGCCTATGGTTTTAAAATTTTTTAGTTTAATAAAATCGTTACTTTGCTCAGTTTTCTATTTGTTTTTGATAGCAATTGAAATCTTTTTGTTATGAAAAAGAAATACTAAAGAAACATTAGTATTATGTAGTATAGATTTAACTATTTCAAGACAAAATATATATTTTTAAATTTACCTTCTTAATTTTTTTAAAACAATATCAGAGACCTCTTATGGGTGATTCTTTAATAAAAATGCTTATTATCTGCATTCATATTAGATATTTTGACAAAAAAGAAAAAAAAGCGAAACAAGATTCTTTGTACATATTTAGTTTTGTTCTGGCTTAATGTTGTTAATGGTTATTTTTAGTTTTAATATAGCAATTAATCTACAATATTTTAAAAACTATAATTGTTATAAAAAAAGAGAGGAGAGAACAAATTATGCAGACATCACTCCTCAAGTTTTCTTACCTTACATCATTTTTTTTTTTAACTATTTCCTAGGTGACATTTTGTTAAACCTACATAAAATTATGTCAATAGGCGATTTAAAAAAATATGTTTGACAGGAACATGTATATAGGAAAACTAAACTATTAAAAATTTTAAAGGTTAACTATTTAAAATTTAAAATGGTTTGATAACAATTGCAGTTTTTAAATATTTTTGTTCAAAGACCTTTTATGTTTAGTTGTATGTAAGTTGTCCTCGTTCTGGGTTAACTATTAAACAATGCTCATTTTTAACTTTTAATATAGTAATGTACAATATCTCAAAAACCATGATTGTTATAAAAAAGAAAGTATGGCGGTTTTATTTATAAAATTTACCTGAAAAGTTTGATCTAACAAGTGTAATTAAATTTAAAAAGTTTTAGCTCCCTGTGTATAAAAACCATGCTGGAAATACAAAAAATAAGGTTGTTTTCAGACAAAGGGTCTGCCGACCCATATTTTCGAGTCACCTTTTATACACAGTACTGTTTCGCTATACACAGGCTACTAATCTTTTACCGCCCTTTAGCGAGCCGTTTGACTGTGGCTCTCGACCTTTCGTGTAATTAGGCCCGCGCTGCCGAGCTTTTTTTGGTCACAAACAGATCCGCAAACTATTTTTGCCTTGTATACTTGTATAATATTGTTGAATCTCCACCGGACTTGCGATTTTTTTTCCATTTTTTTACCCAAAAAACCGATATTTTGTGATTTGATCGGTTAGGACGTTAAATTTGTATTTTTTTAGGCGTTAAAAGCTGCGCACGTCGGTGTTTCCTTGTCTCCGGCGGAAGCTAGCGTAGCAGCACCTTTCACGTCAGCAATTTCAAATATTTCGTGCTTGACGTTGTTGATGTTAGAAGGTAGATGCGCGTTGGTTACAAGCTTTGCTATTTTCAAATATATGGCTCTCTACAGTTTAATTCAGTTTATCACCGTGTTAATTCTCTATAAGGTAGGACTTCCAGGCATCCTATCAGCATATTATTTATAATAGGCAGCATTGTAGTGCCATTCAACCTTGGGAGACTTTCAGTTCTTATTTATTGATTTGATTATAACGACAACCCTAGCGGTCTCGATGGGAAGGCAAGGTAATATAAAAGGGACAAACAGTAAAAAGAGGGTAAATAAGTTTGCTTCCAGGTCCGGCCAATGAGCTTTGCCCAAAGAGACCGATGAGTTCTCTAGTATCCGCCAAAAATTTGTTGCCTCTTATACTTCAGATTATAACGTGCGTCTGCGTTCAGCTAGGGGCTCTTTTTTATTTATATCAGCAGACGTGGTTCAAGCCGATACCGCCGGACACAGTTGACGAAGTCGTGGTCTCATGGGAGAATACAGTGCTTTTTAGCGTTTCATGTTACCAGTATGTCATATTGGCAGTGCACCTATCAAAAGGACGTCCCTATAGGTATGCCAAGTTAAGTTTGCCTCCTAACAGCATCTCTAAGGATATTCGATTCACTCTGCATAATTTCAATAGTGCTAAATTAATAATACCCAATGTGAAAAAAAAGTCCATATGTTACTGTATTTCAGTTTTATAATTTACTCTAATACTGGCAGTTTTCAGTCTTGTCCATAACTGGTACACCCTGTACATTTTTGACTAAGCGGAATGTTTACGTTCTTGCCACGAATCTCGCACATCTGCTACAAGAATTTTTTCGATGTTGCATATGATTTTCAAGAAAGTCGAATTTTTTCATTATCCAAAAAATTTTTGAAAATATTTTACAAAATTCTTCGCGATTTCCGATCCCATCCAGTTGCAATAAGTCCCGACGCAACATTGAAAGCACAAACCAAAAATAGGGAATAAAATGACTGTAGATATCGTATCGTTTTAATATTTTGAGGACTGCTGAGGATCGAGACTTATTAAGACGTAATAAAATACAGAGAACAGGGAGCAAAGAAAAAATTGGCGAAAGTCGATTTCGTTTGTTTCGAATGTAATACATTTTTAAAAAAATATTGTTGCGATTGTTCTGATTCCAGGCAAATGTTGATTACAAATTTTTGGTTCATTACGAGCGCTTTCTTGCTGACGTGTTTCGTCATTTGGATGATGATTAGACCGTGTAACAAGGTGGCACAAATTATGGATATAATCTACACGTCTTCCGTAGCGAAGAAGCAGGATCATTTTAGGTATACGTTGTTGCTATTTCCTTTCGCTCACTTTTTCGCAGCCGGGTTTATAGAGGTGCGTTTAACAGGAGACTCTGACTCTCGTTCACTCCTTTTTTTTTCAGAAATGTATTGGAGATCGGTCGTGGTTGAAGAAAGTTCTGCAGAAGTTGTGTTGCAAAAAAATTCCTAAGAATAAGTACAAAGTGTTATTGCAGGACAATAATTTTTTCGAACGTCTTAATTCCCTAAGAAATAGACACGCCACTGCCCACCAAATATAATTGCCATATTTTTATATTCAATATTCTATTTTATATTGTCACTTCAATAAAGTTTTATTTTCTTATATTATGACTTTATTACCCGAATAAAATTTGCTCCTAATTTGCCGCGTTGCTTTATTGGTAATATTTTCGCGAGTGTGTGTCTAATTACACAAAGAAACATTTATGAATGTTTGCTTGTGCAGAAGGATTTCCCATAATTTGGTTTAGCCGTTCCACGCTTGGAAATATCTAAAGTTTATGCTGTATTGTCGCCACAGGTGTAACTTATCTATAAAAACTGAAGTTTTCGAACATCCTCGTAACTGGTTATTCCACATAGTAAACAGTTCAAAACCATTTTAAATAACTGTTGAATTAATATTTGGAAACAAAATACTTCTCAAATAGTCAAGAACGGTAAAATCACTAACAGCACTAACGATATTCGGGTCCAAATTCGAAATGTTAAATATACCGAAGCATCCGACGTCTCTGGTGGTAATCACGTTGCATGTCCATTATAAGGCATTAAATTAAAAAATGAAGAGTTATTTTCACTTCACTTCCATTGTACTTAGGGGTTATAAAATCGAAACTATTGACAGGAAAGGATCATTTGCGCATGCGCGAATAAATTCCTATTCTGTAATATGACGAATTTGACATAGTCATAAAAGGAATATAGCATTAGCTAAAAAACAGTTAAATAGCAAGAAGATGTCAAAATTTAGGGAATTTTGCGAATCCCTTAACAGAAAATCGAATATATCGTATGTATGGAAAAAAATTAATAAATTTAAAGGGAATAAAGTTTCCCGCAAACTACATAATATAGATGACTCCCGAGAGAGGGAATTCTGAATAAAATGGCCATTTGTAATATGGAACCCGAATTTACAATGAAAATTCCTGTAGAACATGTTAGACCGTTTACCTTGGAAGAACTAGATAACGGTTTAAAACATAAGAAGTTCTCTGCCCCGGGGTTAGATGACGTCTCGTATGAGATGATTAATCATTTACCAGTCGAAGCAAAAAAAGCCTTACTGAAAATATATAACAACATTCTAGATGGGGATGTCATCCCTACCGAGTGGAAAAAATATACCATCATCCCGATACTTAAACCTAATAAGAGCCCCCATAGCATTGACCATTTTAGACCCATTACCTTGGCTTCATGCTATATTAAAGTGTTAGAGATAATGATTAAAAATCGAATGGAACGTTTACTGGAAAGCAAAGTTACTTTCTCTCATTTCCAGACAGGATTTCGACACAGACAGGAAATAATAATCTAGCGTTGATTACTACACATATCAATCTAGCTTTTGCCCGCAATTCATCGTTAGCAGCAGTTTTTCTAGATATAAAATCTGCTTATGACACAGTTAATATTCCGGTACAGCTCTCCAACCTTATCTATAAAATACTGGAAAATAGATCTTTGGACCAATTGGACCAACATTAGCTACTTCGGGCCTCCCACAGGGGTCCCCCTTAAGTACAGTCCTTTTTAACATTTATACTTTACAATTATATAAACTCTTTCAAGGTCAAGTGAAGATAGTGGGTTACGCGGATGATTGGGTCCTGTTCTGCAAAGGGAAAGACATAGAGTTACCTACTTAAGCAAAGTTAATAGAGCTCTAAAAATATTACAGAACTGGCTAGAGAACAACAACCTCTCACTGTATATTGATAAATGTGAAGCCGTCTGGTTTAGAAAAGGTAGGAGAAGAGCCCCGTCGGTAAATATAAAAATAGATAATAAGGAAATTGCTTTTAAGAACCATATAAAATATTTAGGAGTGGTACTACAAAAACATTTGAAGTGGAATATGCACGTGGAATATAGCTGTGATAAAGCAAAGAAAGCAATTAATATAATGAAATGCGCAAGTAGAGTTTCATGGGGTGCAGACCCGCAAATCTTAATGACCTTACTTCATACTCTGATTAGGATCCACCTAGATTATGGTTCCATTTTCTTGAACCCCAATAACAAGACTGCACTTAACAAGTTTAATGTGATCCATTTTGAAGGTTTGAAAATAGCGCTGGGATGTATGAGGTCAACCCCAACGAATGTTTTGCTGGCGGAAGCATCGGAACTGGACCTGGACACAAGGAGGAGAAAACTCGCAGTGTCCTTTCTGGCTGGAGTCCTAGCCATTGCGGACCATCCTTTAACAGACCTCATAGAGAATCTCCGAAATTACTGTGGTAGGTACGGAGGTGATTTAGATAGAGATGATGATAGAATAGCGTGTGCCCCCTACGTGGCCCAGGGATTTAATATATATTTGCCTTACCGTAACAGACTTTATTCTAGTGCGACTTTCCCGTGCTTTAACGTAGACTTTTTTAACGCTATTGCCCCGATAGAACCACTTAAGCTAAATATAAAAAGAGAAAATGCGGAAGCCCATATTAGAGAGAAAATAGAGAAATATATCCAAACACATTGTCTGGTTTTTACTGATGCCTCTAAACAGGGTGAGAGGGTTGGATTTGGTGTTTATATACCAAAAATTAATTATAAATTTTCGGCAAAACTTCACAAAGGAATGTGTATTGCCACAGTAGGGACGATAGCAATAAAGGAGGGACTAAGAGTTGTTCTACAAAGAGCCTTTACAAAAGTTATTATTTTATCAGATTCTCTAAGCGGGATTCCTAAAATTTCAAATGGAAATTCCGACACTAAAATGGACTACATAACACTACAGGTCCGAGAGATGATGATGACGGCTAAAAGTATGGGAGGAGATGTTAGGAGTTAGAGCAATGATTTCGTTATAAATTAAGGACATCAATTACAGAAAAAAGATTTTATCCTACTTTCCAGCATTCCACGCACCCTTAACTCGTCTTTTAGCTGAACGTATAGTGGGCAGCAAATTGAAAACTGACGAATTGACGAACTGCTAGCGGTCAAATTGATTGTTTGATTGATTGATATAGAATGTCCCTTCCTAAAACAAATTTGTGTAGACCGCAAAATATTGAAATGACTCCTGGGGGGCTCATAACTGCTAATAAATGATCGTCCCCTTCCGCAATAAACGATATTGACGCACCCTGTACATAACATTCGGTAATATTAATTCCAATTTTGATTTTGCAGATGTTCAATTTAAAAATATACCACTCGCACCTTTTAAGTAGGCACAGGTATAACTGCGTAATGTGATTGAGTTTTATAGAACACTTATTTTTCATTGTTTAATACTGCTTAGGATTTTTATCTTATCGCCTGTTCGATGAAATCGTGCCTCACTCGTATTGTGCAAACTGTGTGAAACAAATTTGCAGTAGTTTTAAGATTGCAGGGCAAACTTCTGTTTGAAAATGTCGTTCGCTAAGGTTGACGTCGATGGTATTATCAAGAAATTAACATCAAAAGAGCGTAAGTCCGCATGATAACGTCGACCACTTTACATCAATCAGTAAATGTGATTGCGAAGTAAAGCAACGACAAAAAAAATAGAGTTGTTTATTTCATTCGGTTTACCAGCGTTGAATAGATTAATGGGATTATCAAAATTTGATGTTATATTGTAAATAATACATAATTTTCATTAGCTATTTTATTCTTTGTCCTCCTTAATTGAATTTTTAGTCGTTGTTATGATATTATTTCGTTTTATGTAATATTCATAACTTTAATTAGTAGCAAACAGAACGGTGGTAGTTTAGTACGTTCGAAAAATTGCCTTCAGCCAGCATTATTCAGAAATAAAAAATCTTTTGGTTGTTTACTAAAATATGAACCACTACTCAGTATAGGAAAATATGACTTTCTCTGTCTGACGTACTTGTTTGGTTTGCTTTTAGTGTATCTATTTATTTTGCAAATTTTGCAAATTTTTAAAGCTAGGTTTAAACCAAAAATCCATCAGAAATTGATCTACTTTTTGTCAAGTGTTTCAATACTAGAAAGTGTCCCTTTAAATTTTTAGTCAGAGAAAGCAACAAAATAAAAATGATCAACTTGCCAGAATCGGACATTAAAGGCCTGTGTTTCAAAGCGTTAAATGTTTTCATGTCACAACCGATGTTGTTGGAACTGGAAGCACCGATCAAAGTGTGCGGTAACTAACGATATAAATTTCGACGTTTTATTGGGTACAATAATCGGATACTTTTAGGCGATGTTCACGGACAATTTACCGACCTTCTGAAACTGTTCACATTCGGTGGATTTCCGCCCGATTCCAATTACCTTTTCCTTGGAGATTACGTGGATCGGGGCAAGCAATCCTTGGAAACGATGTGCTTGCTTTTAGCTTACAAAATCAAATACCCGGAGAACTTTTTTCTGCTCAGGGGAAATCACGAAGCAGCCCAAGTTTGCAAAATATATGGATTCTACGACGAATGTAAGCCGGTAATATTGACTGTCGCCCTTACCACAGACCCTGACCTTATAAATTGTATTTTAACTTTTAACTAAACGCGTTTTGGTGACACGTGAAAATATTTTATATGAGCACAATTTTTGACAATTGTTTACATCATAGTTGTTTTTGGTAAATTTTGGCAAATGATCGCCTAGTTGAATATCTGTCGAGACATGTTGTGACTTCTTTGATGAAATTATTGCCAAGCCATCTTTACAGTTTCGCAATTCTTGGAAAATAGCAAAAATATAATGTCCTAATTTTTACAGTTTTTGTTTACAGTTTGTTTTCCTATAGAATTAGTATCGTGTACATACCGAAATCAGTAAATCTGATTTTATAAGACGTTTTACCATGGCGCAATAACTAGTGTTGTATAAAACAAATGCAGAGATATACGTTTTAAAAATAGTATTTCGCCCACTGTTTACTTTCAAATTGTAGCTTAATATATGTGGGTAAGTAAAATTTACTTAGAATCGATAGAAAAATACGATTCAGTGTGTTTACTATCGATCCTAGTTTGTCTGCCAACAAAATGATGTCAAAGGAAAACAGATAACACCGATACATAAGTACAAAAAAAAATAATCACCTCTAAAGGCAATCAATCTTAATTCGCCATAAAATAAATTCAATAAATTCGATGGCGCAAGTAATAAATTTTATCCAATACGATTAAAAAAAGTCTTAATCGATAATACCAACGTTATCGGTCAGCACCTACTTATCAACATAATAAGAGTAACACCCTAACGCGTGAAACATTCTTCTAGGTAAACGTAGGTACAATACGAAACTTTTCAAAATTTTCACGGACCTATTCAACAGGTTACCCGTAGCCGCCATAATCGGTGACAAGATATTCTGTTGCCACGGCGGTTTGAGCCCTGACCTGTTACACATAGGACAGATCAGGAATATTGAGAGACCCATCGACGTTCCCATCCAAGGTATATTATTCCTGTTATTACGGTTACTATGGCCATCCTTAAAGGTTTTATTCGCTGGAGAAATGAAAATTTTTATAAATGATGGTTTGCAATGGCTTTACTTTTCATACGTAAGGGGTTGAAAATATATTAAAAAAGGGGTTTTTCTCCTTTTCAATTAAACTGCTGTAGATGTTTTGTGGGTCGTTTGGTAGAGGCCAGTGGCATCGGCGTAAACGTAACACTGAATATTTTTATCGACATGCCGCTGTTTTCTACAAAAATAAATTCCAACTTACGATTTTAAGCGGGAGCCAAGACGGCGGTCCTACAAAAGTTTCATATTTTAACCCAAAAATCATCAACTTCATTGCCATTTTCTTGAAGAAATTTTGCGAAATTTACTGATGGATGTCCGCCATTCTAACCCGAAATCGTACGTGTTTATGCACGATGGTCTACCAGTTCATTTCAGTCTCCTCAGTCTATGCTTTGTTTGCCCTTATAGCTGTTAGATAATGCAGTGGCCCTACGTATGCCTCTAAATTTCACCCACTAAGCTGCCCTTCGCGCCATTTTCGTTGTAACGGGACAATATCCATATTATTTAATTAAATTGCCGCATCTAAACTTGTTGACAATCTGTCAGCGGCCATGTTGGATGTTGCTAGGTTAGAAGCAAGATTTTAAACCTCGCGCATGCGCTTGTTCAATGAACCTTCTCAATTTTTTTTGTCATTGCTTTATAATCTGCATAGGTAGGGCCTCTATGTCTCTGGTAGCTACATTCCTGCCAAATTTCCACAAAATATCTAAATTCCTTTTATTAAAAATAAGGACAAACCCACTGAGCTAACTCTGTTACTCTGATAGTAGAGCTTAACTAAGGATAAGACCGTTCAAATTGAAAAGATAATGGTTCAGCTAAGAAAAGCGAAAGTGTGAATTATTAGAAAAAAGTACATTGACGTCATTGGCGCTTAAGTACAAATTTACGCTACAGCTGATATGACGTCACTCTTTTGTAGCAAATCGCACTGGGGTCAATGTGATAGTTTTCGAAAAAATAATAGAAAGGACAGCTCGGCATCTAATGGCAACAAAAATATGTATCTATCTATATATCCACTTACCTAATTAAATGCATTTTTTGTTCATTCGATTGTTCGCACATACTAATTTTCGATCGTTTTTTTTTATGTGTAGTAGTAGCAGTAAGTAGTAAGTATATATATAAAAATTGCTTGTAAAAGCAGCTGAAAACTTACGCACTTAAAAACTATTTAAATATAAAATTGTGCTTTTATTATAAAACTGGATACATAGTTCATAATTTTTTTGTTGGCGTATTTCTTCTTTTTTTTTTTTTTTTTGGTTGGTTTTTTGTTATTAGCACTTGCTTAAGAGGTATAAACAAACCTAAAAAATCATAAAGCAGGCCAACTGATATTGACCTAAGAGCAAAATATTATCGTGATACAAACTGCTTCAAAAAATAACAAAATATGAATAATATATTCAATGCCCTAAATGGAGAATAAAGTAAAAATTATTAGCAAAATACTATTCATGACACTAATATTTACAAATTGTTTAGTTTTCTTTTCAGTTTTTAAAATTCGTTTTAATCTGTTTTTTTGCCTATTCTCTTTCCTTCCTATGCCTGAATATTTCAAGTTCATTTTCAGCTCTCTTGGCTGATACATAAGTACAAAAAAAAATATGTTTGACTAGATAAACTTTCATGCAAAGTTTAATTTTGTTCATTTTTTACCACATAATCGACTAGAAAAGCCTCTTTTACTATCTAGAACATGAAAACAGTAATGTTCAGACTTTTGCATAACAAAATATTACCGATAAAAATATTTTTTTAGGATTGCTTTGTGATTTGTTATGGTCCGATCCATGTCCAAAACTCGGATGGACTGAAAACGATAGGGGAGTCTCATTTTCGTTTGGTCCCGATGTGGTGGCAAAGTTCTTGGCCAAACACGATTTTGATTTAATTTGTCGCGGACATCAGGTATGAGTATTTTTCATGCTTATAATATTTTGTAGCTATTTGTAGCGATCTCCACACTGTTAACCTGCTATTACTTGAACATTTAACGAGATCTGGGCATATTGTTGCGAGAATTTAAATATAACAGCAGGCCTGAGAGATTTTTTCTTGGTCGCTTCAAAAGTTCCTGTATTTCCAACTAACATTTTTCGTTGCGTAATGTTTATTACTCTTATGAAACCCCTATAAGCACTTAAATGGCGAATCCTGTAAAGGTAACGGTGATGAAATTTTTTAAGTCCCATATAAAAATTACTCCTGGTTTATTTGTAATTAGGCTGTTATCCTTACCTTTATAAATCATAAATAAGTTTTATGACGGCAATGAATGTATAAATACATTAAAATGTTATTATAAACTTCGCGAACTACCACCCTTTTCACTTCATGTTTTTCTATATTATTTGTTTCCAATTGATTTTGTTTTGTGTCCTTGTCATTGTAGTTTGCTCTTACACCGAAAAATTTCACAACAACGGATTTCCATTTGACATTGTTATGACAATGTCTTCTTATTAAATGATATAACAATCAATAGTCTGAAATTTTTCTAATACGACTTTATTTTATTTGGCACCAAAAATTTATAGAATAATTTTTCATTTTATCCTTTATCCAGATTTAATTATTTTGGTAAAAGTCTAAAAATTCAAATTATGTCACATGAATTGTTTGTTACAATTAAAATGCAACGTTGCATATTTTTGAAGAAATATGTCTTCAAGTGTTCATGGAATATTGCATAAAATATTTATTTATTTACTTACGGTTTAACCAATTTACAGAACTTTTTCATTCATGAAAGGCAAATAGAGAGAAAGAGAGCAGTATAACAGCTAGAATCAAACAAGAACAAAATATAACAATAACAATAAATACAATGAATGGCAATGATTACCACGTTAAATTTTTAAAAACTTATACCTTTACAAACCTACAGTTTTGCTTAGTTTTGGTTTAATTGCTTTGGAAAACTAAAAATACCTGGAAAATTGTTCAATTATGCCATCATAACCTCACTTTTCATTCGTTGTTTATTAATTCGTCTTGAAAGAAGTGGAATTTTTTTCTTAGAAATATTTATAAAGTTTTGAACCGCTAAAAGAGATAAAAATGCAAACAACTTGATCCGGGACTCAAGTTTAGTGCCGTAATACAACAATGGGTTACACTCTTTTCAAAAAAGCTGCTGCTACATTTAATTTTTGAAAAGTTTTTCTTAAGAATGCAAGTATTAAAAATCATGACTTCAAAAACATTATGAGAAAGTTTGCTACTGGGCTACAAGTTTTATAGCGTATATTTATTGTATTATATTATATTTATAACCAGTTTCAATAGTAGCTATAGAATCTTTATTAGGTGCTTTAAGATTTATGAGGATTTTGTGAAGTTTTGAAACCCCAAGAGTAAAAGTTTTATATTAAATTAAAGTGGCTTTTATTTGATGAAAATCCATTTATCAAAATAAATAAGAACTAAAAGTTCAGATTTTCACGAAATTATATATTTTTACATGACAATTGTTTCTACAACACCGTGTCTTTATCAAATATAATATTTACAAACTACCTATATATACCGAAAAATGACCATAAAACTGTAATTAATGTTGATGTGAGAATTTAAGTTCAATAAGGGAGAGAGAGAGAGATTTGAATCTAATGGATCGTTAAGCAATACATTTCAATGTCTCATTTTGTTAATCTCTATAGCCTCCAATAAATTTAATTTTCTACTTTTTGTGGCTGTATGTAGAATATCAAAATCGTCGTCAAAAATGTGTTTTTCTGTGTTTAAGTGTGTAGCATAATTAGAATCTAGACTATTGTTTTTAAACGCTCTTTAATGTTCGTTAATGCGTTTCTTGAAGGATCTACCTGTTTGTCCAATATGAATTTTAGGAAAAGATTCGCAATAAAATATAGAGTTTATAAAATATATTATAAACTCTCAATTAATAGATAACAACAAACACAAACAAATTTCTCAAATGTCACTAGTAAAAACTATCAAAAACAAAGCTGCTGAAAATAATATATAAAGGGAAGACAGTCATAGCTATCCATCTTCCAGAATATATTTCAAAAACCAACAATTTTCTTAAACCAGAACTTTTCCAATGTATCAAACAAGATCCTACCGGGTTATATCAAAGACAAGTCAAGGAAGTAATTACTACCTGCACACTATTTAGTGACAAAGACAAATATTTTTTTAACAATTATGAATCCACAACCGCCGAAATTATATTCTTTAGTTAAATTACATAAACAAGATATGCCCATTAGACCAGTCGTGTCTTGTGCAGTTAAACTCTCAACAAAACTAGTAAATATTTTAAAGTTCCACACAGATTTAAAATCAAAATTTGCATTAAAAAATTTTGTTGAATTGATCAACAAAATTAAACATATCAGAATGTCTTCTAACGCAACACTATTGTCTATTGATGTACAAAATTTATTTCCCAGTATTATATTATATTATATATGTATTATATATGAGATTTAGTAGATTTTACCCTAACTCGGGAACAGGTTAACCCATTGGTGAAACAAGATTTATTAAAATGCTTAATAGTATCATTAGACCAACATTATTTTGAATATAATGGACAGATTTACATCTCAAAAGAAGGTTTGATTATGGGAAACCGACTTAGTCCTTTGTTAGCTGATATTTTTAGTGATAATTTGGAAAATGTCATACTAGAACATCCTTTAAGTAAAAGTTTTTTATGGTGGTATAGATACGTGGATGATGTCTTTGCTTGCTTTGTTAGAACGGACAGACAATTGAATTCTTTTTTAAATTACATTAACTCATTACATAATCGTATAAAATTCACTATCGAGATTGAACAGTATAACTCTATTAATTTTTTAGACGCGAAAGCGCAAAACAAATTAGATTTTTCAATTTATCATAAACCTTCACACACGGACACAGTCATACATAACGGCTCAAATCACCCTTATACACACAAAATGGCTGCATTTTACTCTTTTATACACAGACTTCTTAATACGCCACTCTCAACAGAAAATTACAACAAAGAACTTAATATCATTAAACAAATTGCACTGAACAACGGCTTCAATTCGTCCATTTTAGATAAAATTATAAATAAAAAACAAATCCAGACAACAGTAAACTCTATTTATCCGAAACCTAATCCAGAACACGAAAAATTAAAAACAATTACATTCATAGGAGAACCTAGTGAAAAAGTTTCAAAACATTTGTCAAAATGTGGTCTAAAAATCGCTTTCAGAACTAACAACACAATTGGAAACTTTTTAAAAAACAATAAAACGAAATGTCTAAAATGTAAAAAATCAGGTGTCTACAGGTTGAAATGGGGATCTTGTCTTAAAATTTATATTGGGCAAACAGGTAGGTCCTTCAAGAAACGCATTAACGAACATAAAAGGGCGTTTAAAAACAATAGTCTAGATCAGGGGCTTCATAAACTGTGGGTCGCGACCCCCAGGGGGGTCGCGAGACTACTGAAAGGGGGTCGCAAAGATCTGATACTTTTTAATCATTATAAATAAAATTTTAAAATTAGTATACACACTACGTACAAATATAAATAAAAATAAAAATCATACAAAATACTATTGTAGTTTTATTATAACTATTTTTTGAAAAAAGTGGCAATGCAAAACTGTTATGTAGGGCCTATAAATGAAAATATGGAAGTAGCATTTAAAATAATAAATACAACGCGCTCCTCGATTTTCAACTGAGCGTTCGACATTGATGTCTGGCCGCCGGCGTCAGTGTTTGCAAGATAACTTAGTGATTATAAGTACCCAGACGCTGCGTCGCCTTACAGCTTACACATACAATACGGAAGCATAATCAAGCTAGGCTAGGCGAATCGGCATATTATTTTTATTGCGCTGCACACTTCGAAGTGTTTTCGGAGCGCGAGCATTGAAGATGCCAAGTGAGATTTTGGCGAAACGTCTGCAGGATTTCAGTCGGATGCAGGATTTGCAGGATTCCAGTCGGATGCAGGATTCCAGTCGGAGTTCAACGAGCGAACGGATGATATCCCGGAATATAGTGTCATATATATATATATATATATATATATATATATATATATATATATATATATATATATATATATATATATATATATATATATATATATATATATATATATATATATATATATATATATATATATATATATATATATATATATATATATATATATATATATATATATATATATATATATATATATATATAGTTTTATGTCATTCTATTTATTGTGTTTTATTACGACCGATATCCCGTCAACGTTTCCAATTATATATATGTGAAATGAATGGGTACGTATTCTTTAATCCTTATTTTATTTACATTGTAAAATAGTGCGATATTACATCTATATCTACGGTTAATATATATTTCATTATATGGAGGAGGGGGTCGTTTAAAATTTCCTAAGCTTGAAGGGGGTCGCTATATAAAAAAGTTTAAGAAACCCTGGTCTAGATTCTAATTACGCTACACAGTTAAACACAGAAAAACACATTTTTGACGACAATTTTGATATTTTACATACAGCCACAAAAAGTAGAAAATTAAATTTATTGGAAGCCATGGAGATTAACAAAATGAGACGTTCAAATGTTATGCTTAACGATCAATAAGATTTAAATACCTTTCCTTTAAATTCTCGCAACAACATTAATTAATGTTTCATGGTCATTTTTCGGTACATATAGTAGCAGGTAGTTTGTAAATATTACATTTATTAAAGACACGGTGTTGTCGAAACAATTGTCATGTAAAAATATATAATTTCATGAAAATCTGAACTTTCAATTCTTATTTATTTTGAAGAGTTTTATATTTTATAAGGTTTTTAAAAACGCTATAAAACATGTTTAAAAAATCTGAAGTAACCAACATAAAAGGTTTTACAGATATAAAGTATTTTCAACGCAATATTATAAAAGTTAAAGTAGTTATCGGTAGTTATTGGACGTCGTACAAAACTAACATCTATGGTGCGAAAAATGTTAGTTGAGTTATAGGCATAGACAGCGCCCTTATATTGTCTATATTGTGGCTATATTTACAATATCAACGGTCAGTCTCTAATAATACATGAATGCTGTTGTTAGGTGGTCGAGGATGGTTACGAGTTTTTCGCTCAGAGGAAATTGTTGACGTTATTCTCGGCTCCGAATTATTGCGGAACTTTTGACAACGCGGGAGCGCTTATGTCCATAAATGAAGACCTGTTGTGCTCGTTTCAGGTAAGCGGCGGGGAAAGAGGAAATCCACTCAATTATAATTAATTTGATTTTAGATATTAACTCCTAAGAAGAACTAGTCGATGTACAATAATCTGTCGTTATAAAGTACGCTGTGATGTTTTAGATAAGGCGGTTAAGTATCGATGTAAAATAAATTAGGTTTAGGTAAAATAAAAAACTTTATTTCAAACAAAATCCTTATCGATAAAATTATATTGATTAGTTGATCTCGTCGTGAAGCAGGTTTCCGTAATGGACGTTTTCGTGGGTCGGGTCGAAAATTGGATTTTGCTGCGGGTATATCGTCAATTTGCGAATAATATAGCACAGTATCACAAACCCTCCGAAACAAGACGCTATTATGACGTACGAAATTTTTTCACCTAAAACGGAGAGATGTGAAACACGTCGCACATGTGAAACGTCAAAATAGTCAGACACAACACTTTGATTTGTTCCCAGGTCCAAAATTTTACAAACTGGTTTCAATGTCTGGTTTCAATAGTAAAAACTATAGACTTCGTATTATATATACACTTTGCAGCCCCAGCGTATAGATAGATATCGTTAGCTCTTTCAGCTTTGGTATTTGAATATAACTCCAATAGATTCCAAATTATTTATAGGTTAGATTTCTATGAGAAATTGAATGAGGCAGCTCTTGGATTTCAAAATACTCTAAGATTTTTGAGAGTACCTCGTATCTCTTATTTTTAGTTGCACATTAATAAGTTATATTAAAAAACAGTAATATTTTTAAAAAACTGACTGCGTTGCTGAATACGACGTAAAAATTGCTAGCCATGTTACTCTGCAATTGTAACTAAAATGGAACACACTGTACAGGGTGAATCAAATCGACACTTAAAAAGAAACTCTAGGCTTTAGAGTTTTAGGGTGTTTTTCAAAAATGTGCATATAGAAAAATATCAAGTATGCAATAACTTTGGAAATGTAATTTTAAGTCCTTTTCAATGATCCAAAAACATAAAGCATATCGGATATAAAAAAATCGCCTTTTCGCGTGCCTGTGGAAATGTTTTCATAGAAACACACAATCGAGCTCCAGACATTAGTTTTCGTTAGTCCATCTCCTTTTCAAAGGATAGAGTTTCTCTTTCAAAGTGTCCAATTTGGCCCATCTACCCTCTCAGACGTCTAATTGTTGTTCACAATTTGTAAGAAGTTTGGAGGTATTTGATGAACCACAGAGGGGTCTGGGAGAGAAATGACCAATGTTTTTATCTACAATCCGATGATGTCCCTGTATCCTCCCCTAATAAATGGAACTCTGAGATTTAAAATTTTATTATACACTTTTGAAAAAAACAAACGGAAGAATGAACGGGTTACGGCGTTTGTGGTTGCAGCAGCAACAATAAAAATTCTTGAAAGTAATGGGGTAAAATTTTAGTGGAAAGACGGGAATTGCTGGCTGATACTTACCATCAAATCTATTAAACGATATCTCGGGAATATTAACCGTAACGTTTTCTGCGTTGTCAAAATATTCTTCCAGAGTTGCATTGGCATTTAATGATGTCGAATTATCCAAGTCTAAACTATAAAAGATTAGTTTTAAGTATTGCAATCGGATGCGATCAATTTCGTAACAAATTCCACATGGATAGAAAAGGTGTAGTCTACTGTAGATATCTGAGAGAATTTACTTTTCTTATGATCAGTACTAAGGAATTGTTTGTGCGTATGAAACTATAAATTTGCTTTGAAAATTATCGGAAATAATTTTTTTCCTGTAAAATTTACATGTTTCTGCGTAATGCTCACCTTAATAGTTTTTAAGCTTTTCCGATTATTTTCGTGCTGTGGCATTTAGTAATTCATATCTAAAAATTCGCCCATAACCCGTCTGCGAGATTCGACTTTGTGGACATGCGAGTCTGGCTTGAATTTTAGGGTTGTGATAAGATTTCTGTCTTAGTTAATTTTGTTGTTTATTTGTTGAAATACCGATTCGGGTACGTAGAAATAAAATACTTATTACAAAAACCAAAACAAAAATCTAAACTGTTAATGGAAGAATGGTCGCCAATCAAGAGTATTCACACGCCTTTCACGCACCAGATTCCAATTGGCGTGCATTACATATAGGCAAAAAAGCATTGCCTACCCTTTCGTTTATTGAAAACAAACATAAATTGAAAATTTACTTATCTAACAACGCTCATTCATTACTTAAGACATACCTATTTAAAATGACCTACATATTTTTATTTTTCTAAATTGTAAGTTAGTATAGTCTTTATTACGGTTGCAAAGCCGGAAATATCATACAAAACAAACGCCACCTGTTCAACGTCTTATTATTACCTAAAAAACGCATCCCATTATTCAAAGTCGAACGGACGGCCAAAGCTTAACATTACATTTAAATGGGCAAGCAAAAGCAGTGCGTGACTGCAAGCGATGAACACACGAAAGCAGTCGAGACCGTCCGATCCGTCGGATGCAGTGCGATACCGTGGCCCGCCGCATGCGGTATTGCCAATGCCAATGATATTACAGAACTATGTAAGAAACGGTCCCACGTTATTTTAGGCAAACGATCAATTTTATGATGTTTTATCAAGATGTGTATTAAGTAGAAAATTAGAAATTTGGTTGTAAGTCAGCTGTATATTGTTTAATTGTATAATTAGGGCGTGGCACCCCAAAAATTTTTCGCCTCTTGCCTATCCTGCAATACATTGTACTGCACGCCACTGTCAAACACCTGCCTGATTGAGTTGTGACAACGTTCGTTTTATTTTCTGTGAATATTTTAACTTACATAGGTATAGTACTTACAAGAAATATCCCAGAGATGGACAGGAACATACTACGTAACCATTTAGATGTTTTTTTATTCTGCAGGTACTCAACCAGCCATTTTTGTAAACTGAACACTAAAAATTTAATACTAAAAATATCTAAAAGCCTTGAGAAGTCTGTTTTATAAATTAGTAAATAGTAATTGATTTCGTTAAAATTAAAAAAAATCAGTGTAATAAAACGGCTCGAATAGATATGTTTTCCTTAATATGCTTTTGGTATATGGGTAAAGCAGGAGAAACTCTCCACAAGCTCCTGCAATTGAAAGTGTAAGTACTGTTTACCGATAATTGTGCCTTAATTATCTAGAACAAAAAAGAATATCGAAATATTTTTTATTAGGATGTCGTTTTTTTAAATAGGTCTTTTGTGTGATGAAACGCTTCTTTAATCTGTCACTTTTTGGAATAATTTGACAATAACCTTTTGGACATCCGTTAAAGTAAGAAGATAATGAAAGTCAAAGTCAAACATTCTCCGTGCATACACTGTAGGAGACTGTAAACTTATTTTTTAACGATTTTTCAAAATTTTGGTTTCGACATCTAATGTTTTAAAGTTTTCTTGCACTACAGTGGTATTTAAAAAACCTAGGTTATCCTAAAAAATGGTTAGTTCATTAGTGTGGAAAAATTACACGTTTGGCATCAAACCGTTTTAAACGTATAGTATTTCTTCTATTTCCGTGTCCATTGTACAGGCTGATCCGTTAAGGATAGCGAGCTTCCATATCCTTAACAGATCACCCTATATCATATTTGCATATATTATCGATAAAACAATTACTTTTAAAATATTATGCTGCGGTTCTTCGGTGGGCAAGAATACTGTTACGTTGAAATCGACGGCCTCTTCGGAAGGACTATTTAGACCGCGGACAAGATGGAATCCAAAGGTGGTGGAATTTCTACTAAAATAATCTCGGAACATGGTCTTCGCCGAACAGTACCCTGTTGAGTTTCCGCGCCAGTGGGTTTTAATTTTTGCCGTCATATTCCAGGAATTCTGCTCGAACGGAATCGTTACGTATTTACTACCGACATAAAACTTTTCTACAGCGAAAATTAGAGTTTTCATTTCTAGAACCGACTCGTTAGTTGCCTGAATATGAAATAATTAGTTAACTAACCAACTTGGAAGACCTTATGTCCTTTAAAAATATTGGCGCAAGCCTGTTCCATATACGCGACTAACGTGTTTACTATATGCTCCTTTTCTTTCTCTATACTCTCCCTGTTAATCGAATTCGCAATTATAAACTCCGACAATTCCAACGAGATTTTCATCTCCTTCAGTGTGTGACTATTTTTTTCTTTGGTTAATAGCAAATGTCTGCCAATTGATTCCCTTTGGTCTTCTGTTGAAGACAATTGATCCCTTAGGAGTATTACGCTCTGCAAACATTCAAGTTAAACATTCTAAATTTACAGCGCGTTCCTTAGTGATGTGTCAATGTTGAAGGGGGCGGGGGGGTAACTCGCGAGGTGATTTTGAAAAAAATTGGAATGAATGAATTAATAAATGTCAATAATTGTTCACTGTTAGTAGAAGATTTATTATTCGTGCCTTTTTCAACGATGACGAATTTGAATAAAGCTCAAAACCGACAAACATCCTGAGACGTGTACGGAAGGATCGCTAAAGCTCGAAATGTTTGTCATCAAATTGTTGGGCGAATTCTGATATATGTAATATCCGTATCATATACTAAGATTACTTCTGAGGGATTTTCGATGTCATGTGACCTTTTGTGAGTGCCAGAATAGTAATATTAATTATGTTGTTTTCTGTGAATGCTGTTTAAAATTTCAATAATAATTATGTTCTGCTGCAGCACAAATATTCGCGTGCCATAATAAGGAATTACTAGTAAGCATCCAATCAATTAAGATGTGCCAATTGCATGTGCATATATCTCAGAAATTATCAGATTTAAATTGATGAAATTTAGTATACAGAGGTTTCTAATTAGGTGACATAGCCGACGTTGCCACACACGTTTATGGTTTTTCCCTAAACCACCAAACTTTCTTATTTTATATACAAAGGGTGTGTTTTTATTCCATTTTTGGATTGCTCTTAAAAATCTTTGCAGGAATGATAAAAAACACAAAATTAATAATTTAATTAATAAACTAGAATTTAATTTATGAACAACATAATTAATGATTTTAACAAATTGCTAAATTTAAATAACAATGAAAACTACTTAAAAACAAAAAAGAAAGGTACTTATTAGAATAAATGCTCAAACTGACTTACTTCTGCTACTTGACTATGTCCTAAGCATTCTGTAAATTCCCGTACGGTGTTTTGGTTAGTTTCTATATTAGTCAGAAAAAAATCTAGGGGATTTAAATCTGGTGAAAAAGACGGCCACTCGATAGTACCTCCGATCCACCGATTTGGAAACATCTGATTCAGGTACTCTCTTACATGGGGACTTGCCCCATCTTGTGGAAGTTTATATGCTAGTTCTTCCTGGATATTGTTTCTCAAAAGGGAAACTACTCTTCGATTCCTAGGATTTATTTTTTTATTTACTATTGGAGGTTTGACCGGAGTAATTCTAGCCAATTTTTCTATCCACAATCATTCCTATTTCGCCATTTCAGAATGCTCGAATATAGCAAAGCTAATTGGGGGATACATCTTTAAAAGGGTATAATATTTTTCACTGGTCAGAATACCATTTATAAACAAAAGCCATATAACTTTTAAACCAATGATTCTAACCATACATCTACCTTTTGAAGTGTATTTAGGTACCATGTTTCATCAACCGATGAAGCATTTGACCAATATCGGCAATTAATAAACGAAACTATTCAAACAAAAAGTCGCCTCATCCACCAAAAGACATAACTCGAGAAATTTGGATTTAAAATCGATTCATCCATAACACCACCACCAAATTCCACCCGCCAATCTTACTTAAATTCTAGTTCTGGTTTAAAATATTTTGGTTTTTTGTCAACGGTAATCCAAAAATGGAATAAAAACATACTCGTCCATTTAAAATAAGACAATTTGGTAGCTTAGGGAATATCTATAAATGTCGTCAATGTCACCATTGGATCCAGCCTAATTAGAAACCACTGTATATATCGCTACGATTCGAAACGATGTTTTGAATCGCCAGACTCTTTTGGCCACACATTTCGGTTAATTTTAACAGTTTGGTGTTGTAAATCCTCGGACTAACACGTCATGAAATGGAATCACTTGTCAGTAGTGGCGGTAGCGATTGCTGTTTTAAACAAATGATCAAAAAACAAGCACCGAAAAATGTATTCCCATATTAATTTATTAAATGAATTTAAACTGACACCAGGTGATTAAGTATAATTACTTATGAATGGAGGAGACGTATCTGGAATTACATTATCTTGGCACTGGTAGATGCTATGAAAATTTAAAGTTTTCAGCAGGAATTTCCCCACAGAAAAAAATGAAAAATAGACAATGAAAAATGCAAAATCTGAGTAAACCTGTAGGGACGACGTTTTTTTTTTAATAAAATAGATTCAGGAATTAACAATTCAGTCATGACACATCATTAAGAAACGTCCTGTATAGGACGTTCGGTGAAGGGTTAGGGTTTTTATTAGCCTTTATTATCAGTTTTAGATCATAACTCGTTATTGATATAGTAACTGCGTCTAAAAATAATTTTTAGAAATGGTGACAAAAAAGTTATACAAATGAAAATGTCCATTTTGGGATATTCTTTACAATATTACTGAAGCAATGCCATAAAAATCGTTTGCAAGGTCTGCAAGTAAGAAATTTTAGGCTTAAAAAAGAAGATAATTTACTAAACGCAAGATATCGTAACTCCTAATACGACTAAATTGTTAAAACGTAACCAGAATGTCATCAAATTGATTCGGCATTTTGACAATTCTGAATTGCCAGCGCGAAATTCATATCACAATTACTCCGGCGCCAACTTCAAAGTTTGATTTGATTTTACATTAGTCCAAATAAAAGTTACTAGCGGCTATTTCATTTTAAACTTACCACAAAAATTCTATATTTACAAAATTTTGTTATTTTTCAAATTATCACATTTTTTAATTCGTGAATAATGTAAAGTGATGGAGTTTATTTGTACCAACTTCAATCATTCTGTATTGTTCAAGCAGACAAGTTTTCTGGTAGTCCTCACCTCAATAATATCCGTCGACACTTCTAAGTAAGCTTCAAATTGAACCAGACTTTGTAAGAATATTCCTGCGCTTGCTTTCCACGACTCACTCTTGGGATCAGCGCCCAGAAATGATTCCATTTTTTCCTTTAATTCTCTGTTGACTGTATTGTTTATGCTGTGCGTTTGATATTTGGAGGTTTGGGTGAAGATGACCGCGTATATCATTGCTTTGGTATAATCACCAGCCTCAAGTTTTTGGTGAAATATTTTTAAAAATCCGCTAAAATCAATAATCGACAATATTTCTACTCCAAGTTAATTTTTAATTGTAAGCTAACCTTTCGTCTAGCGTGTTCTCTACGTTGGTTATAATTGTTGGTCCAAACATCCTCCCGCAATTACCCAGATAATCGCATCCTTCCACGTAAGTTTGAATGCCCCTGTCTAAATCCACGCATAAGTGATATTGCAAGGATACATTTTCTACTCTCTACTCTAAAGTAATCAATTATGAGCTAATCAGTTGTGCGCAAGAGGTCATTTAAAAGCGTGAGTTCCAGTACTTTAGTCACAGGTTGGATGCTATCTAATTCTAGTAAATTTGAAGCACATATTTTGATGTTTGTGAGTCACAAGCGACACTTTTCCTCAGATTTGGACATTTTGGAGTGGAGAGTAGAAAAAACATGTTTCGTTGAGAGGTTTGAAGCTTTTGTGGCTAGTATGTCACAAAACCGCAAATAGCACAAACGAAAAAAAATTATATTTGTTACACTTGTTCCACTTTTTATTGTCGCATTTTTCGTATAGAGAGTGTCTCGCGGTTTTGCCATCCTATATAAAATTAACAAAAAGTTATTTTTTTCAAATGGAATATCCTAGGATCTGGAATCTTATTTTAACATATTTGTGAGTGTAACGTTTTTATAAACCATTAATTAAACACAATATCTCCACAAACATGAACTGATATTAACAATAATTCTCTAGTCAGTGCCACAAACAGTGGCTCCTAAAATAACAAAAAAAAACTAATATACACTGCCTTGTTGCTTATAATTAATTGACATTTTAAACATCTTTTAATTTATTAATAAAACATTAAACATTAGTCGAGTCCAAGTTGCTGACGTTTCGCCAATCATCCTGTTGGCTTCTTCAGAGCTTGACTGAAACTGGCTCGCATTTTACTCTATATATGCTTATATATTGTTTGAGGGGGGCGGAGCTAAATGAGCGGCATAAACACCGTCACCGAAGTTTTGTGAAAAGTATTATATGCCTTATTCTGTAATGCCCAACAGTAATCATGTACGTTTTGGGTAGAACCTAATATTAATATTACACTTTTGTAGATTATTAATGATTTTATGAACAAGTTTGAGTCTATTTAAGATTAATTTTGATCAGATTGTATTGGAACTAGTAAGTGCCTAAAGTTTCCACAAATTCTCACATTCCATTCTTCCACCAAGTCTAATGTTCCATCAATTGTGAGACAACCTGAATGCTATTAACTATAGTATAATACCTTCGTTATACGGAAGTATCGTTTCTGTGGAAAACACATCTATCCCGGTATAGAAAACTGCATCAAAATCGTCGAATATGAACCCGTATTTGTATAATATGGGCCTTGTTCCGACCGCAGGACTAGTTTTAAACAAATAAATCGATCTGGTCGCCACGCAATCTTCAGAAGATACGTTCAGTTGTTTCAAAATTGGCGTCGGTTCGATTTCTATTAACGTCCAGCCAGATACCGTGATAAAGTCCGACGGTTTTTCTATGATTTCCGCGGGGTTATTAATTTCTTGGATAGATGGACACGAGACCGTCAATGACACGTTGTGCACTCCGTCTTGGAGGCCGGGCCACGTTTTCGACGGAGGCGGAATCTTTAATTTAAACTCTTTGGAGATCGTAATGTTTCCAAACTCTTCTATTTCTTCGAGAAACAATCGATCCATTGACGAAATATTATGGATTTCGTTAAGGAAACCTGGCTAAATGTAAAATTTTATTTACGGTTTTCTCTTACATACCCATTAATAACTTACAATTTTATTTAGGTCTGTGGCATACTGCCCACCCGAAACCCATCTCACGGCACAATAGGTTCTTAATTCGTCTATGTGCGCGACAATTTCGATCCCGTTCAAGGGTTTTAGTGGGTACTCCATATGGAATTCGATAGATGGTACCCCAGAAATTACCTCGACTTGGCACGAATCGTTTCGTTCCACTTCTCCATTTTTCACATTCAAGGTTATGTCATACCTAAAAACGTAAAGAAATCTTCAATGTGCTAACCCAGGCGGGTAGTAGAGTCTCATAGTAATCTTTTGGTAGTTTTGGTTTCCGCACTAAAAAGTTAATTTATTTTTGGTTTTATTTCCTTGTTAAAAGGCAACGGTTTATTTTCGTAAATTCAAATGACTACCAACACAGAAAATAAAGTAGTTAAAGTGGTAATAGGTATGCAAAGGGGATACTCAGTGACTCAAATTTCTTTTTTTATCGTGTCGGTTATACAACTCGGGTTTTGTCTTTTGCTATCCATTCATCAACACTGACAATGGTGTTGCATGGTGTCCTCGTATGATATTCGCAAATAGAAAATAATGTTTATTTGACACAAAGAAAATTATGCATTACGTTTATAGTATTTTTTTTATCAGCGTTATAAAAAAAATACATTATCCTGAAATTGAATTATAAAAAATGCTATTCCTCGCTATCTGAAGTACAGTCATCTCTTCCTGAAGTTAAAAGTCGTCTGAACTGATTAATAAACGCTGAACTGCTTAATAAACGTTAGCTTAAACTTAACTCGCAATGATATAGCGGTGTGCACAGCACACCTATTTTTTCTGCTAAATCTTCTACTGCGTATTTCATAAAGCGATGTTTTTATCAATTTGTGCTTCTTTATCTAAGTATCTTCAAAATTAAAATATTTCGTGGTTAACCAGTCAGTTGATACTTCTTTAATTAACTTGCGGCATCGATCAGTACTACTGAAGCAGCTGGAATATATTTTATCATTTTCCAAAAGGCACGATTGAAAGGATAGCAAACGCCCTCATAAAATTCCCTCCTCGCTTCCAATGTGGACGATTCTTAGTCTCGTTCTTTTTCCTGAAAGCACTTTAATACTCGTTGACAGGTTTTCTACGACAGCTCGCCCAGCACTGGTTAAATTTTGTTCTTGCCATACTACCACAAGATATATTTTTTTGAACGAGGCTCAAGGATTAACTTGTGCTGGATTCCTAGTCACACCAGCATTCTGGAAAATGAAATTGCGGATGCTATAGCTTCTTCCCCTAGTGGCTCTGGATGTGTACTTTCGGGAATTTTACCCTTTACAGAACCTTTGGAGTTCATGGACCTCTACATGGAGAATGATTGGTTCGAGACGAGAAGTTACGACCTTGTGCAGACTAAGGAGCGGTTATTGCCTCAGTCCGGTTCATTTGCACAGAATCAACGTGTTCCCGAATAATCTCTGTCAATGTGGAGAAATAGGAGACTTACACCATATTTTATTTGACGGCCCTCTTTACTGGAGTGAGAGCCAGGAGCTCTACAACACCTTAATAGCCATTGGAGTCCCTGCACCCATTCATCTTCATTCTTTCCTCTTTCACCCCTATGCTACGGAAGATATTGCAGGTATCTTAGCAAACTTCTTTCATGCTTGTAATATTCGCTTATAAGTTAGTGTTTATGCGGTATGGTATTTTGCTTGTGCATAGCCTGCTTTTAGACTAGCAATTGGATATTTTCATTCCTTTTCCTTTTAAGGCAGCCCAATTATTGTTCATTTCGTCCACAATCGGTAAGTCTCTTATGTCGATGAAGCACCGAAGAAGAAACCCTCGACGGACGCCGGACACTGGGCACATGATCTAAGTAGTCCAGCCCAGCTTAGTGCGAAAAGTATTTTCTCTCTCTCTTCTACTCTGTTCGGTTATGCTTTGTCTATTTATCTTGCCTGTGTTTGACAGCCTCAATAGTTTCTCGCTTCCTTTGCGCCATATATTTATGTCATCCCAATCGTTCGATTGTAAGTCTCGAGCTTTCATTGGTCCATCAACTTTGACGTTCTAGCTTCTTCCCCGTTTCCGTCGTCCGTCGAGATTCCACTGCCTGATGCGCTTTGGCCATCTAGCCTCCCCGATTCGCTGTAGGTGCCCATACCAGGTTAAACTTTTTTTCCCACTTGTCCTTCTAGTCTAGACATTCCACAACTCCTTCATTTCCATTGTTTTAAGCTCTGAACCGTACGTAAGATTTTGTGGTAGACGATGGACTTTGTTTCTCGAGTAATTATATCACCCCATAAGACGGAGTTTAGCTATCTTATGACACGTTTGTCTAGTGCTCCTTTTTTAAATAAAAAAACTTTTCTTCTTTTCTTCAGAGCCTATTTATTAGTATTGAATAATTTTTAATTTTAATTAACTTTTAATTTTTAATAATTTTGTTTCCTATGGCGGACATAGAAATTGAGTGGAATTGGGTGGAATTTTCCATTTTATTACTCTACATTAAAATACCCTATAATCATGTACTCAGTTGTGCAAGTATGGTATCCGAAGTCATTTAATTTATTCCAAAGTTATTACTTCTGAATAACATATCTAAAGATTTTAAAAATAATTTTTAATATAAGAAAAATTGGCTTGCATTATATGTTTTCAAGAATATGATAATTACTTCTTGGCCTGATACTGCTAAGGATTCTGACTTTTCAGTGTATTTATGATCGGGATAGGGACTTATTTTGGGGCATTAAGTTTCTTTTTGCATACAAAAACGAAAAAATATTGGATCAGGTATAAACGACCCATACCTCCTACCTCTTCCTAAAAATATCCAGAATTTTTATTTATATTTTATATCTTTTTTAAACCTTTATAGCTAATATTAAAAATCAAAATTTCAATATTAATGAAAATTCAAAGCAAAGCACACTTACAGTCCTTCCCGAGAAAAACCATTTTCCAAATGCAGAATCGAATCCCTTTGATTATCGCAGATAATTTTTGATTCCAGAAAACAAAACCATTCGATCTGTAATTCGTTAGTAAACAAACTAATAACGAACAGAAGTAACTCGGGTGTACCTCATAGTTCATTTCTCTTCCAAACGGGTTAACAATATTGGGCTTGATTGTGATCGGATTGTTCATGTTGATTGTAGTTTTCTTAAATGGCAGGCGAACTTCAAAGCTGTCCCAAATATCTTTGGAAGGTTCGACAGTTTTAATTTTGACTATGGCCTGAAATAACAAACCATCAGATACATCCGGATGGGATATTGATTAATTTTTGTTACGTTAGCAATCGACACTTCTCGTTCCGCGTCAATCACATTACATTCCACCACGTATGTTGCGCTCGTTTGGACAGCGGCAATCAAGACATCAGAAAGGATGATTAGTTGGGAACTCTTTTCTGTCAATGGAATAATAACTTCCGATCCGTTTTGACTCAAAAATGTCCACTCGAACTAAAACGGGACAGTTTACCTATTTTTTTGGTTAGATAATCGATGGCATTTGCAGCAAAATTCGGGGATTGCTCTAGAACACTCGCCTATCTCCTTAAGAATGAGGAGTTCCCCTTTAAAAGTGTCCAATATAAACCAACCTGTCTATGACATGGTCAATTTAGATTGTCATTAATAGTATAGACGTGTTATAACTTTTTATAACTCTTAAAGTCTCTAATAATAAATTTTTTAGTATAATTACTTAAACCGTACTGTAACCGTTATTGGTGGCTATGCTCTTGATTAGTTCTTCAACGGATACTCCACGTATCTCAAAGAGTATATTCCTAATAATTGGCTTGAAAGGACAATATTTAATTCACACTGTAAGCCTTTCTTGTGCTCTGGTGCTTAGCCATTGCTTCCAAGAGTGTTCCAGGCCATACCTACCATTTTGCTGAGAGTGCCGAAGCTAAAGAGTTTCTAAAATTTAAAATGTTTGTGCAGAAACACTGTCTCCTATTTATTTTAAATTTTATCAGGAAGGGATTTCCATACCAATGACTTACATGGTATGCCGTTAAATTAGAACATATCGCTACTTTCGCGTTAATAATAAGATCCGAAGTAATGTACACGTAAGAGGTACCAATTTCCAAGATCAAGCTGGCAGCCGATGCATCTGAATAAGGCATGTCGTTTTGTTCTGGATAAATTAAAGGAACTTGCTTCTCCTCGATTCGTCCGTCGGGATCTTTCAGCATAACGTGGAGGTCGTATTTAAATCCAGGTTGCAACTACAACAAATCCTAGGTTGTTGACAATAGTTGGAAGCCTCGTAGAATAATTGAGGGTTTATTGTCAAACGTCTTACTAATGAGTTGTTAAATTGTACGACACCTTCTCCTGTATTCTGGTAATTGGTATTCATTGTTTTTTCGAAATCTCTAAGCACTTTCCACGTCATCAGCGTGCAGCGTTGTTTATTTTGGCACGTTGCGATCCTGTCGGCATTGAGGCTGTATTGCGCTAGACAATTTTTTGGTAATCTACAAAAAATTTTTATTTTACTTTTTGCAATGCCATTCCTGTGTGTCTACTTACACTATTGTTGTGGTGTTTCTGGTAGCTTCCTGAATTTTCCCATTGAACCCGCATGTCGTTTGAGGCAAACCGATTGTTAAGGTTTTGTCCTGAAAAATATTCGTATCTATTTAACCTGATGAATAGTTTACGTTTTCGAGTCTTATTTGGATCAATTCGACACGTTAGTAAGGTTGATTTTTTCAATTATTCATAACAATCTCAACTAATGTGATGAAATATGTGGCCCATGTTTTATTCAGAAAGTTCAATAACGTATTCGAAAAGTACAAAAATCGATTTGCTTTTGTGATTAAGAATACAAACCTATAACTTGTAAGTTGCGTGATTCACAATGGCTTACTGTGGAGCAAAGAACACAATATCACGCTGACATAACAAAACATGTTTGAGAGAAGTTGCACCAACTCAATGATATCCCTCGTCAGTTTTAGAAGTAAATATTAGACACATAATTGAAGAAATGTTGTTTAGCGCTTCATGATATATAAATAAAAATATAAAATAAAAATTTCATTACTTCTTGGGTTAGCTAGTCAGTGCTCCTTGTTGACTGATGCAGAGATTCTGCTCATGACGCATTTTATTTTTAAATGTATAATTTAAGTAAATCTCAATTAAGTTTAGGTAATTAACTAATTAAATTAATTAAAAAAATTAAATAAATGTAAAGGTCCAAAGGAATAGATATTGATCTTCTTCTACGTTGCCTCCTGTTACGATAATTTCTGTTTAATCTTGTACTAATAATGTTTATCGATTCAAAAAATTACTATTACTGCTACTGCTATTACAAATTCAGCACACCAAAAAAAAGTTTTCAAAAATAGACATTTTTAGGAACTTGCCAACAGTTCGCCAAAAATTGCATTTCAAAGGGCATGGAGTAGTGATAAAAATGTTCGTCTGCTTTTACCTTAATGGTCTACAATGAAAATCAATTGATGCCATGAATATTTGATGAAATTCTAACGGCGAGACAATCGATGATTTAAAATTTAACAGTAATGTGGATAGCATTACTGCATGTGAGACCTTCACGGATTACCGGGTCGAACCAATAAGTATGTGCCTGTCTACTTTAGAATTTATTTTTTGTTAAAACACGAACGATAGAAATATTAACGTATTGTACCAATACTTGCTGGTGTGCAAAAAATAAATAAATTGCAAGGTCTTTTGAAAAATATGCGCGATTTTTGTTATAATGACGAATTCGGTTAATAGATAATAATAACTATTGGGGTGAAATTAAGAATTAAGAGTTAAGAAATAAAGAATTAAAGCATCATATCTCAATTTATTTAAAATAGTAATGGTAATGTTTTATGAACATGTTCCATACCTACATGTCATATTTTCTTTTGTTTGACATTGACACATGACAGTAAGTAGTTTTGCATTGCGTTCTTATTTTCCTTGAAAGTAATACATTTTTTTTAAGAACTGAAAAAAGGGTACATTCTCCTTTCTACAAGAAATTCATTAGTTATAATCCTATTCTATTCAAACGAAGTTGTATATCTAATGTAAATCTTTGAAACTATAAAAGATTGATATATTGATATTGATAGCAAATGGCGCACAACATTATTCAAATGATCTTGCACTTCTTATATTTTATGCAAAACGAATAATTAAAAAAATATTGGTAGATCTTCGATCTTTTTTAACCTATGATCTAATAAAAATAAATGAGCTGTAGAACGGATTGAAAGAACTTGAAATAGGTAACAAACTAACAGAAACGATTCAGTCACATTAAGAACAGATAATAGGGTCAGGGGACGGTGTTTGTTGGAGTATATGTCAATAGAAGTAAAAAGCAGACTGAGACCAGGTAGTATTTATGAATTGAATAAACTAACTAAGTTGAGTAAACTTATATTCAGGAAAAGGAAAGTGGGACTATACAAAACAATCATAGGACCCGTAGTTCCATATGGAAGTGAATAATGGAAATTAAACAAAGCAGAACAAGACAAGAACAAGAGATTATCAGTCTGGGAAAGAAAAGTATCACATAAAAATGACGGTCCACAGAAAGAGAATACAATATGGATGAGAAGATAGAAGGAATTAAAAGCCCAACACGTCCAGAGAATACATAGAGATAGAATCTCAAAAACCACTTCTTACTCATTCAACCGGTAAAAAAAACCGCAGGGAGAACCAAAAACAAGATGGAAGGCAGAAGCCGAAATGGATATAGCAAGAATGGCAAGAATGAAAAAAGAAGGCAACTGACAAGCAAATGTATAGAAAACTGACGACACAGGTCATGAACCTACTTGCTCTGCAGGGTTGCTTTATCATTTATTATTATTAAAATTAACGGTAGATCTTAAATGTGAAAAAATATCTATCCTTGCAACTATTTAATTTATTTTATCATTATTTTATAGGCAAAATAAATTTCAAGACCATTTCGGTTGCCACTTCTGCAATTATTCCTGGATGGTTAATATACATTTCATTTTACTTGAAGACATTTTCCTTTGCTTGTGTCGATTGCGGTAACGTTACCTTACCAAAAACGAAAATTATTTGAGAAAAACATTAATAATTATATTAATTAAGTAATGAAGAAGCCCTAAATTATGCAAATTGGAAACTAGATAAAAAACAACATTATTTATTTACTAGGGCTGTAAAAAAATATCTAAAAGCGTTGAAAGTGAACTATTAATGAACATCTCAATTACAATTTTAATTTTAGAGATACAGTTTCACTGATGTTCTGCTATTTTTACCCAATAAAATGTGACGCAGCCGTTTCTCACCTGCAAAACTACGGCTTTCGTCAAAATGGCGCTTAGAAATAGATAAGATATTTTGCAAACGAACATTTTTTAGCAGGTCAAAGGACTGATAAATTGTTATACGCGCAACTGTTTATCACCCGGCACATTTGTCCACTCACAGCGTTTGTCTGACCTATATTTTAAAGCAAATCCCCAATATGTTTATATCTGTCCGTGGGGGTTTCTATAACAACTGGGATCTTTTAAGGGCGACCATGCAATTTATATAATTAAAATTTCATAAACAATGCGCTCAAATATTAATCGATCAGAAAAGTGTTGTAAAATCTATAGGTCATTTTCCGAAATTATTACCAAATATGAAATTTGTTGAACTTGGTCCTTTGGTGCCGTTTTACTTATTAATTGCACTAATTGATGAAGTTGCAATTATTTAATTACTTATAAGTGGTTAAGAAATAACTGCGCTGGAAAATTGAAGATTCTCTTTAATTTTAACTTTTTAAATTATTTTCAATAGAGCAGCCGGTATATTATTTTCGTTATCATTTGAGCTTCATGGCAAACAGCTGTTACACAAGAAGAGAAATTTATGTTGGAAATTGATTTATTAACAAATGTATTTTAAAAATTATAAGCTCCTTCTACTATGTACCGTCTCTCTTGGGGTTGTCGACTATTATGGCATACGCTTCTATATCTAGATCTTTTTAATTTTGGATGACATAAGATTTTATCCATGTTTAAGAACCTACTCCGATTTATTTTCTTCTTTTAATCTCATTAGAGTGGTCTCGTTGACTGTTGATTTCTCTGCCCGAGTAGATGTAGTGGTGCACTGATTCTACTACGAGACCTTGAATTGAGATGTTGATTACTTTGTCTTTCGGCAATCTGCTAAATATTATGGACCCATTTTCTCAATATCTGGAGTCAAATGATTCATCAGATTCATCAGTACCTTATGTTCTTGGCCTTTGTCCTGTTATAACGTCTTAGTTTTTTTAAAGACTTTGACTTCCTTTAGAGTTTTAAATATACCTATAAATAAATATCCCTAATTATCTCAAAAATTTCACAAATAAGCATTTGTGGACTTACATTTTTAGGAACTTTTTTTTATTGATATTAAATTCGATTGAGTATTAGATACTAGTACTGATAGTAGATATGAGGAAAATTGTTGATATTCTTCAAATATGGTACTCCGTTTTAGAAAGAGTAGAAACGATTGCGTTTTTTGATCAGCGACATCTTGACGGACATGCTTCAGGACATGGATCACGACTTGGCAGCGAAATTTAGCAAAATAAAATCAATAATACCAAAAAGAGGTTGTTAGAAATCCGGTACTAATGAAACTCTGATCAGTAGCAGGAATATGGCTGTCTAACAGAAGAAAAATACTTTTAAACTGCCCTTTAATACTGGCAAAATTTATAGAACACGCTTCTTACACAGAACTAATCGTTCCTTTTCTTGGTAAACTAGGGATAACAACAAAAGTTAAGAAAAGTAACTAATTTCTGATAAACCGTTAGATATAGACCTGATGTTTAAAATAGCAAAGATGTTTAATTATTTATTTCTGTATGCAACTTATCTAAAAAAATAATCAATCAGAAAAATTCCGTATATTATTGCATATATTTATTCTACTATACTGACAAATATGAAATTTGTTGCACTTGCTGTAGTTCGGTATTACATAGAAATGCTTAAAAAAAATCTGAATTTTTGCACTGGTGATGTCGCTATTTAATTTTAAATTTATTCTACGATTTTAATACACGTTGCCATTAATTTATTTTAAATTAAGCTTTCTGTATATTATTTCACTTTTGATATTCTGTGAAAGTTTTATGGTATATTTGACAAATATCTTATTTGTTATGAAAAATTTTTGATGGTAGAAAATATTCTAAACCGATTCAAAAGAACCATTAGAAAAATTGGTTTAGAAAATTGACGAATTAACAAAGTTATCTTAAAAATTATAACTCTCTGTGATTTAGTTTATTTTAAAGACGCCATCTTGTAGTTTTAGAAAAATACCCATAAATAAATATTGATAACTATTTTAAAAATTTCAGTTGTTTATCTACGTTCTTGGTTTTTTTTTGTTTGATTTTAAGTTCTATCAATTCGCAGATACAATAAATTGGTACTGGTACCAGATGTAATTTGTGATAAACGTGGTTTTAAAATTATTGAACCTTTGAAATTCGTCAACTTGGCAGGCAAAATGAAATCAATCACGACAAAAAGAGTTTGTTGTAAATTCGATACTAACAAACCTCTGATGAGTAGATGGCATATGGTAAAAATCCCCTCTTTCTTCGAATACGTTCGTTTCGGCTTTCTAAGGACCCAAAAAATAATAAACATATTATTAGAGCTTTAAAAAATTATGAAATATAATTAATTTTTGGTAAATCGTGAAACTTGGATATAGAAAAATGATTAATAAAAATAATCAGTAAACGGCGGAGCAGCAGAAAATACAATATTCTATATGGCGTGATATTTAAATTATGACAATGCAACCAAGTTTCTTCATCAATGCATTGTAATTAGGAAAGCAGCCGCAGCAAAGATAAAGGTTTTATTGCAGGAAAAATATCCACTATAACTATACAAAAATAACCGTAATTCAAAACCATAAAATTGCCAGGGACGATCGTAATAGGTACAGAAACAACGATACATAATATAATAGGAACTAATAAATAACTGCTTTTGTGAAGCTTCCAAGAATCTGTTGCCAACACAATTAGCATGCGCGGTGACTGAAAATTCAGCTGGTGCGCCCGCAATAACATGTCATGGGGCGCGACTTTTAAGGATTTTTCATTCAAATACAAAAAATAAAATCACATCGAATCGGTGTTCAAATGGCCAAAAGTCCCTGCAATGTATGTGATTCGCTATTTGCCCGTATCGCGTAATGTCGACCTTTTTCCTGGAAATATTGTTTCGACTGCATCACGTCGACTGGTGATCGATAAATGTTGGCGGGAAATTTAAGTGTGGTGAGTTTCGAAGATGAAGGTGTTCAAGCGGGATCAGAATAAACACCGCAAATTTTGTTAGGTAAACTACTGAAAAATGTATTCACTTTACGTCAATATCTCGCCAGAACAGTTACCGATAATATACAGGAAAGAGTACAACGTCAAGTTTTTTGGTTTGGAGAGATTGCATCCATTCGACGCGGGAAAATGGGGCAATATTTTCAAGGTATGTGACGAATAAATACTCTATTTAACCACCTATAGCATCAATTTTCTGTTGCGTTTTTTTTTTAATTATTCGATGTACGAAGCCATATAAATATGTAGAAATATAGAACCCTTAATTACAATGACATTGATTATAATTTATTATTATGTCTCATAGTTTTTTCATCGTTAAATCTATTTCAAGAAATTCCGATAATTTCACAAAGAAAATCGTCACCGAGCTTCACAAAATGTATAGCGTGTATCAATCAAAATAAACAGTTGACCGACACTCCCAAGAATTTTGCTCAATTTGCAAAATTTAAGACGATGCCGGGAATTTAGCAATTTGAAGATTTTTTAGTTTCCACATGCATGCTGCATTTTTTTGAATACTTTGGGTACATAAAACAACAGGGTGTCCAAATAGTGTGTCAAGAAATGTTCAATACAAAATTTGTAGTTGAGACTAGGAGAAAAAAATTGAAAACATTTTCCAAAATACTGGGTGATTCATAAATATGTGGGAAATCAAACACTAAATGCCTGGATTTATGTTTAATACCTTATATTTTTGATGCAGTTTCCGACACTTATAATTTTATTGTGCCAACAGTTTTATAAAATGGTACAGTAACTAATCGTATCCTTGTCTAGAAAGTTAGTTCGAATCATTTATACAGGGTTGGTCAAAAGGAAAAATATTAATTTTCTTGATAAATTGAAATGGAACACCCTGTAGCTTATACTGTCATTAATTACCTCTATTAATGCTCTTTCAATTTTATTGAGCATTCCCTCTACCTAACCTTAGTATTTTTTCAGGTATTTTTTACGAACAAAATACTCCAAGTTTCTAAACCGTCCGAAGCTATCACCAAATAAATATTACCTGCACGTGAAAAGTCTACAGAGACCAATTATTTATAATTCTTCCAGATAATAGCAGGCGGAAATAATTTATTAAACCAGAGATTTCAACAAAAATAAAATTATGAACTGCGCAACTTTGGAAAAACCATTTAAACAGTATTTTACGCTAGGGATTATATTATAATATTGCTAATAGTTACAGAAATAAACCTTTAAAAACTAAGAACATACCTGCAAAACAAAAAATCACTGTTTAATTAAGTTTCACTTTATTGATTAATCGAAACATCTTCCATTCACTTTAAATGATCAACCAACCTACATTTGAATGGAAAGCTTAGATTTGTATGGCTAACGTACTTCTAAGTATACTAAGTTTGGCTATAGGGAATGCTCAATAAAATTGAAAGAGCATTAATAGGAGTAACTAATATAAGTATAATATACAATGTGTCGAAAACGGCGTCAAAAATAAACGGTACTAAACACATTTTTGACAAAAAAAAATTGCCATAATTCCGTAAACACGCAGTATAGACTATAAAAACTATACATTAAGTGATTGAGTATGAAAAGGAGTATCTATTATTGCCATAATATACAGGCAGTTTCATTTAAAAATATAAGTTGGGTTATGAAGCACCCTGTATATTTTTAAAATTTTAAATTGTTTCTCTAAGTCTCGTATATAACTTTCGTTTCAATATTTTTCTCTAAAACAAATAATAAACGAAATATATTACTTTTACAAATTATTTGGACACCCTGTATATTTAAAAGTTAATCGGAGACAATAATCATTTTTTTCTCGACTGAATGACACCTATGAGAGTCATAAGTAGGTATTATTATTATTATTATTATTTATATTAGATGCTCGATTGACTATATTCATATAATTTAGACAACTTTTTGAATTGTCTTAATTTTGTGGATTATAATTTACGCCCCGAAACAAATTTTCAAAATTGAGCAACGCTGCCAAAATTTGCCGTAGTTGTCCTTAAACGGTAGCCGTCCTACTACGAAAAACTGACATATCTTGTATAAACTATTAACATTTCCTCATTTCTAGATGCTCAATGATCGGGGATTAGTAACTAAAAAGACTGTAGTCGTGCCAAACGAAGCGAAGAAAGCTCATTTACTGATGGTGCATAAGAAGAAATATTTAAAAAGTTTGAAGGTTGTTGGAATATTTTCCACTAATTTTTGTATCACTAAGATCCATTTATTTTCAGTGTAGCTTTACAGTAGCGGGTATAGCCGAAGTCGCCCCACTAGTATTAGTGCCTAATTATTTTGTGCAAAAGGCCTATCTACGACCAATGAGGTAGGTTGCGCTTATTGCTTATACAGGGAGGTTAGTTGAATACAAAGATTTTAAGAGCATATTTATCTAGCTTCGTTTAAAAAAAAATAAAATCTCAAAAAATTATTAAATCTTCAAAAATCAGTAGCGTATTATGATTTTTCCTATAAATATTGGTTATGCCACTCTCTGAAACGCCGCTCGAATTAATAATAATTATAATAAATACTTGTTGTGAAAATCAGCTAAAATTTTTTTGTGTAATTAATAGAAAGCCGATTTCTTTTATAAACTTTATCACTGTGGATCTCGAACACAGGACATATGATTTATTCTTGGCTGATAAATATACAGTTAAAATCTTCATAGTGACTTCAGAAACTGTATGAGCAGTTGAAACGTTCCGTGTTTCAGATATCAAACAGGTGGATCAATATTAGCGGGAAAATTGGCTTTGGACAGAGGATGGGCCATTAATATAGGCGGTGGCTTTCATCACTGTTCGGCTTCTAAAGGTGGTGGATTTTGCGTTTACGCCGACATTACCCTGCTCATAAAATTCCTATTCTATCATTTTCCAAAAAAGGTAAATAAATTTGGTCTAAAATTTGATAAAGAACATCCTGTTAAAAGGATTCCCGAAACAATGTACGTTTTATTTAAAGTTTATTGCCAGGAAAGCTTTTCAAAAAACTCCCAAAATAAAGGTATAGGAAAAACAAAATTAACTTAATGTTTACTTAGAATTTAATATGCATTTTTAATTAAGCGAAATGTTGGCAACAGAGCGTATTTTAAAATAGTCTCGAAGCATAAAGTACCTCCGATTTCAATTCAGTTCAGTTCACAATTACTTATTGTCATAAATTAATAAATTTAATTAACAAATCAAAAATACAAAACCAATTCCATATGGTCTTATCGTCTAGAGCGTTAGTTTAAAATATATATCTATATACATAAGGTACACATCAAAATATAAAGTCCTACATAACTACTTCACGATAAGCACGGGGCAATCATACACTCTTATTTCCAGATATAAGCGAACATATGCTACATATACGGCGAGCTATACAGGGACTAAACTTTGAGGCCCGGATTTGTCTTATAGTAAAACCATTCTACAGATTAGTTCAAGCTTTAATCAAATCGCAAAATAATTAAACAATTTGCCAGACTTTCGTGTTGTTCTTGTTGTTACCATCGAAATACATAAGTCAAAACTATGACTCACTAAAAAAGTGATTGATATGGATTTCTAAAAACAGTCCACCATTTTCGGTTACCCTCTCATCAATTTGTATTGTGTGTGAACGACAACCCCTTACCTCATTTTGAATTTAATGACAAGTTCTATAGCAGTTTTTTTATAGGTGCAAAAGGTTTTGATTGTGGATCTAGACGCTCATCAAGGCAACGGCTACGAACACGATTTCAAAGATAACGATGACATCTACATCATGGACGTATACAATAAATGGATTTACCCCAGAGACGTCAACGTCAAGGGAGCAATCAGGAAAAATGTGCCGTTAGATTTTTTTACCGAAGATGAAGAGTATCTAAAGTTAATCAGAAAGTAAGTTGGAGCTGGAAATTGTTCCGCTGAAATTAATTTTATATAGGGTATCCAAAATAATGGATCAATACTGAAGGGGATACATACTTAAGCTCATTTTAAGAAAAAAAATTCATTTTAGCTTATGTCATAACCTCTTAATTTTTGAGATACAGGCGACTTGTATCGCATATTATTACGTTTTGTTTCTGTATGAAAGCCTACTCTTGCGTTGTCAGATGAAGCATCACTTCTAATTAAAATGATTAAATTATAAGTGGTACATTTCGCTACACTGACTCATAATTTTTGAAGATGCAAACCTGGAATATGTTACAGTATGTCACTCTTCCTTGAGTTGCAATAAGTTCCTAGTCTTCAAAACCTTCGAAAAAAAAATCTTAACTTAATTTTTATTTGTTTTTTCATGTTTCAGCAAGTTAGTTTAAAAAAGTTAGTAAATAAATCCCCTTGATTTAATGGACTAATTTTTTCCCACTTCGATCGACGTTTAATAATAAAGTTTAGTTTTGCAGAAAATAAAATAAATTGTCACATATAATTTACTCGAGTCAAATTATATTTGATAAAAAGTTCAGCCCCAAAAATACACACAGTAATAGCCAACAAACAAACTCAAGCCATTGGAGTAGATTACTTATAATCAAACAATTTTTGATGAAACAATAGAAGTAGAGTCGAGAACGAATAGAATAGTTGGACAAATTAACTTCCATAAGGTTCCAATTATAATTTTTTCTAGAAATTTGCATTTAAAGATTTAGGATTGTAAGAAACATTGTTTCATGAAACCGATCTTTCCAAAGGATTCCTCACTAGTTTGGATTTCTTTTTACTGTTAAGACGTTAGAATATTTCAGATATCAAATTGTCATCTGACCTGTAATGCCCATTAAAGTGGAATTTTTATAATAATTTAGTTAGGATTAGTATTGATTAGTATAGATTATTGGTCGGTCAGTGCTGCCAAATGTAGCACTTTTAATTTAATTAATTTAATCAAGAACGGTGCATTGATCACTGAAAATCCACGGGGTAAATTGTATGCAGAATGAATGAAAATATGAAAGAAAATATTCACCTTAAGAAATATCAGCTGCATAGTATTTTTTCTTCCAAAATATGATATACAAATCGTGGGCGAGCGTCACTATTAGAAATTAAAAAAAAAACACTTAAAAATGTCCCTTGATGCACAAAATGGATTTCCGAACCTTCAATACATGTTAAACCGTTTCTTAGATGATATAAAAAACACATGTTCGCCTGAAAACGTTACCAAGCTGTATCTGAAACCTTCACACAAAGTTTTTTCTTAAAACGAACCCACGAATTATCCCCTTAAGTATTGTCACATCATTAAAGGACACCCTGTATGCGACTTTCAGGAGTCTCGCGGAAGTGTTTGAAGAATTTAGCCCTCACCTAATAGTTTACAATGCAGGAACGGACGTTTTAAATGGTGACAAGTTGGGCGGCTTGTCGATTTCGGAATACGTGAGTAGCCGCTTTGAATCGTAATAAGCTTTTAATAAGATATTTTGCTCAGGGTATTTTGAAACGAGACGAATACGTATTTCAAGAGGCTACGATGAGAAGCATTCCGATAGTCATGTTAACCAGCGGAGGCTATTTGAGAAAATCCGCCCGTGTTACAGCGAATTCGATCATTAATCTATACGACGTTGGTTTAATAAACGGACCGCAAGAATATTTCTTTTAGGAATTGTAGTATCGTCCGTTTATTGTACTCATGCTGATTAGAAACACTACACATTTTGTAGTTTTAGTTAGTTGTTGCCTACTTGGTTCAACAAATTTAAGAAAGGAACAGCAATTGGCGTGGCCTCGCACATTAGGTCAAATCAACCAGAAAAATAACCACGGTTTACTTTTGTTGCGTGGTTTTGTATAAAACTATTTCATTTCTGTATTTTATTAGTATTTGGTGGATGCATTTTCAGTTCTGACTTAGAAATTCTGTTAAATGAAAAGTAATAAATTCTTCCGTATTCAGTGTAGATTTTCATATATAAAGTTCATATACAAAGACTCAATGTGCTCAATGTGTACTAAAGCTGCTAGTTTTTGCTTATAATAATTTAACGATTTTCATGCGTAATCCTAGAAGGTATACTTTTCACAATTAATTACATATTCGTTTATAATATGCAGCTTATGAAGAATCTCTCACACTTAGTTATGCAAAGAAATATTTTTTTTACCATAAATAAATTTGTTGTGAATGTTGTTGTAAATGTTGAAAGATTCAAAAAAATGTTACTGTTGTATTTTTTATACTCTTTAAAAAACTTCTGGATTTCTCCTGCTTCGATTTTTGTGCTAACGTTTCGTTAATCATTTGTTTCAGTCAAGCTCCCAAGAGTTTAGCAAGGTTAGCAAATTCGACTCAACAAAAGCCGACGCAGAAGGAATCCAGAAGTTTGTACAGTAGCCTGTGGAAGTTTCTTTTAAAAAAACATTGTTCTTTTATATCACGAAAAGGTTTTCAAGTTTAATTTGTCCCCAATAAATGTTATTTCAGAAAGAGGTAATTTTGTTATGATGCTAATTAACATTTCTTTTTATACCAGCTAATTTGTTTTACTCCATGAACTTCTCACAATGGCCTGTATCCACTTTGAAAGGGTGTCAGTTATAAACATCGCGTGTAGTGTCAAAAATATATCTGTTGATATTAATTTTGATGTTTTGGCCCACAGTGCTCCGTGGCACAGCGAGCAGTTCATCTTAATCCCAGGGATATGATGCATTATTTTTTTTTTAAGTTACAGAGGGTTCAGCCTAACTTTGGACCGTTTCATGTGACTAAAGACAAAAACTGAAACATATTCTGACTAACGGAAAAATTGTTTGTCGCAAGAACTTAAGATATTTGCGTGTAGGGCAAAATAAGTCATGCTTCCTTAAATAGCATGAAAACAAAATCTCATGAAACCAAAAAGAAATCATTAATAATGTTCACCATTACTGACAAAATGACTTTTGACAGTCCTCTAATTTGTACTGAATTTTAAGTTTGCATATTACACAATAATACAATAATTACTCGCTATCTAATTTAGATTGTCAATCCGAAATTGTTGATTTTTTTACTCTTGAGACCATGCCGCGTCTAACTAGAAAATACGACTAAAAAAACATAAGAAATTGTTTGACCAAAACGGTTATTTGCTTTGTTCCACGCCCGAGTTTTTAGTTTTTGTGCTTATAGATCTGAAATTTCCCATTACTACTAAGCGTATACCTAAGTTTCGGCCTTTCCTTACAGAGTTTTTTTATGACGCAAAAAGTGGTTTTAGACGACGATCTGAAGTAGTCAACAAGCTGAGAACTTATATTATCTAAGCTGGATTTTTTCGATTATTCCTCCTGAATATCCTTGTTTTCGTTTTATATTTTACGAGTGTTGCATATTATAGTTTTTGTAGGACCGTCGGTTATTGGTCATTTTTTTGCAAAACAACACGAATACATTCACTGACATGAACTTGAGAAACATATCTATTCTATGTTGTACGTAATTCTATATGGAGTTAAATTAATAAAATGAATAAAAAAAATCAATATGACAAACATTATCTGGAAGATTTATTAAATTGTTGGAAATATTCCGGAGCAGTTCGGTTAGCGTAAACAATTTTTTCTAAATATTGTTTGTGATTCTTTTGTTCCTCGGCCAGTCTTCTATTTTCTTCGGCTAGTTGTTTGTTTTTCTCTCTAAAAATTAGAAATTTGGCATTTCCGCATCGACAGATTGTAATAAACGTTTGACGTTACCGCCTTTTTCTATCCAGCTCTTTGTTCATCAGGTGAACCGATCTGTTAATACCGTTGATGTAATTGTCAAAGTCCGAGTTCATCTTCGACTCCAATTCCTTCCTTTTCTGAGAATCGCGGTATCAAATAAAAAAAATGAAATTATCAAATTGTGTTGTATTTGGTACTAGTATTTTTAGTAGTAGTATCTGAGACAATTAAGATTTCTTTGTTTTGCAAAAAAAAACATGAATTAATTCAATAGATATCGAAATTTTTTCACCCTTAAAGATGTCTTCACCCACTAAATGATTAATAAATAATACTAATATGATTGACTTTTTTGAATATTTTCGCTATTTATGGACATTTATCAACATGTTTAATTTCATAATAAGTTAAAGTTTCTACCACTGAAAATTTCAGTTTTTATTTATCGAAGGTAGAAATTTTTTTCAGTTATTCGCAAGTGGTCATTGAAATAAAATTTCGTTGAAATTCCGTGAATACGAACCTTGGATTCTTCAATTTGACACAGCTGTTCCTTTCTAATTTGTTGCTTTTCTTCTTCGGACATGCCTTTGTAAGAATAAGCAATTTTTCTCCCAAGACCAATGTTACTTTGACTCACGTCCGGATTTTCGGTGAGCAAGTCGCTGGTTAAGTTATTATAAATTTCCGCGGTATTATCCTCTAAAATTTGCCGTTCCTTGTTCATCTTTTCGTTTAACCGTTCATCCGCCTAAAAAATGCTCCTCGAGCATGTTAACGGATTGACGTGTCACGCGGATAAAATTAAAGATCGTACCAAGGCTTTGTTATATCTCTTACATGCTTCCTCAAGTTTTCTTCGACAATCCTTTTCAAGCTTTTCTAAATCGGATGCTCTCCGATCTCGGGTCGAAACAGCCTCTTCAAAACGATCAAGATATTAAAAAAATCAAAATGTTATTAAAAAATTCTAATATACCTCTGTAGGCATCTTCGGCTAGCTGTCTGTCCCTTTCCGCTTGATTTTTCTCCAGTAGTTGCTGATCAAGCCACGCTTTGTTTTGTTCTCGTTGAAGTTTCAGTCTTTGTTCACTGATAAGATCTTCGCCCTCAAATCTATTAGGTATTTAACAATTTGTTTTTAATACCTACATATATATACACACTTTTGCGCAGAAGATGGTCCCAGTCGTGGATCATCATCGTCTAAGCGGGCGGGCAATTGTTTTTTTATCCACTCTGGATCATTCAAATCGAATTCGCGTCTATCTTCAGGTCTCTGACAGTATTTTCGAAAATTGTTGATCTCCTGCTGCAGTTTTCTTTCTTCCTGTTGATTTCAATCGCTCTGGCTATAATTGATACCTTCTAATGGCGACGTACTTACATTTTTTTGCTTTTGAGAATACTGCAATGCCAATTGATCAGCTTGGTTCAAACGGTCATCGAATAACTTGTCCAATTTTCGACGATTTTCTTCTTCATTTCTCTTCTCTTCAACTTGTCGCTGCAATGCTTCAGTGTCGATCTGTTAGTGAGTAGGAAATTTCGGTTTGAGATATAATTAATTAAAGTAAGATTCTCACTCCTATAACTCTTAATCTAGGATTGAATATCCTTTTTCTCCTTTCCTCTTCTTGGATTCTTTTTCTTTCAATATACGCCGCCTCTTTTCGATCTTTTTCAGTCATTAATTGAAAACTTAACATATTTCCTTTAATATCGATTTAATTTGAAATAATTGTCGACAAATGTTAAAGTGTTTGCGGTGTTGCCTGACGACACAAGTTTAGTGGAGTTGCCATAGAAACATATTTGCTGCACATGTATATGAACTGACAACGGGAAAAGGGGGTCGTTATTACCACTACACGAGAGGTGTTATAGATTGAATTATTTATTACTCTTCAAGTTCTTCTACATTGTTGCTCCCCCAAGACAAGTCGCGGTAAATTTTACCTCCGGGTTTTCCATATTCGCTTAAACTATGGATAACTCTGGATAACGCCCAAAATATAAAGTAATTAAATATATATTAAATATTTATATTCATTTTCGACTTTCTTTAAAAATCGAAATCAAAACAATTCAATTTTTCGACGTATTCATGACCATGTATTAACTAACCAAAACTATTATATTTTCCTTGTAGCCAAATCTATCGACTTGGCTAAGGAACAAACTTGCCGGAGCAGCGTTGCATTGGTTGTGTACAGAAACATCTTCAAATATGTAATAGAGTATAATCCTGTGAGTGACCAAATGATCATGACACTGAACGCAACTCCAACTAGACTTCACATAATTCAAGTGTATGCCCACAACCGAATCACCAAATTAAGACGTAGAAGAGATGTACAGTATTTTGGAACGCCAAATCTTGGGCCACTTTAACGCAAAAGTTGGCAGTACGGTATTCGAAAACATACCTAATGGAGGAAGACACGGATTAGGAAATCAGAATTAGAGAGGAGAGACTATTAAACTTTGCCGTTGGAAATAACCTTACAATCGCAAACGCCTATTTTAGCATCATTTCAGACGCCTCTCGACATGGAAGAGTCTACCAGGTGCAACTATAAATCAAATTTATTATATGTTAATAAGAAATAGATGGCAAAGTTCAATCAAAAACATCGAAGCCAAGCCACAGACAGACTGTGGATCCAACCACAAACCACTTTGGGCCAAATATAAAACTAAAGTGAAGAAACAAACTACACCTAATATAAATAATGAACACATCTTAGGTGGCTGTAGAGAACCATAAGTTTGGAAAGTAAATTGTAAAAAACTTTACAGAATAATCACCCCCCCCCCCCAGGAGCCTGATATACAAGGAACGGAAGTTGAAAATGCCATAAAACTTCTCCGAAACAAAAAATCACCAGGTGCGGATCAAATAACGGCAGAGGTCTTAAATTTTCTTGACAAGGAAGAAACAGAAATATTTCACAAAATCTGTAAGCTTTTTTGAAAGACATTACAGAGACCGGCAGACTAGGAAGAGTCGCAGTTTATTCCAATATTCAAAAAACGTTCGCTCTTAGAGTGCAACAACTACAGAACAGCATCTCTAAAATCTCACGCCAGTAAGATCTTCCTATATATCATACATAACCTTCCTAAATCATTTCTTTTACCACCGTTTTCAGAGGATTAAGCAGGTTTTGTTCAAGGCTAGAGAAATTATTATTCCAATTATCTCTGCTTCGTAGACTATCAAAAAGCGTTTGATCAAGTAAACTGGTAGGTAACTAGCTACCTTTGGACCACAATGAAGCAAATGGAAATGCCCAAACTAGTCCGAAACCTTTACCAGAAAAACAACGCGAGAGTCAGAATCGACTTCGACAGGACTGCATTCTTTCACCAAACTTATTTAACACTTATAGGGAATACGTCATAAAAGAGGTTCTAGATGAATTGCAACACGGAATATGTATGATCATAGCGTCAATTATACCGGCCATAACAGAAATCATGTGCAAAAAATTAGGATTAAAAATAAATAAACCAAAAACGAAAATAACGATTGTTGATAGACAAGACAACAATCCTCCACAGACAGTTGTAACTGTCTAAGTTACTTAATTACCAACACTGGGAAATCTGAGACCGAAATACGCCGTAGTCTGATCATAGCAAAATCTGCGACTACCAAGCTAAACAAAATATAGAAGAACAAATCTATCACTAAAGCAACGAAACTCAGATAAAAACCGAATAAAGGCTTTCGAAATGTGGGTTCATAGACGACTCTTACGAGTCTCATGGTCAGAGCCTCGAACCAACATATCCGTGTTACAAGAAATTAGTCCGCGATCACGGCTCCTCATAGAAGAGAAAGCAGAAGGCGATCCCCAACTAGATGTGTAGATCAAACAAAACCCTTAATAAATACAAGACTGCATGATGCCGAAAGGAATGCAAAAAATAAGCAAGCATGGAATCAACTACTGAATCAAATATGAATGCTGTCACCACATTCTTTGTAAAGGATAATGAAGAGAGAAGGATGCTGATTATATTTTGTTGCAATCGCACTAAAAAAATGTAAGTTTTTGAAATGTTCAATCCCTAAACTTATCAGACCTTGTCAGTGCACGGATTTTTAATGGGTTTCAATAGCAACGTTACAAAATTATAAATATTAGAGAAAAAAATCTAAGAAAACGAATGGATGATATGTATATCCCTTGTTCCGGTGGTCCCATATGTCCAATGTATTCTTTGCTGCATATGCATGGAACTCTGAAAACTGCTCGATAAGTGGTAAATCTGGTTTTAACATTATATTTAATAACTTTCGATTTGTGGTCAGTAATGTTTTCAATCTAAGGAAGGGTCACAGTGGCAAGTGTGGGGGTGTTTTTGGACTGATTTTCTTTGTAAGGTTGTGGTGAAGTGTATTTTCTAATGAAACTGTTAACATCTTTATTGTGGATATTATCAGAGGTGTTATAATTCTCGGTTCAGTGAGTCGATAATTTTGGATAGGTTTATACAGCCGAATCACTGGGCCCCTGAATTAAGGCACCCGACATCTGCCTTTTTATCTAATAATTGACACATCATTACTAATATTAAGCGTTCCATCGCAAAATACACATCACCACAACCTTCACACACCACACACTTGCCACTTTGATCCTTCCTTACACTCATATCATCACTCATTGCATATCAAAAGTTCTTAAGAAATGTTACGTTAAAACCAGATTTACCACTTATCAAAAAATCTTTCAACATCTTCGATCCGTTAAAGAAAAAATTCCATAGATTTGTGTTAAAGAATACATTGGAGAAACAAGACGAATAATATCAATTGGGCTAAAAGAACATGAAAGAGCCTCAAGACTACGAAAAATAATCTTATCAGCAGTTGGCGAACACAATCACGAACTCAGACATGATAAAATTAAAATTCTTGCTTGTAATCAATTCTTGTAAGCAACCAAACAATCGACCGCGGCTCATGCCCCTTCTATAGCTCCGCCCCCCTCAAGCAATGTATAAGCAGATATAAAATAGAATGCAAAACAGTTTCTGTTAAGCTCTGAAGAAGCCATGATCTGCGGAAGATCAGAAAGTTCAATTTATAAAGAACCGACACAGGAGAAATCCAAAAGAAGGGCAAAACTAAAATTTAAACTTGTGTCAACCGGCAGATGATATTAAATTTGACCATTAGTTGAAAAAAATGTAGCTAAAGTACTTGAACTAGTTAGTTTTTGTTATAGAATATACATACATATATATTTCTATTCAAATTTAACGAAATAAAAATATAATTATAATTATTAAGCCCAGTTTAAAAAATTGGTTATTGACCCCAGCAGATAATGTACTTTTCTGCGCGTTAGTAATTTTTATATCCTCCACGGAAATCTTTCCATCGATGTTTGTGAGGTCTATTTATTTACCATGGGATTATCCATATCGCTCTCAGTCCTCAGCTTCAGAATCTGCGATGTGGATGATCACCGAAATCAGCGACCCATGTACAAAGTCGTCCATTTACCATGCTCCTATACCTTAGCTCAATAAGTACGACTCTGAGGAAAAAACTTAAATACTTAAAGTGTTTGACCATATGTATATATTTTATTTATATATTTTTTTGTATGCACAGAGTGTTCCGTGGCGCCATAATAACCGAATTTTTTGTGTCAAATGAATATTTTTGAAAATTTTAATTATCCGCTCGGCAAATGCATTTTCTGCGATAAAACAGGTCTTTGCAAAAATGTGGTTTTTTACACTTCAAAACTAAAATCTAAAATTTTCCACTGAATGTTTAATGCTTTGACCTATCTATGGCGAAAATATATTATACAGGGTGGTCACAAACGACCATCAAAAAATGTTTTTTCGAATTAAAAAAAACTCTTGATTTTTTAACGGATCACCTTGAATTTTATTTGTTTTTTTATATGGCCACTGAAATATTTCGCAAAATAAACATCACAGTTAAAATTTGATGGGCTAAGCAGAGTGCATTTCTTTACTACTTCAATGTAAGTTGTATTACGTACAGTACTGTAACTTCACAATGGTGAACTATAATCTGAAGAAAGGAAATGTAATCGAAGTATAGCCAGAAGTCGGTGGCAACATTTTTGTTTAATTTGATTTTTGTCTTTCATTTTATTCTGGCGGAAATCGTCATTATCGCCAGAAGAATGACGGTGTGTCTTTTTAAAACCTCTGTCATATCACCGAGCTTTCTTTTTTTCCAAAAGGTCTAGGAGTGATCAAATATGAATTACAGACTCTTAGAAACATTTTATCAGCCATTGGCTTAATTTTGTATATTTTAAATCATTTTAAACTGAACAGTTTTGGAAAGTAATAATCGTTAAATTGGTTGCTTTAAAGAGCACAGATTTGAATTTTGTTTCTTTTATTTTCTTAAATAAAACCTTTTGAAAGTGACTCAAAATGGACAATGTTCCAATTTTGAAAATGTAATGAGTTAATAAGAATGAAATTTTCGAGATTGCTTATAAAATAATTAAATCGTTACATTTTTGAGACGTTGTTCACTATAAAATATGCAATTGGTATGAACAACACGTTTGCTCCATGTTTTAATCAATAGAAAAGTACACTACACCGTTGTCTTTCCGCTAATGCTAGAGAGAAGGGTTGCGATGAGTTAATAAAACTTTTAAAACGGATCACGTATGTTTTATTTCAATAAGAAAGCTTCTTTACAGTAGACGTATTTAAAATGTACATAAAAATTTACTTTATTGCACTGAATAAGCTTAACATTTATAAAATAGTCTAAGTTAAATTCGTAACACCCTAACTCTGAAAATTTTAGAACAAACGCTTTAATTTCCTGCACAATTAGTACAAATATTATACAAACTTATTTAAATTAACAAAATTTGAAATACAGTTGACTAAATTTCACGAAAATGCAATAAATAATTTTGTTTTTGTCCTTTGAATGTGGCGTGTAGAAAAGAAATACTATCGACCAAATGGCTCTTGTTTGTAATTACTAAACGATATCGATGATAGAGTGATTGAGGAAACGGAAAACAAGTATCAAGAATAGCAAATAGTCTAAACATCTACAAGGAGACCTTCACACAGTTATTTACAAATATTTAAATAAGTCACTGCTACTGTGGTTGCATCGCGACATTAAATTACTTCTCTCTCGGCATGCCATAAAAATAGTTTATTTTGGATCCTAGAATCAAAATGAATTACAACATTTTATACAAATTTTTGAATGACCATTACGTCAGAAGGTTATTGACAGTTTATTTGCTATTTGTGATTTCCAGTAATATCGGAATTTGTATGCAATATTTCGACAGTTTCTTTGGATGTTGACATTGCTAAGTAGGAGAACACAGCGATAGGACTTGCTAGCAGTGTGTTAAAGTGTTTAGCGAACCAAAACTGTTGTAAAGTTTCGGAGCTGAAAATATTCTTTGTCGAATCAAAAATTTACAAACCAAATATTACATCCTCGCAATATAGGTCTTTTCTTAAAATATATTATTTTTGTAACAGGTTTAGACTATTTTATTGCATTTATAGCTTATTTTTACAACATTTAATACAATATACATTTTTTCGTTATAATATACACAGCAATGTAATACAAATAGAATTTTAAATTTGGATGATCCCGCTACTAGGTGAACAATATTTAAATCGCAAATTACAAATAATCAAGTGAAGTAAATTGATTAATTGAACTTGATAAACATGTAATATTATGCTTGAGAGCTTAATCTTTAGAACCATAAGTTACATCAAATTCAAAATTTAAGAGTGAACCACTTTTAAAATTTAATGTCATCAACTTAAATAACATGATAGGATAAATATGATGATATGATATTATAAATAATAACAATATGAAGATTTAGTTAGGCGTATGATTGTTTTCTGATAATGCTGGGGTGTTTCATAATTCAGGACGAAGGTCTTAAGGGCATAGAAAAAGTCTCCAATAAAAACCTGTCTCCTAATCTACTTTGATTTTGAGGTACGGGGTGTCAAAGTTTATACAAAAAATCGGTTTTTTCATTTGTTATTCAAAAACCTTTTACTCCACCTTTTACTTGATTTGTCAATCTTTATTTTACAAACAAAAATGGTAGGACAGATATTTATATTGTTGGTTGATAAATATGCCCTTAAGATTTATTTGTTCAATTTTGAAACAACTTGTATTCATACCGAGTTTCAGAACACAGAACAGCAGATGATATTAGAAATCGAAACAAGATTTGTTGAATGAATCAGGAGGCAAATGTCAAAAAGATAAAGCGGTTGCAAGAGCAAATATGTTTTTACAATAATAAACCAAATTATTTGTAAAAATTGATCAAACTTGTGAAATGATTTGCTAGTAGATAATAAAAAATACATAGTGCTTCAGCTACGATAAATGTACTCTGCAAAATACATCAAATAACTTTTTCAGCAGCTTAAAAATTTGTTACGATTTGTTAAAAGTTTCACTTTTCTCTTTCAACGCCATTATTTGCCAATTTAGAAATTTAACCAATCTTCTTGACTTATAATATCACCTGCTGCTCTATTCTGTAGAAAGCCCTTAACGACGACGACATGACTTTAAAATTTTAGCCAGGTATGATAAAACTAAAAATAAAAAGTTGAAAAATAGCTAAAATATTGAAGAGCGTGACAATGAAATGTAGGGTATTTATTATAATGAATATTTTTTGAAAGACTGGGAACACACGGATCCAAGTTTAGCCTACATAATGGAGGAAAATATTTCGTGCCAGCATTCACTTAAATGCTGCTCTCGGGATCATTGTTCTAGACAACAGAAACATTGTTTGTCCAACTTAAGGTGATTAGAACTTAATCTACGCTGAGACCGATGTCTTTTAAACCCGCCTCAATATGTTGCGCCAACGAACATTCTTCGGGCACCTCCGGATGTTTATATCCGTTGATGAAGTGGCAAGTCCCGGGAATACCGGACGGAAAGTCCTTCGGGAGACAGGAACGGTCCCGAGGTTCGAAGGAGAAGCCCGGGGTCGTAATCAGCCGCCTGGAAATAGTAATTTTGCAGGGTTAAATCACACGTCAGATTGTTGTTTAAGATTGGGCTTCGCGCGGGTTTAATTATGTTGCGGCAAGTTCTGGAAAACAAGTAGAGTTTTGTAATTTCAGGGTACAAATCCGAAAGTCGACTTTTCAAAAGCCATACAAAACGATTTGTTGGGCTAAACGTATTTCGTCTCATCAGTCGAAAACTAATTGAGTTAAAATAGGGACAAAACCTACAGCGGGTAAAAATTTTACATCGCAGTTAATTATATGGTAGTATTTTTGTAATTTCAGCAGACTATTCGAATGTGTTAATGGCCAGAAACAGTTCCAGTAATTAAATTGTTCGGTTTCGAAAGACAAGTGTTCAAAATACGCAAGTAAAATAAATAAGTACTTTATTGTCATCATGATTACAGAATTACTATCAATAACACTTTTAAGAAACCCTTTTTCAGTCTCTATAGAATGTTGAATAACCTTAGAGTGATTAAAACTTATACAGATTTAATAGTTGTAATATTTTAGTGAAAAGTGCAAGAGAGAACTTTTTTAGTTTTTCGGTCTACTAGTTTATGTTCCTTTAATATTTCCTTTTCCTTCTTTTTTTTTCAAAAAAAGTTGCTATAAACTACGCTTATTACATTACAGCTAAATCAACAAAAATAAATGCAGCTTACAGTACATATTAACATTTAGATTGTTTAAAAATTGAATTCATAAAATATTCTTTCAAGCAAGTGCTGAAAAAAAGGTGTTGTCTACCCTTTGGCCCCTCCTATTTCGCGTTATCTATATGTGTTTTTGAACCACAGAGATCACTATTTTGTCTAATAAAGTTTTTATGTAGTATGGTGTGGGTGGTCTTGTATTGTCATGTTGAAGGACAAAATCTGCACTTTCCTCTGCACTAACTAGAATGTGTGCGTTAAAAATTCCATCTCGGAACATATGAAAGTAGGTGCGCCCTACTAAAGATTACACAGACCATAATCGAGTGATATTAGCAATGTTTGTTGTTGTGCGGAAGGTATTTTAAAGTCACCACAGTAGGTGTAATTATATTATTATTCTATATATAATAATTTGCAAGCCTTTCTGTTTTGGGCCTGTTTCATTGCTGTTGCCAATTTTTTCTCTCCTTCTTCAACATTCTTCCCACTATAATATCCTATATTCACTTCAACTTTACTTTTATTTTAATTCATTTTCATACCGTTCTCTATTAGTAATTGGTAAAGAAATATTAAGTTTTTCTATTAGATCCTTCTGGTTTCCTGCTCTGATTGGCCCGTCACCTGCTACGACCCAAACTCATAAGTTAGTCGACTGTATCTAATTCAAATTGGTTTCGTTCCCTGCTCTGTTATTTTAATTCCTGCATTGTACACCCAATTTCAAGGTCGTACTAACTATCTGTTTCGACTTTTCACAAATTCGTTTTCGCTGGTCTTTATAAAACAGCTTCTTCATACCTAAAAACAGGATTAAATCTTCCCAGACATGATTTTTTTACTATAAATACGTGGACTATGTTTGGACCATGATTTTCATAAACACGAATGGTCCGTTGCTGTCCTAGAGTTATTTTTTTTTATTAGTTATCAACCGAAAAACTTTTTTTTATATGGGATACCCGGTATATAGCCTTGGTATTTTGCTAGAGGCATCTTGGAAAAAATTGATGCTTTAAACTTTCATCAAGTAGGTTTTGACCAATGCAACCGTAACACATGCGTACTGGTAATGACGAAATTTTGATTTTAGTTATAAAGTCACGGTTCACGATTAGATTTTTCTACTACATGCACCATAGACATTTCTGGTACTGAGTGTATGTTCTTTTAAAGTTTATCTAATGTTGGTTCTTGCCAGTCTTGTTGGTGTCTTTAGTTTTCAAATTGACATTGTATAATTATTTGTAACTGCTCCCAAACCACTATTTTTGGTAACTCCTACAGATGATGTATAGTTTTTGGCTCTTTCTCCTTAAATTCTTCCTAAAATGTTTTTGAAAGGTTGTTTTCTTTCAAGATATTGGTCGTTACAACAGCATTCACAATTTCACAACTACTACTCTTGCATTCTATGAACTACGATGTGTTTTTATTTATGTATTTTAAATAAGACAAAAATATACATAGCGTCTAATATGAAAAATCTCTTTATCGGTTAAGAACTAATCAAATATTAATGAAATAAAAAATTAGTTGTAAAAATACTATATTGAAACCAATAAATTTTGCATAAAACAAAACGCATGATTTTCCATAATAAAAAAGGTGCACCTATTTTCTTGAAATGCGCATATTCCAGAAATATCTTATAACTCTGAAACTGTGCCATGTGCGGTTTTCCCAATTAAGTGTTTTATGAAAATTGTGTTCCAGATACCCGCATTATTTTTAGGCCTATGGAAAAGGGAGTTTGCCTCTAACAGTGTGGAATTTGGCACATCCTGTACACAGTAGAGATATTCCTCTGTTAATGTTGTAGTTTTGTGGTACCATTACGAATCTTTCACCTGCACTGACTGTTTCTTCCTGCATCAGCCTCTTTTATCTCTCCATCTAAATCTCCCGAACTGTAATCCGCATTTAGCCATTTTATCCTAAACCTCCCCCACCGCTTTTGATTTGAGTTTCCTCGCGTCAACGCCCGCTTATTTCAACATTAAATTAAATCATTCTCACGTGGTAATTAATTGTTCCAAATTAATTCAAAACCCGCCTCGAGGCTAATTATTTATCGCGCGTGCAAGATTCGCGCGAAGGAAAAAGGAAAAAGAAAAATTGCAGTACAAAATAAACGTTTGCTCGACCGGCAGGGATGGAAAAAATGGCTTAGCGGTTCCGCGTTCCGGAGACAAATGAGGTCATAAATTTTTTAGCGCTTTTAGACTTCATGAACATTTTACTTTTTCGTGGAATCACTTTCCAGACGAAAACCGTTATAAAACCGCTGTAAAAGGAATTTTTATGATGTACGAAAAGGGATAAAATGCAAGATGTAGCCGCCGATGAAATACGTGCGCCATATTGCGACAATGTACCTTAATGCAGTCCGTTTGAACATCTTATTCATTAGAAAGCCGATGTTGCGTACTGGATCAATCGAACTCCGAACTAAGCAGGTTTCTTCCAGGATGGGCAATTGGTTTTAAACGATAGTTCCACTACTTTTTGGTTTAGTAAGCCGTAGCGACCAGAAAATAACAATAATTTTAAATTAGAAGACAAGATTGGTCAAATTCATGGTTCAAATTAAGCCTGAAACTGAGTCCAGCAAAAAGCAGTTTACAAACACAAACTGAGTAATGTTGCAGCCCGAATGGTATTCGATGTAGTTGGGATCCGATGTAGTTTTACACATTTTCACGGACAAAAGCTGGCTTCGATTAGATACTCAGATACGGACACGAAACTGGAAAATTTCAGTAATAAGAACCCAAAATATTTCGGATAATCAATTATAACAAGAAAAATTACCTACCGCAACATTACGGAACTGTTCAGCGTTTCAGGCAGAACCAAATAGGAGAATAGAAAGTGTTTCAACCTCAATTTTCTATTCATATCAATTTCAATTTGTATGTGAGGAAATAAAGACAGAGATAAATAAGATAAAAGTTAGGGCATCGTCTGGCAAATAAATGGCTAAGACCTTTTTTGTGTATGGATAAGTTTTTTGAATAGACAGAGATAGAGTTCGTGTAATACTAATGGCAGTGAATTAATGAAATAATAGAAAATTGACAAAACCAGTTTACGAGCATGTTTTGTACGCAGATATCGCAGATGTCTCGGTTGGGAATTTAGAAAAAAAATTGCTACATTGCAACCTAGCGGCATGGACATCAAAGCTTTAGATGAAACCTGATCTTGAAAGGTACGAAATAATTATATAAATAGAAGAAATTATACACTGTTACTACTAATGTCAAAAGAAGGAGAATGATTTGCTTGTGAGAAATATTAACTAATTGTATAACTATAACTAATACAAACATGAAAATATGCTGCTTATACGGCGAAAAGCTACCCCGAAGGACTCGATCCAAGCACCGACTTCATGACCAATGCCAGCGCGTTTGGCGAATTTGAATCAGCAAATTTCTTAACGTTTTTTTTTTTCACTAAAACTGTCGCATTACACTTATTTTATTATTCGGAAAATATTATTAATATAACGTGATTGTATGTATTGTAATCTAATTTCCGAATGAACTAAAGTTATCGAAACTTTCACAGCGTTACTCTGTTTCTCCCCGTTTGTTTAGCACTCCCAAACCCTGAGAAAGATGGATTTTGCGACCTCCTAGGGAATAATTTATTACATCATAAAACATTAAAAATAAAGTCGGAAAAATAGGAGACCATAAATAATCTTATTTATCTCGGGGGATTTGCTACGTAATACCCATTTATCGGTTCATAATCGGATGACACCAAATATGGCTACCTAACAAACACTTTAAAATTTTAGAAGATGACGATCAGGTATAAATTAGCCCGTAAAACCAATTCTGGCTTAACCGAAAGTCGTCATTTACATTGGGAAATGAAATAGGGTTGCATTATAACGTTATATGGAGCATCTATATTATCCAATGGCTTGTTTGATTGTGACTATGGAGAATAATAGAAAATGCCACACTTACTCGTACGTTGTGGGGCTGACATTTATCCGCAAAGGCTCGCTTCCGGATTCGAACTTATTTGCTATAGTGACGTTGTGACCGAACATGCAGTATCGGGGCATTTTCACACCCACGACTCCAGCCAATACTGAACCGGTGTGGATTCCTATACGCATCTGCAATAACAGGTCAATTATTTATATTTTTATGCATGGTTTATTTATTATTATGGACATGAATGAGCCATGAGAGACGGATAAAAATAAATCTAAATGGTTAAATTTTGAAATATTCATATACCAGAATTCATTATAAAAAATGTGGTTTATTATTATTTTTAAAAATCTGAAAACGTGAATAGAAATTCCAATATTTGTACTACAGGCTAAAGAAAGCTAAAGTATTCAACTAACTCAATATCAATCAATATCAATATTCCCTTCTATAAAATACCCAATTATACACCAATCTAGCGGTTGCGGAAACTGTCATTTTACGACGTCAGTTTCGTTTCCCACAGATCTGAGCCACTTCGGACATTGCCGGGATATTACAGCACGTTTTGGAGCAATCGGATGTTTTATCACACGGCTTCAATTAGTCATAGAAATAGTACATTATGCGGTAAACGGCATTTGAACCACGAGTTTATTTGGCACGAGCGGAGCGAGTGTTGCATACTATTCTTTTTCTACGAGCGTTAGTTTTAGGGTACATTTTTGCAAGACAACACGAATACATTTACTGACATGCCCGTCAGAAATGACAATCGTCAAAATTCAAACCGTGCGAATAAAATCTTCGAAAACCTCCGTTTCCTCTCAAACCCGTGCGGTAATATCCCGGAAATGGTTCGAATCCATGGGACAAGAAACTCGCGTGGCAAAGTGATATTTTCCGCACGCTAGATCGGTGTAAAATTAGGTATTTTGCAGAAGAGACTAGAAAAATAATAGTATGCTCGTTTATTAAACACGAGTTCTGCTGCGCTCCGCTCGTGCCAAATAAACTTGACTAAACGTGACTCAAATGCCGTTCACCACACTTGTTACATATATACTATTTTAGATCAGAATTTTTCCCATGATTTGAGCTGCACAGTAAGTTCTGTGATTAAGGGTCAGTATTTTGTACATTTCGAAGTCGAACTTCAATGTTTTAGTGTTGGTGATTTTGAATTATGGAAATATTAAAATGGTTAGGGTATTAAATAAAGTGCGACCTTAATTCGTGGTTTCAGTTTATATTAGTTTCTAATCCTGCTTTAAAATATTTCTATAAATTAATTCGTACTAAAAAGGAATGTTAAGGATTGGAAAAAGTAGGGACTGGGTTTTCACTTTTACCGATTAAAGAAAATAAGTTTTCGCTTCACTTTGTACAGTCCCGTAATAGCGTAAATATCCATCAATAGATAATCTTTTTATTTAGAAAGAAAGAAAAAAGTTTAGGCTGTGCAGACGGTACTTTAAGTAGTACACAAAACTGACCATTTTTCTTGAATATGTGTAATAGTTTAATAAAGAATTTAGAAGAAAAACTCGTATTCCTTTTTTCAAAATTACTCTACGATAAATGCACACGCACCGACAGTTCACTAGACCTACGCAGATTTATCCGAATCATCGGGATCAGTAACCAGACATACAATTAGGTTAATATTTCAACGTAAAACATAAAAATTCTTTAAACTTTGTTTATCAAAGTTTATAAGGTCACATTTTCTCATAGCTAATGCTGCCTATAGCTTTAATTGTTAAAGGTTATGCTTTGCATAGTAGCGTAGTTGATTTTCTCGTTTTTACTCAGTAGAACACTACTCAAGGAAACGATGAACATAGTCCTACTTTCAATATTAAGGGCTCTCGGATATAATGTCTTTGGGTATGCCACATTCCCACACATTTTATGCCTCTTTTCGGTTTTTAAACTCATCATTATTCTCATACTCATCAGAGGAACACGAACACGAACTCGATATATAAACACAGCTATTACGAAGTTCCAAAGTTCCAAAGTTTTGAATTTATATTAATGTAGACAAATTTCTTGCTACGCTAAATTTATTTCTTGTAAGAATATTTTATCGAACTACTCGCAACAATTTAGTCTTGAAAAACTTTATACCACATCAAAAATTGATTACATTGTTTTAAGTAGGATCTGTGGTAAATGTTTTGGGTGTTGCGTGTGATCTCGTATTTCCCCACCTAATTTCCGATAACGCGGGGTCTGCGTAGTCACAGTACCCTGATTAACCAGACGATTTTTGAGTATAACCAATTTGTCGTCCGACAAACTCAATTAACATTGGTAGATTGCTGGTTCTCGGGACCGTGTCGAACGAAAAGGGTAGCGGGACAACCCTGTTGGGAATTACTCACTTTTAAATTAGACAATAAGGGCTTCAGACAAAATCCACTGACGCAGATATGTTAGGCAATTAATTGATATGTCCGTTTTTATATTTAATTACAATTTCGAGTGTATGCTTTAAAACAACAGATAAGGTCCGTAAAGTGCTATTTAATGATAATTGTTTTACATCAAATGAAACGTTATATCTATAGTTCCAAGATTTCCAAGGATGCACAGTTTTGTTAGAAAGAGGACAATGGAAACTACTGTAGAAAACAACACATAAGCATGCTCAGCACAAACATATATTTGCACTATGTAGCGCTTAACAACTCTACTGTATATAATATGACTGGGTAATTGTTTTCGAATTTTAATTCGACGTTGCCAAGTTATTGGTCTCCTATATCTATCTAAGTTCGCGTTTTATATTATCAGAAAGTGTCTTAAGATAGTCGAGACTTCAGTAAAGCACGTAAGTCCGTTATACGACCTTTGAAACAATTTTTCTCGGATTATTTGAAATGAAATACCCTTTTGTTGGGGTTTCCCAATCGATGCTTTTCCGCAACATTCGTTTTTATTATTCAAATACAAAAATACCTTACTCTATCAGATTAATAATTGGCAAACAGTGTACTACTTTCAAATACGTCTTTTTACTATGAAATAATTTTGGTATTCAAAACTATAGAAAATTTGAAAATATGAAAAAATGAAAGCCGTTAAAGAACGAAACGAAAAAGAAAAGATACATATTGAAATAGTAAATAAAATTTAAATGCTTATTTTAAAAACACTGAATAAGAAGTTATCAACTAATCCTACTAAAATTTCTATACATTACTTCGCCCAGATCTTGAAAATAGTTTCTTATTGTTATTTTCATTTGCGAATAATGCGGAAAAACTTGAATCGACAAGTATAGCGAAATCTTAACAAAAGTGGCAGAAATGCAATAACTAAAAAGGATATAGTAGTTAAATAAAATTGTTCAAAATTACTCAAGTTGGCAAGACTTTGAAAAACCCCTAGTATCTTCATAGGCAATATATAGGGGATTTTATTTAAAAAAATATATTCTTGTATGCTTTTACCGAACTCGTTTAAAATTCTAAAGATTTTTAAAATGTTTTTTTTCTGTTAAGTTAAAAAACAATTTGATTAATTGAGCTTCATAAGAGTGGTTATCATGTTGTCTTGGTCAGAGCTCTATTGCGCCACGTATTTTGACATAATTCGAAATGAACGGAGTGTACCGTTTTCGTTAAAACTTAACGTGCGATAACATTGGTACAGGCAAAGTGGTTTGAGACGAGTGACACTAAACACAACATCGTCAGCAGAAATATTAACGCACACCTGAATGAAATTCACACGGGTAGAGATTAATTGGGATAATTTGCGAGTGATGTAACTACGTCCTATGGAGCAGTTAGTTAAGCGCAACAAGATTAGCCAATCATATCAAAGACCGATTTGCATAAATGTTAAATTGCGATTTGTCTTGCCCAGACTAACATATAATTTAACGCATGCTCGGGTGTTAGGGATCCAAAATTTGAACATAGCTCCTCATTCTTACAGTTTTCCTTACGTGCACTTACTCTTATAGGCTGGCCGTCATGGGTTTGATGATACGAACACGTCTCTATCATTCGCATCGCCATCCAGGTGATTTGTTGCACATGGGTTCTAGTGTCCTTGTGTAATCCACCGGCAACACAGTAGGCATCACCAATAGTTTCGACCTGCAAAGTACCATAATATTGCCCACCACATGATTCTGATGCGCAACTTAAAATAACCTTACTACAAAAAGTAACTAGTAATTACATAATTCTTAAATAATAAGAAAAATGTCAAAATGTTGTGTCCATTATTGTTAGGCTAACTAAACTATTTTATGAAAAATTATTTAGAAACCTTCTGGATTCCTATTGCGTCGGTTGTTTTACATTCTACTGTACACCTGCCTATATACTCTTTGAGGGAGCGAAAGGAGGGCCATGGACATTATCTCACATGACTCATTCCCATAGTGAAAGGTAAAGACCTGAGTCGCGGTTAAAATTAAATTAAATGTAAGAATTATAATGATGAGTTTATTAATTTTTCAAAGAAACTTCCACAGGCTACTGTAATGCTTTTTACAAAACTTCTGGATTCCTCCTGCGTCGGTTTTTGCTCTATCTAAACTCTATCCTAAACAAACTGCCATCTCAAACAGCAATTGAAATTCGATTTGAAACCGCAAAAATCCCTAAAAAATCAAAACCTCCTAAATCCGATATTGCAAAGCCTGAACGCATCGCCCTAAAATCTCTAAAATCCAATCCAGACATCGTGATCCTAAAAGCAGATAACGAAATGCTACGGTAGTCATGGACACAAATGAATATCAGGAAAAGATTCAAGATATTCTTACAGACGGATCATATCGTCAACTTAAAAAAGATCCTACTCCATCTATGGATCGCAACCTTAAATCTGTTATTAAGGCTTCTTCTCTATCAGACTCCGTCAAAAATTCTGTTACCACTCACGACTCTAAAATTCCTCGTCTCTACGGACTTCCAAAGATTCTCAAACCAGGATTACCCCTTCTACCTATTGTCAGCACCATTGGTTCTTCAACATATTCTCTAGCAAAATATCTAGCTTCCTTATTAAAACTCCTTACAGGGAAAATTGACAGTTTCGTACTTAATTCCTTTAACTTCATTGAACAATTAAAAAGCATTACATTAGGTCAACAAGATATTCTAGTTCCTATTCCCGAAACTGTCGACATCATTTCAGATATATTAAAATCCTAGAATCTGGAACCAAACTTTATAAACTTAATTGAAAAATGCTTATCGGGAACATATTTTTCTCATAACGGTCAAATTTTTGAACAAACGTCGGGAACAGCTATTGGTTTTCCACTATGGCCAGTCAACGCGAATATATATATGGAAGCCTTTGAGAAGAAAGCTCTCGACACCTTTCATCTAAAACCAAAATTATGGAAACGCTATGTCGATGATACTTTTGTTATTTGGCCTCATGATCAAGAATCCCTGGTAGATTTTCTTAAACATTTAAAATCTATATACCCTAACATACGTTTTACTACTGAAATACAACAACAACAACCTCCCGTTCTGGAAGCTAATAATAACCTGTCATTCTTAGATATACTTATCAATAGAAAATCAGACCTAACATTGGGTCATTGTGTTTACAGAAAACCTACGCACACAGACCGATACCTTAATGCATTGCCACATCACCACCCGGCCCAAAAATCATAGGTTATCAACTCTCTTGTTTACAGAGAAGTAAAACTATCTCAGCCCGAGTCACTGAAAACAGAATTAAAACACCTTACCTCTGCTCTTCTCTCTAATAATTTCCACATTAAACGTTCGGTCGAAAGCAATCCTATACTTGCGACTGTGGTCCTTCCTTACATTCAAAACATCACTGACCATGTATCAAGAAGTATAACGTCAAAACCAGATTTACCACTTGTCCAAAAGTCTCTCAACATCTGCGGTCCGTCAAAGACAAAATTCCATTTGAGACGCTAGGAGTTTAGTGCATTCCATGCGTATGCGGCAAAGAATACATTGGAGAGACCAGACAAAAAATATCAACTAGGCTCAAAGAACACGAAAAAGCCTTACGACTAAGATAAATAAACTCATCAGCTGTTGCCGAACACACTCATGAAACCGGGCATAAAATTTTATTTGATAAAACTAAAATTCCTGCATGTAATCAGTTCTTCTACCAACGAAAAATCCGAGAGTCTATAGAAATCTATAAGCAACCTAACAATCTTAATCGCGACTCAGGTGTCTACCTGTCCCCAATCTGGGAATCAGTCATCCGATGGTGGTTTACAACGCTCATTAGCCCAACATAACTCTTGGTGTCTCAAATCGTTCGAAGAGTGATTTTTGGAATTTAGATCTGCTTTTAACATTACATTTCTTAAGAAATTTTGATACGCGGTCAGTAATATTTTTAACCTAAGGAAGGATCATTGTGGCAAGAGTTGGTAACCAACCATTTTAAAGAATATATTAAGGAATCTGTCTATTTGCGTAGGTTTTCTGTAAACTGAATGACTCAATGTTGGCTCTAATTTTTTATTAATTAGGCTATCTAAGAATGCAAGGTTATTATTAGTTTCTAATTGAATGGTAAAACGAATGTCCGGGTGTATTGAGTTTAAATGATTAAGAAAAGCTCAGAGGGATTCTTGACCATGAGGCCAAATGATTAAAGTATCATCAACTTAGCATCTCCATAATTCTGGTTTAAGATGCAAAGTGTCGAGGACTTTCTTATCAAAAGCTTATATATGTATATTGATGAAAATGGAGAACTCAAATTTCGACTTTTTTTTCAAAGGAACTTGCACACTACAACTAGTACTATTGACAAATATTCTGGATTGCTCTTGCGTCGTTTGTCGATTAATCGAAATTGCTGAAGTTTTGCCAATCATCCTGTTTTATTCTTCAGTTTCAGCTCTGAAAAAGTCAATAGGATGGTTGGCGTAACGTCACTTCGACTCAGGAGGAATCCAGAAGATTTATAAATAAATATTACAGTACTTTGTGGAAGTTTCTCTACAAAAAAATATAATTTTTATATTGTTTTTATTTTCAATGTTTCATATACTATACGTATATAAATGATTGTATTAAAGTTAATAATTAAATAATTGAACAATAAACATACATTGCTTTCTAAACTCACAGCCAAACCTAATATTGACGTTTCTGTAGCCCTCGATTTTTTTTTACAATAAAAAAAATATGATTGTCTTTGGGAAAATAAACAATATAATGCTGATAATACCTGATAATTTATTATTGTGTCTAATCGTAGAAGTTCATATTTTTAAAGTAATTTTAAAAAATGTTAGATTACCTGCTGTAAACTCCGGCAAGAATTTCGCTGTTTTCATGGATTTGGAAACATTTTATACATGCTTAAGTAAATCATCCTGATTGGAGCAATTATGCTTAACATTATATTGGTCTAATATTGTCTAATTATAAACATGCACATGTTGTTGATTATTGACTGGCCTGCCCTACTTCAAAAATTTGTGTAAAATTTTAAAATTCATTTTTATAAATTGAGAAACTTTTTCCACACTACTTCATTAATTCAAGACCAGTTCAAGTTTGTAAAAACTTCATGTTTACTTCCTAAATTGTTAGTCAAAGCTACCAGCCATTATAGATTCCTGAACATAACACCACGACACGCTTCGGAGATCCTACTCTATTCTGCTACAAAGTTTTAATTGATACACACACATGTTGCTAATTAAATCTACTTATCAGCTGACGGGTTTAAAAACATTTCGCATTAACGAAATAAGATTATGTATATTCCAAGGATTTGTTTTTTGCCCCCCAAACGAACATCAGCATAAAATCAGTATATCCATCTTCTGCCACAAGTTCCGGATTTATGTTCTTTTTATTTATTATCTCTTATACTTTAACTGCTATCTACTATTTAGGAGTCAAATTAATATTAACTATTTATAAAACCCATAATCTAATCGGATGCTGATTAACGAGATATTTCTCTCGCCCACTTCACTAACAGTTACTATTCCTGCAACAAGTGCGTAACATCAAATTTAGAGCAACAGGAGTTGGGTTTTGGTTCACAAATTTAGTGTTGTTGACCGTCAAACATAATTATGTCTTTAGTTTCATGAAAATAAAATCCTTTGAAAGCATATTTTACACGATAAACAAAAAGTCACATGAACTGAGTAGCTTTTTATTCGCCTGTTTTTATTTTAACGGTTTCGTTGAGGCAATTAGAGCGTGCTAGTTTTATGAAGCCTTATACACGTTTTTAAAAGCTATTGTGTGGCGACAGAGAGAATTTATTCGAATTGCGAGAAATGTGCAAGCACGTTTTTATCCGAATCATGGAGATTTTCCTATTATTGTAGTTTAAAAAATGAAAAAAATATTACACTAGTAGCTTTAGTGTTATTGGTGACATTGCAAGTCCTTTGGTAATTAAAATACGAAGGATGAATTTAAGTTAGTTCTTCCGATAACACACACGGAATATACCTGCGTTCTGCGTAAACCTTTATGAATCAACAAATATTTGCGTACGAAAATTAAAAACAAACATTACATATAATTTGAAAATAGCGGATCGTGCTGCTAAGATATTTATTTTGAATTTAAATGAATAAATACAGCGTATATGCAACAGGATGTGATAAAGCAGATGAGCAAATAACTGCACCGTAAAACAATTTTTTCGTTCTTTCTTTCTTCAAACTAAATGAATTTCAACCTCGATATCAAAACAACGTGGATATATTATTACCGCTTCAACGCGGAAATGAGCTATCTAGCGGAATGAATATGGTGATTCTTGACAGTGCGAAAAATAACTGCGTTCTGCGTTCCATAATCTTGGGGGAATAAATAGTTCGCCCACAATATCCGACATAATCCAGTATTTAACTTCGGTAAATTTTTATGAAGGTCTAACCATAGGCCTACCTTATTTCGGTTTCTCTTTGTAACCCTCAATAAATAGATTCACAATTCCACAGTGACCTTACAGAACCGTACTTTGTTTTCATCGGTAATTCTTAGTCCACGCAGTGAAAAATCCATTCTTACTTTAAAATGTTTATTATAAATATAAGGGAATGAGTAAATTTAGCTATAAAACAATGTTAGAATATTAAAAAAAA